TTCTGACTCACATACTTTCTGTGAAAGGGTACATCACCGCCTTTTCCCCGTAGGAATACTAGACAGCACCGTGCTTGAGCACCGTCTCAAACGGCGAGCTCCCCAACAGAAAGCACAAAACTCTGAAAAACACGACCCTCCTGCACCGTGGAAAGGCCACATGTTTGTAATGCGAGAGCTGCAAGAGGAAGGCGACGCGCTGCCTTGCTTGACTGCGTCTGGGCATTTGTACCTCAAGGGGCTGAAGCCCCTCCCCATCCCGCACGTGCCGTGCCTGTGAATGACTGCCTGCCAGGGTACCCTGAGTAGTATCTTGGGGGTCACACATGAATTTTAGGGGTTGCAAATACATTTTATTGTTGGGAAAATTCATAAAGACAGAATCTGTGGGTTTTGAGGACTGACTGTGTTTACAAATGAACATTAAGTGTACAATAAGCAGCGAAGATACACAAAGCTACTACATACAATCTTTGTGTCTGGAAATGAGGTCGTCATTGGTACTTATGGTTTCCTCCTTCAGGCACCTGTCCCCTACTTCTGCCCTCAGCTACTCTGGCTTCTTTACCTGGTGGTGTGGCCCGAACCTTTATTCCTAGGTGGTCAACTGTTCTATTTTTTTTTTTTTAGGTTGCTGTAGTTTTTCTTTACCCTTTGATATTGGAAGTACTTAAGACCGTAGGGACACTCCTGGGTTCCAGATGTGGCCACCACCACTGTGTAGCAGCAAGAAAGGTCCTTCGTAGTTGACTTTTTAAAAATAAAATTTTATTTTTGGCCTGTTGGTTTAGCGCCAACATGAGTACAGCATGGTGAGGTGGCATTCTCATTTTCCAGTTCATTGGCACCCTCGTGTACTTCCTCGTGGAAGCATTTACCCTCTCGGGAATGAGAACTCCACAACAGCAGAGCTCAGCTTGCCAGGCCCTGAAGCAAACATTTTGCAAGTGGATTATGAGGTGTGATAACGAGAGGAGCCACTCCCACTGGTGCTTCCTGATTCCTGGACCCACGTGTTCCGGCTGTGGGGGAGATGCGAGCCCACCATCTGATGCTTTGCCCCTGAAGGCATACCCTGTAGCTTGCAAAGGAGTCATGTAGGTTTTTGTCTCCCAACTAGCGCTGCCGTTCTACTTTTCAAATGGGCATGCTGCTTCTGGGTCAAGCAGTGTGTTGTAAGACCCGTTAATTCTACGGGTGTGAGCAAATTGCTGCACTGTCTTTGCTGTGAAATGCACAGATGTGTTTCTTGATTAGATACAAAGCTGTGCGGAATGCCATCATGGTGAATGATGCATTCTGAGAGTCTGTCAGTGGTGGTGCTGGCTGAAGTGTCATAGGCAAGTCCATATGCTGAATACATGAAGGTGATCCATTATGAAAGAGAACCAGGATATCAATCTGCTGCCAGGTGGATGGCTTGTCCTCTGCCCCCTTTTCTCCTTATGGTGCTGTACTGAGAACTCAGGTTTGTTTTTTGGTAGTGTTGTCAGGTTAGGTACTGAACCACATCAGTGAGGAGTGGTCTGTTTTTGAGCCCATTCCTATTCTCTGCCCCTGCCGCCATGGCCACTTGGTTCATGGGACTGTTGCATAGGCACTGGTATTGGAGGGAAGGGATTTGATTGACATCCTCAAAGACAGTCATTTTATCCCTGATTATTAAGATTCTCTGCTATAGCTGATGTTGTTTACGGCTGCTGTGCTCACCCAGACTGTGGTGGTGAAGTGCTGCTACTTCAGCTCAGCTGCTCCAGGGTTCCATCATCCCCACTGAAATCAGAAAGCCCATCTCGGTGGTGGCATCGGCCATATTCGAACCTGTCCCACAAAGAAGAGTGACCACACAGCTCCGAGAAGGTTGTGGGTGGTCCCCTAGTATATGAAGTCTGTCCAGAAGGTATCGAGCCCTGTAGCATGAAATACAGAGACATTTATTGAAGAAGATACAAGACACAGGAAATATTGTACTTAGGACACCTTTTCTGTGAAGGATCAGATAGGAAATACTTTAGGTTTTGCAGATCATAGGATTTTTGTCCAAATCACTCCACTTTGCCATTGTAGCATGAGAGCCATAGACGATGTGGGATGAAAGGGCATGGCTGTGTTCCAGTAAGCTTCTATTTGAAGGGACAGTGTGCTGGCTTCTGCTGTAGTAAGTGGGCACCTGTCAGCGAATCAGAGCAGATGTGCTATTAACTTCACCCTCCTTGGTCTAACACCTTTGGAATCCATTTCCACACATGTTCCATGGGTTTCTGTTCATCACCAACGTCTTGCAGTTCTTTTGGTGTGGAATCTCTTTCCTTTCGTCCTAGTGTATGCCTGTCTGGTGACATCAGGAGTGGTTAGGGCACGTTTTAATGAAAAGGAATGTCCCCTTTCACGGTATTTGCCCGTTGTAAGGTTGTCCTGGGAATTTTAAGCTGTGGAAGGCTAGTCTCCCCTGATGTAGGAGGGCAAGCCACTTTCTGCTGGTACGGCAGGCTCAGAGAACTCGAGGGGTTAAGTCGGTTAGCTTCATCTGGGTCTAACTAAATGTCTGCTTTGTAGGTTTGAGGATCCCATTGTTTACTTAACGCATGTCCTAAATTTCAGAGGAGAAGCTTGGTGATACTGTGAATTCAACTATTGTTTTAACTACCCTCAAAAGTGGACTTTGTGTTTTATTTTCAGCTAAATTAGCTCTGTGGCCACAAAAAAATAAGAGATTGTTTTAGAGCTGCCATGGAAACTCCAAGAGAGCTGATCTGAGAGTTGGGCCTGAGCTTGTTATTTTTTTCTGTGTAAGTGTTCTAGTGGACTGAGAAGAGCCTACCCCGCATCCCGGTTCTCTATGGTCTGGTAGAGCTTAAGGCCTCTTGGGTGTGCAACGCACGTCCCTGTTAGCACTTGCTTACTGCGGACCACGAATGGTATCTTGATTAATTTTGACTCCAGTACCTGCCATGGGTTACTAACGTCTTGTTCCTCATTGTCAAGGAGCTCAGCGCTGCACTCAAGCTCAAGGGCATGAGCAGTTGTCATAGCCCATCCTTGTGGGTCTGTCTCCTGGAACCACTCTCAGTATCAGTTATGTATAAGTCTCGGTCTTCTCAGGAGACAGAGGCCACATGGTAATTTAAAAAGAGGGAAGTTTAATATAAAGAATTGTTAAGTGGTGCTAGGAGAGTAACTGTAAAGATGTAAAGGGAACTCTAAAGGACATTCTACGCTTGAAAGAGTTCCCAAGGAAGGGCCAGCTTGGAAGGGGGACCTCCTGTAACCAAAACGCAGGTTCGGCTGTCTGATGCAATGAAAGCCCAACTGGTGAGACGGGCTGGTGCAAAAGGAAAGGGTCTTGTTCAGGTGCCGGGACCTGGGAGAATGGTGGACTCCCATCTCAAAGACCACCTCCCCTTCCTGCTCAACCCCTCCAGTTCTTACAGGGATAGGGCTCTTATTTTCCTATCCAATTATCGTTCTAGCTTTGGTGCGCTCAGTGTAAGAGCCTCCCCCTGCACCCTCTTGGCCAGTGGGGGAGGCTCCCCGGTGCTCCTGGACTGTCTGCGGTCTCAGGGGCATTGAGAGGGCTGGCTGTGGGACCCATCGGCAGGAGGCCTGGAGATGCCGCAGCCCTCAGTCCCCCTCCTGACCCTGGACATAGCACCTGCATGTCCAGGGGCGCTGGTTGGAGTCCACCAGGTGCCCCTGAATCTCTAAGCAGCCTCCACATGGCCCACTCCTGTGAAGTGACAAGCTGGGCCCAGGCTCACCCTGCCGCCGGCTGCCCACGCTCCGGCTGGCTGGCTGTGTTAGCATCCCGGCACCTGGCTGGGGCTCAGACCTCACTGGAGAAGGTACAGCTGCAGCCTAAGTCTGTGGGCAGGAAAGTCTGCGGAGCTGCTAAGGCAAGAGCTGGTCCACGGTAGCTGGGGAAGCAGGAAAGAACCCTCTCAGGTACGGGTGTGGTGGGTATGGAGCCTGGAGGGCACTGCGCCTCGCCGGGAGGTGTGTCTGGCCACGGCTGCCGGGTTGCTGAGGGAGGCACCCCCGGGCATGTGGCGAGGGCGGTGTGCCTTGGTGGTTGGCTCGGTTAGTCCGATCCATCGTGTTCTCCACTGAGAGTTCCTCAGCAGCTCCCCATTCACCCCTGTGAAACTGACTCTGTCCACAGTCAGGCCTCTGCTTTGGCTTCCTGTGATACAACCCCCGCCCCCACTGCCCTGCGCCCCGTTAGCTGTGTGGTAGCCACTCCGGCCTCCCTGCTGTTTCTGGAACATGACCCTGTGTGCTCCTGACATAGGGCCCGCACACCAGCTGGTTCCTCTCGGAAGGCTTCTTCCCCGGATATCGGCATGTTGAGTTCCTCACTTCCTCCAATTAAATCTTTGCTCAAATGTCAGCTTCTCAGTGAAGCCCACCCTTCACCACCTTATTTAATCCTGAGAGCCGCAGCACTCCTGACCCCGTCTGTCACAGGGGTCTGCCCTTTCCATAGTCCTTTCCCCCGACCTGGTAGGTGATTTCCTTATTCCCCATGTCTGTCCCCTCCCATAACGTCAGGCACTGTGAGGGGCACAGGTGTTGTCTGTCTCATGCACGTATCCCAGCCACTTAGAACAGTGCTTGGTGCTTTGTGCATGCGCAGCAAGTACTTGCATATTTGTTACAGTGGTCTCGGTGATCCTCATTAGAGGGAGAGTCTGGTTTCACAAAGCAGTTCTAATTTTGTTGTTCAACATACTTTTACTGATGCTGTGTTTGTTATACAATTTCCCTTATATTTTGTAGACTGTTTACATTCTTTTCATCGACTAGGTTGATAACGGTGTATTTTGGGGTTGCTGATACTCTATAAAATCTGCTGTTGCTGCTTTCTTTCATTTGCTTTTCAGCTCCTGTGACTTTTCCCATCTGATAAATGTGTGAGACAGATAATTACAGCTTTAATAATTTATTCTTGAGAATTAAATCCTGGTCCATGGAAAATTAATTTTTCCAAAATTCGTTTTCAGGTGCTGAATGTGGAGTGAATGCAGATGTTGAGAAACACCTTGAATTGGGCAAGAAGTTACTCGCGGCTGGACAGCTGGCTGATGCGCTATCACAGTTTCACGCTGCAGTAGGTTTGTATCTTGGAAGCAAAACGCTGAGTGGCCCCACCTTAGTGACTTCTAATTCATAGCGATTTTTTGAGCAACTTTAAACATTTAAAAATATCTGCAGGATTCTGAATGAAATAGATTAGTAAAATAAATGCAGAACACTGGAGTGCATATTTATTTAGCATGAGAGGATTTTCCAGGTAACTGAGATGTACTATTAAAAATACCAGGAATAATTCAAGACCATTTAGCCAGAAAGCTTTTTTCAATGTATTACATAATTTTCCTCCCTCTGAAAAGATTTCACTAAATGCAATTTACTTTTCCTGATGACTGAGATCATCGGTAGGATAGTTACTTTCCTGGTGATAGGAACTGCCTTCAGCGCGGCGGCTTGGGGACGAAACAGATTCAGTTTTTGTCTCAGATAAAGCGAGTCTTACGAAAAGCACTGGTTCTGCCCCACTACCATAAGAATATTTGCAGAAACTTACATGTTTTCTACCTGTTTTCTACTTGATCACTTTCTTTCTCTAATCCCACATTTAGCAGAAACTTTACGGGCTATGGCACGTATTGTTAAAGTAGTTTAAAATGGCGGCCTGTTTTTTCTTTAGCTTTACTGCCATACAGACATCCTTGAGCTGGCTCTTCCCCAAAATACCCAGTAAGTTATCACCGTCTTCATGGGGAGATGTGAACTGACAAAGCTGAAGTCAAGTCACTTCTCTGTGAAGTTGAGTGGAGGGCAGAAGTGCACACTGTGCGTTCACAGCCGGAGCAGCAGCGACTCTCAGACGGCACGCACCTCGCGGTTTCTGGAGGAGGCGTGGGTGGTCCGAGACGTTCGCCACCTCAGTGTGTGTAAGCCCTGCTTGTTCTCACTGACTGTAGGAAGTCCGGCTCAGATCGTAGAGGATGGCAGTCTGTGGTGAGCAGATAGTGATCGGTGGTGTGGTGTCGCGGGCCATTGATCTGTCAGGAGATGTGTACTCACCAGAAAAGAAGTGTAGATCCTCCATTTCAGGTGTCTTGTTTACCGAACATCCAGTTTCCTACGGCCACACTGGCCGCTCAGGTAACCCAGCGCGCCGGTGAGAGCCCCTGGCCGACAGGTGCGCACTGACTGCGGCAGGCCACAGAGCCAGCTGCTGCCCAGCGCACGCCCCTGGTCTCGGGTGGCGAAGCATCGTCCGTGTCCTGGTGCACTGCTTTACGCCGACTGCATACGAAGTTCATTAACTTCTTTATTAAATGTTTACTCATCCATGAAATGGATGCTACCTCCCAACATCTAAAGTTTGTGGTGTACTTTATTTCTATAACTTCATCTGTGGTCAGAAATTGCTGTCAAAGTTTCTGATAGAATTTGTTGGCTGGCAGCATAGTATCAACGAGTCATTTTTTTATTATAATGTTGCAGACATAATTTATGGTTGTGACACCCTTTCTTCCATTTTTATTTTTGAAAAATTACTTGGTGTGTTTTGAATGTTACTTGGGCATAGTGTTTTAAGATCACATTTTTACACAATAAAAGGCTTATGTATTAAAACTGCATAGTGACACAAGTAATTGTTTCTACCCTGTAGTACAGATCTGTCAGTGGTTGGGTTTGAAATTTTTTTGTATCTGGCAAATACGTATTTTTTGGCGGGGGTTTTAAGATTTAGAACTGATCTGGAAATATTCTTGATGTGCTGGAAACATTTTGACTTCAGGAAGAGTGTTGACTATTGCTTTTCAAATCGTGTTGTGAAACAGTTGCATTCATTTCAAAGTGCTGCAGTCGGACAGCAGTTTTGTTTAGAGATTATCATTAGAGACAATGCAGTGCAGGTGTGACGGTGGCCCCGCCTCTCATTCCCACAGCACCGTCTTGTGCTCCATGGGTCTGACCGGAATTGTAGGGTGTATCTGCAATTGGGTGTATCTGCAGTGGCTTAGGTGTATCTGCATGAATGACTGTCTAAAGTGGGCATGCCTGAAATGGTACGTTTCTCCGTGTGCTTGGTAAGAAAACCAGTATCATTCTTACGTAGTTGTGCTAAATCAAAAAACAAAATTCATGTTCACATTTATATGTCACTTAACATGCGCTATTTTCTCATGACATTTGAGCGTTCCTTGTGAAATGAGATGGACACTACTACTCCCATTTAGGCAGAAGGAAAGAAACAGAGTGTTCTAGTGACTTTCCAAAGGTCACATTCCAGTTCAAAAGATTGTGAACTTCTTAAGGATAGGTACTATTCTACTATTACTGCCATTATTTTTTATTTTAATACCTGGTAGTGCCCAGTTAAAGTCTGAATGAATGAAGGGGTAGAGTTGGGTGAGCTGGGAGCTGGACTGAAAACAAACTGTACCTGGGCAAGGCTGGTGTCCCATCTGCTCACACTTGTAATCAAGGCAGTCGTTTGAGCTAAGCCTCAAGGACTGAGTAGGATTTGGGCGTGTGAAGATGATGATGGCATGTGAGGTAAACACCAGGCCTTAAGTCATGTTACTCCAAGTATCTTTTATTCTTTGCTTCAGATAAATTAAGTCATGGAGAACTTTTCTTTCTTTTTTTTTAAATTAATGAATGTAAAAGTACTCCATGTTCTTTGTGAAACATTTTGAAATATATGTTCCCCTGGCACCCACCACTCTTAATTTCTGTTTCTATAAAACTGACTACTCTAGGGACCTCCTAGAAGCAGAATTCATACAACATTTGTCCTTAGGATAATAATGCCCTCAAGGCTCATCTGTGTTGAAAGGCTAAATAATAATATTTCATTGTAGGTGTATGCTACATTAGTTTCCCATCTTTGGGCCATTGTGAATAATGCTTCTGTGAACGTGACCATATAAATGTCCATTTAAACTTCACTTTCACTTCTGTTGGGTACATACCACGAAGTGGAATTGGCGGTTCATATGGTAATTGTGTGTGTAAGTTTTGAGGAACTCCCTACGGCAGCTGCACCATATTACAGTCCTCCCAGTAGTGCACACCAGCTGCCGTTTGTGCACATCCTCAGCACAATGATTTCCTCCTTCCCTCCCTCCTTCCCTGCCTTCTCATTCCTTCCTTAGTTCCTTCTTTCCTCCTAATAAATGTGAGTTGGTATCTCAGTGTGTCTTCGATTTGCATAATCTAGTGATTAGCAATGTTAAACATCTTTTCGTGTGCTTATTGGTCATTTGTGTATCTTCTTGCATGTATGGTTTCCTCTCCTGTCCCGCCTTCCCCCAGCAGTACTTCAGGTAATTTTCAGTGCCATTAACAACTGAAAACCGTAATTTTGAATAACTGTATACTGTTGTAATGAAGTGCAGAGTGGCGACCCCCTGAAAATAGGAGAAAACCCCCACCCACCCTTGGTTGGGGGAAGGGGGAAGTGGATGATTATCAGCACTTAAGACACTGTGCATAACAATGGCAAGTTGATAGGTGTACCTTTCTTGCATAGAGAGGTCTGTGCCAGGGGTGAAAGGCGTGACTTGTGACAGCGCCAGAGGAGGCGGATGCCCCTGTGTCACTGGGAACTCTTGCCCTCACTAAAGATGGCAGCCAAAAGAAGGCAAAAGAAATGGGGCAAGTGGAAAAAATGGCACATCATAGGACGGGCTGGATGTGAGGTAACAGAGGAAGTCGCAGGCCAAGCATTTAAAATGAGGGCGGGCTGAGAGGAGGAGGAGGAGGAGGAAGGCCACATGGTCAGAAAGGGTGTAGGGCGGGGTCTGGCTACCAGGTGTGGTGTGTAAGGGAAATCCATGCGGTTTGGAGTGAGAACCCACCAGGAGGTCTGGAGTAAGAAAGAGAAGGCTGTGGCAGAGCTGATGGAGCTGTGCCGGGACCTGCCTAACCCAGCACGGACTTGTGAGGGATGTTTGGATCTGAACTGTGACCAGGAACGCTGAATTACAGGACGTACGGAGAAGCCACTCTCTTGGGACGTGTGCCTCCCTGGACTCCCCCACGACCCAGTGTAACACGGCACGTGTTTCCCTGAGCCACTGCACGGAGGCTGAGAACACTGCACCCCACCTCCTGAAGGAGAGAGCTGCTGTGGGAGGATGGCAGCTGAAACCTATAAGTGCACCTTCCAGAGGGGATGGGGACCGGTTTGCACAGCCGGCTTAAGAACAGATAAAGAAATGGGGAACTTCTGGGCGTGGTTCTGGTTTATAGCCATTTGGAGAGCCAGGGAAGTGCTGGGCTTTGTCGGAGAACAAGGCTCTGAGCAGGAGTGCCCTCGCCCCCCGTGGGTTGGAACCCTGTTAATAAAAACCTGTTTCCTTCAACACTAATTGTTGGATCATGTGTCAAGGTGCCAGGTGGCCGAGCGCATCGGTTTGCTCAGTACACTGTGCTGCCATGTACGTTTCCACACGGCCGTGTTTTTCAGATGATAGGACTTTCAGGGGTAGAACTTTCAGTGGTAACTTTTATAGTGATGGACATCTGTGTGCATAGATATATTTTTTAAAGATGCATGGCTACATTTGGTCAAGATCATTTTTAACATTCTTGGTATCTACATATTTCAAAGTTGCTTTTTGGAAGGATTGTTTAGCGGCATGAGGTTTGATTCTAGTTGAATTTACTCCTTCCCCACTTCGTAGGTGCCGAGCAGAGTAGAATTAGCTCCAACATCTTTCTCATCCATCTGCTCTCCTTTGTCAGATATTTTTGACCTCTCCATCCTTGCTCTTTAGACTCGCTTGCACTTCAGTCTTCTTCTTGGTCTAAGGCTTATACCTGCATTTCCTCAGGTATAATTCTTGTTGGAGTTTGTAAGGGAGCAGAGACTGCACATTCAATATGTCAATTTACTGGAAGTCTGTAATTTTCTAAAATCCTGTGAAAAGGTGTATAATACACATTTTCAGTCAGTATTTCACTTAAGAACATTTCAATAAAAAGTTATGACATAAGTATAGTTAGTATTTCAGACCAGAGGTGGTGAACTTTCTCTCTGAAGGGCCAGATAATAAACATTTTAGGCTCTGTTTTATATTTTTCCATTTTTGACAAATCTTTAAAAATGTAAAAAAAACATTCTTTACTTGAAGTCTGTGGATTGGATTTGGCTCGAGGCCGCCGTTGGCTGACGCCTGGTCTGGATTCATTTGCGGTGATCTTGTTCAGCAACACGACTGACGGTTGAGGAAGAAATTCTTTTCTTAATTAGCCTTCCTTAATAGAGTAGCAAACTCTGATTATTCAGGTGATTAGGTTTTTAAAATAAACTACAGAGAGCTAATATTTATTATCTTAATTTGCAGACGGTGACCCCGATAACTATGTCGCGTACTACCGGAGGGCCACGGTCTTTCTGGCCATGGGCAAGTCGAAGGCCGCACTCCCTGACCTGACTAAAGTGATCGAACTGAAGGTGGACTTCACTGCGGTAAGGGCACTAAGCTTTCTTTAAAGGGGAGTTTGAGGGAGCTTTGAAGAGGTCATTTGTTTCTCACGGTGCTGACTGGCACGCTGGGCATAGCTGGAGGCTGTGAACGCCAGCCACTGTGGTGTGGTGGACAGGGCAACTAGAGACCTCCAAAGTCCTTGGCCTGAAAGGTCCGTATGAAAGAGGAACAGTGGGTGCACTAGATAATTTTTAGAATCTTCAGGGTGATACTCATCTGTCATTTAGAAAGACCTCCGTGTGGAGGTTGGAGTGTAGGGCAAGAAGTGAGGCTGATAAATAAGTTGAGTAAGTGGCTGTTAAGTGAAAAGGCTGGCTGTCCAGTAACTAACAACAGTTTGTAACTGACAACAGTTAGTCTGGAGCCGGAACAAGAAAGAAGAGGGGGTAACGCAGCTAGGCGGTGGTTGGTGGTGAGGATACAGTGCCGGCTTAGACAGGAGCCTCTCCTGAAACCAACATGCAGGCCTCGGAAGTGGAGGGTTGGTGGGTCAGTGTAATGGCTTAAGATAACAGGACCAGTTAGATGATTTCAAAATTAATTTGGTAACTCATTTATTGATTATACCCTGCCATATTCCAAAAAGAATTTGAGATAACTAATTAGATATGGGTGAATGTTTGGTTTGAAATATTATATTATTTCAAGATGGAATTCCCAGGTATCTAATTTTCTTTATTTATACAGCTAAGCACAGCCTTTGACAAAGGTTAAGTAACTCATTATCCTAGTGTTATAGTAGCTCTTAGCTGGTTGAAGTAGCTTTAGTAATGCTTTTTATGTGTATTGATGCACTTAACAGAGGACTAGGGAAATTTTCTGTATCATAAAAGGAATATATAAGTTGTAGTGGAATATCTATGTGGTTTCTCTTAATATTTTTTAAACGTTTCAATTACAGTTGACGTACAATATTATGTTAGTTTCAAGTGCACAACACAGTGATGGGACGTTTGTGCACCTTACAGAGGGTGCACCCCGATGAGTCTAGTGCCCGTCTGACACCCTCCTTGGTGGTTACAGTATCACTCACTCCGTTCCCTACGATTTACTCTGGTTCCCTGTGCTGTCCTTCACGTCCCCCTGATTTGGCAACTGGCCGTTTCCACTTCTCAGTCCCTTTCACCTTTTTCACCCTTTCCCCTGAACACCCTCCCATTAGGGAGCCATGAACTGTTCTCTGTATCTACGAGTTTATTTTGTTTATTTTATTTTTTTAGATTTCCCCTGTCAGTGAAATCAAATGGTATTTGTCTTTTTCTGACTTTTTCCACTTAACATGGTACCCTCTAGGCCCACTCATGTTGTCACAGATGGCAGTATTTCATTCTTTTTCATGGCGGAGGGATACTCCAGTGCAGCTGTAAATGAGTACCAAGTCTTCTTTGTCTGTTCACCCATCAGTGGACGCTTACACTGCTTCCATATCTTGGCCATTGTGAATAACGATGCAATGAATGTAGGGGTGCATATATGTTTTCAAAATAGTGTTTTGGATTTCTTTAAACACTAAAAGTGGGATTGCTGGGTCATATGGTAGTTGTATTTATGTTGTTTTCCATAATGGCTGTGCCATTTCACCATCCCACCAACAGTGCACGAGGGTTTCCTTTTTTTCCCATCCTCACTGACACTTGTTCATGGATTTATGGATGATGGCCATTCTGACAGGTGTCAGGTGACACCTCATCGGGGCTTTAATTTGTGTTTCCTGATGATTGATGATGGTGAGCATCTCCTCATGTGGTTGACCATCTGTATGTCCTGTTTGGAGAAGTTGTTTGAGTTCCTTACATATTTTGGATATAAATCTCTTAGCATATCTCCCACTCAGTAGGTTGTTTTATATTTTGATGATGGTTTCCTTTGATGTGCAGAACCTTTTAAGTTCAATGTAGTTCTGTTTGTTTGTTTTCTTTTGTTTCCCTTGCTCAAGGAGCCGGATCCAAAAAATTCTTGCTATGAGCGATGTCAAAGAGTTTACTGCCTGTGTTTTCTTTCAGGAGTTTTATGGTTTCAGGTCTTGATCCCTCTCATGCATTTTATTGAATAAGGAACATGAAAAACAGAATGGTTATATGGTTACTCACCACTGATGCACACGGGTCACGGATGGGCATTTTGGGGACACGATGGGACGCAGAACACTAAACACAGTGTCCGAAAAGCACGGGCAGGTCCACATACTGCAGAGTGTCGGTGGTTCCCCTCTCGGGTGTTGGCTGACCGGGCGCTCTGGCTCCCTGCTGCTCCAACTCAGCATCACGGGGGAGTACTGCACCACGTATTGCTGTCCCGGGAAAAGATCAAAATTCAGAAGTCAAAGTGTGGTCTCTAATAATGCGTATCACTTTTGCACCATTGCAGAGCCAAAAAATTCTAAGTTGAGCCGTCTTAAGTTGGTCACCATCCATATATTCTCGGGCCTGCAAGCATCACCACTGTCCAGTTCCAGCACATGTTTTACTCAAAAAGAAACCCTGCACTTGTTAACAGTCCTTCCCGTATCTTCTCTAGCCCCTGGCAGCCACTTATTTTTCTGTCTCTGTGGGTTTTGTATATTTCACGTAAGTGACACCATAAAACATGTGGCCTTTTGTGTTTTTTCACTTAGCATAGTGTTTTCCAGGTTCGTGCTGCAGCACGTGCCAGCACTTAATTCCGTTTTACGGCTGGACAGTGATCCCACTGCCTGGACACGTCACGTGTGCTCACTGGTTTCTGAGTTGATGGAATCTGGGTTATTTCCGCTTTTTGGCTCTTGTCTGAACATTCATGCACAAGATTTTGTGTGGACATGTTTTCAAGTTTTTTGGGTGTATTAAAAAGTACTCTTAAGGAAATATACTTTATCAAAAACTATACATATTCATTGATTCCAGGAAGTTTTCTTAGAGTGCCAAGTCAAATACGCATTGGAAATAAAGATTTCATTAATACTGTATTAGCATAATTTTATTCTGTGTGTTTAAAGAAAATTTAGAAATGCATTGTTCTCAGAACATCCTTTTTTTTTTTCTAGGCAAGATTACAGAGAGGTCACTTATTATTGAAACAAGGAAAACTTGATGAAGCAGAAGATGATTTTAAAAAAGTGGTAAGTTCAATTTATATTTGGTTCTGTGAACATGTTATTTTGAGTGAACATACTAGATTTGTATTTTATAAGAAGACATTCATTTTTTTAAAAAGATTTTTTATTCAGTTTTAGAGAGAGGGGAGGGAGGGAGAAAGGGAGGGAGAGAAATACTGATGTGTAAGAGATATATCGTTTGGTTGCCTCTTTCATGCCCCCGGCTGGGGACCTGGCCCGCAACCCAGGCATGTGCCCTGACTGGGAATCGAACCTGTGACCTTTTGGTTCACAGGCTGGCACTCAATCCGCTCAGCCACATCATCGAAGGTGGAAGATATTTAATAATAATTTTATAGCTAAAAGGGGAAAAATCACTTGATTAGTGTATGTAAGAGTCACAGTTTGTGAATTAATATTTAGTGGCTGACATCAAAGAACCATTTTAGTAGATGATAGGTGCAGTCTGTGGAATACATACATAACCCTAACTCAGTGTGTGTAGTGCACATTCTCTGTTTTGTCTTCTGTGAGAAGCTGGAGATGCCAGCTGAGCTCGTCTCCACTCCTCAGGGTGTAGGTGGTATTATCCCCTTTTTGGTTGGTCAAGACAATGCCCATAATATACAGATAATAAGTGTTAAAGTCAGGATTCGGGCTTAGTTTTTTTCCATTTAGACTTTATTTTAACGTATTAATAACATGAACTCTCTTTGGAAATATTCACAACCTAGCCATTGAGAGACGGTAAAACTATTTTACTAGTTATCTATTGCTGCGTAACAAATTGCCCAAAGTTAGCAGCTTACAGCAACATGCATTTATGATCTTACAGTTCGTGGGGTCAGGAACTGGGCAGGTGTAGCTGGACCCTTCACTCCAGATCTCCCACAGGCCACAGTCAAGGTGTCAGACAGGGCTGCAGTGCAGTCTGGAGGCTGGGCGGGGGAGGAACTGCTTGCAAACTCACCTGGGTGCTGGCCGGATTTAGCTCCTCTCGAGCTGTTAGACTGAGGCCTCAGGTTTTTTCCTTGAGCTGTTGGCCAGAGGCTCCCTTTGGTTCCCTCTTACGTGGGCCTCTCCATGAAGCATCTCACTGCCTGGCAGGTTGAGTCCGTAGAGCGGACAAGTGAGAAGGCAAAGGCTGGCACAGAGAGAGAGAGGAAGGGAAGGAGGGGAGATACCGATCTCTCAAGACGGAAGTTACGGTGTTGTGTACCTAGTTGAGGAAGTGACGTCCTTTCACCTCTGTCACATTCTGTTTGTTAAAAGGAGTTACAGTTTCTTCCCAGACCCAAGGGGAGGGGATCACACAAAGGCATGAATTCCAGGAGGTGGGGATCATTTGGGCGATCTTAGAAGTCTTCCCTCTACAACTACCAATCCACTGTTTTCATTTGAGGTCTCAGAAACAGGGGTTTATTTAGAGCAGATGAGCGAATGGCTTGCCTCTCTCCCCCAGCCCTCATCCCATGGCTATTAGGGTTTTGATCTGAAAGCCCAGCAAATGGTAAGAAACAAGAAGTAAACTATTGTCATGGTTAGGGGTTTGGCTGGAAGGGTCAGAAATGTAAAACAGTAAAGAAGAGAAGGGAGGTCAAGGAACACGGAACAAGGATGGAGGGAAACACCAGCAGGTCCCGCCTCCACGTGTGAACGAACGCCCCGGAATGTAAGAGGGCAGCTGGGAGGAGTCTGCGGCCTCGTAGTGAGGGCGGAAATCTTCATCTCACATAACCCTCTTTGAGGCTCCCCAGGGTCGTACGTCAGTCCTTAGCTTGTTTCACAGATTCCTTTCTTACCTCCTTAGAGAGACCCCTTCCCTCCCTCCCTGGCTGCCTCCCAGTCCCAGAGAGGCCTAGGTGACTTGCACTCACCCCACTTTCCTATTCCCATTGTCTGAGCGTGGAGTGAGGCCAAGCCGCCATCCTCGACCTCAAGACTGAGGGCGGTCCCCTCCCTCACCCTCCAACATGAAGAACCACCACGTGGCAGAGACCAACGGCTCACCTTTCAGAGGAAGATGCACATTCCATCCCAAGAGGCAGTCCCTAACTCACTGCAGCACTCTGTCCAAAAGGGGGCGCTAGTGTACATGCAGAAAACAAGTTACTGGTAGACTTCCCCTTGCACGGAAAGCAGAGTGCAGCCCACAGACGTTTGCACTCCTTCCACTGCGAGCTGCCAGAAGTACTCAAGACCAGCCCAAGGATGATGAGACAGTCACAGACAAGCATTCCATGGCCCTAACGCAACTGCCTTCCGCGGGGCAAGTCAGTCACGCAGGGACAGCCACCCCGCGAGCAAGCCGAGGTGACCAGGTTCTTCCCACCTACCTGGGACTGCTTGGAGTCGCCTGTTCCTTCAAAAGCCAGGGGTCACACGGACAAATGGGATACCCAGAGTGTCCTGAAAACAAATGGGGACCTGTAGAGCCCCTGCCAAGTGGTGGTAATGTGAAGGTGTTTCCTTTGGAGTGCCGTCTCCTGCCAGCTGGACATGGGGTGTTTTAGAAGCACGAATCCACTTAAAGGGGAAGCAGTGTGACTGGTCCATTGAAAGAGAGATATTTCTAGAAAAAAATCTATTGTCTGTACCGTACCCAAAGTTGAAACCCATCAACTACAATTCCCATCTTAATAAGAATATTAGATTTCAGGAATTATTACATATAAACTGTAATCTTAAAGAAAAAAGTTAAAAAAAAAGTAGTTTTTTAATGTAGGCACTCAATTTTCTGAGCCATTACGCTTAAGGTTTTCCACCTGGAGGGGGCACTGTTGGGAGGCACGGTGCGGGAGGCCGGGGCGGGGGTGGGCTGTGAGCAGGCGCAGCAGGGTCTCGCTGCGGTGACAGAGACTGTCAGACTGTGGTGATGGCTGCGTAAGTTTGTTAAAAATCACAGAATCGCACGCTCAAAATGAGTGCATCTTTGGTGTATAAATTATACCTAGATAATGTTATTAAAAAAGACAAAGTATACATCTGTTAAAACCATATCGTAAGTCTTTAAAATAATGGTATTACTCTCTTATTTTACCCTGTAAATTCTTCCTTATCACATTGTAGCCCCTCCGACATCAAATCTTTTTCTGTCTTATAACCTCTAAGAAAACCTTCTTTTTCATTTTTCCTGTGCTTTTAATTATTTTGGTAAAAAATTATTTTGTACTTAAAATACTTAGAAATTTAACTAGAAGGCAAAATACATAAAGCTCAAGTTATTTTCTCTAGTTGCACGTGAGAAAGTGAGAAAGGTGTGTCCTCCTTACTTCTTCTTCTCCACTCTTTCACATCCCTAAACACGGTCCCTTTCCCGTCAGTGTGGGGCTGGGTCTTCGGCTGCAGCTGCGCCGCTCGCTCCTGCGCACCACGCTGGTGGGAGGTGCCCCTGCTGCTGCTTCCTGCTGAGGCGGCAGCAGGAGCGCGTCAGCGGACAAGCCAGTGTTGCCTGTGTCGCCACCCTTTTCTCCCAGTGAACCTGAGTATTGGGATTGGTCAGATCGCTGTGTATACTACGGGTGTTAGACCTAAGAGATTGAAAACCCTGTTTAATTTATTATTCTTATAGCTCAAATCTAATCCAAGTGAAAATGAAGAAAAGGAAGCCCAATCCCAACTTATAAAATCTGATGAGATGCAGCGTTTGCGCGCACATGCCCTTGATGCTTTTGAAAACTCGGATTATATTGCTGCTATAACCTTCCTTGATAAGATTTTAGAGGTGAGTTTATTTGATATTGCAGCTGACAAGCTTAACGTGTACTGCTTTTTACTGTAAGGCATGACTGTACACTTCAATATGTCATGTACCACAGGAATCCTAGACAGCTGAACATCAGACCGGTCCTAGTGTATATAGCTCTGAAGTGAAAGATGGTGTTTATATGGGACAAAATTTGGACCTGAGGTTTTCAGTAAATGGAATAAGTGTGCTGTGGGATGGGAGTTACGTAGTTTTACACATTGCTTGCTTTAGTTCTGTTTGACTTTACATTATTTTGGGGTGCGGGTGTAGAAAACTCTAGAGGTTCAACAATGGGGTAGAAGGTGAAAGCTGGTTAAGAAGAAGGAAAACTAACGTCTGGGAGGACAGAGGCGTGGTGAGAGTGTGGGACGTGTGGAGTGGGGAAGGCAGGTGAGGAGTGCCGGGCCCAGCCGGTTCTGGGCTGGGGCAGCGGGCTGCGGTCTCCTCGCCTCCAAGGACTTAGTGACGGGTGGCTTCGGAAGGGAGTCGACTGCCCTTCCAGTGAAAGCAGTCGTAATTCAGTTTATTCATCATTCTCATAGCGCTCTGACATACAGTTTCATTTAACCTTGGCAGCAAACTCGTGGTGTATGTAGAATGGGCACTTCGATAATTTTCAGAGGAAATTATTATGAGACCCAGTGGAATTCACGTTTTACTAAATTATTTTGTAAATGTTTCAAGGAAAAATAAGAGTTATAATTTTTATCTTCCAGCATTTAGACTATTCATTTTGACCTAGCTTATTGTTCATCATATTTAACTTAATGTCCAGTGTTGATTTTGATCTCTTAATATACGCGAGAAGTTGATATGACTCCAGAACAGCCTCATTGGTGAGCCTCTTGGCTTACGTTTTGAGGAATACCTGTGTACTTACTAAACATTGTAAACTTTTCAATGAAACAGAGATGATGAAGCCTCAACCTTGTCACACTGTTTTCCTCTTTTTTCTTTTTGTGATAGGAGGGTTTAATTTCAAGGAGATGACTTTTACAAAAGAGAATTTTATTTAGTTATTAGTAGAGTAAAAATACTTTGCAAATTTAGAACCAAGATTTTATTTTTTGACAGTAGAAATTAGAATTGTTGACTAAGTACAAAAATCTGATTACAGAATATTCTCTTCAAACTCAAAGATGCTTCACCGAGAACAGCCTTCTGACAGTAAATGCCATGTGCCCTTATTTTTACAGTTTTACAGTTATGTAATTGAAGGGGGTAGGAAAGGGTTTTGTTGGAATATATATCCCTTCCCCCTTAAGAATTTATAGTATTCTTGGAGAAATTATTTTATTACATCTAATTATTTTTGCACATCTATCATATCTTTTTAAATGCTATTGACCATATAGAAGTTACCACACTAATTGAGGATATTTTATGTTGATAAATAAGCAGGTAAAATATGTGAGATGCAAGTATAAACGTGCATAATTTACTGTCTCTTTCTTAAAGTCTCGTTCTGTTGTTTCCCAAGGTCTGTGTTTGGGATGCCGAGCTGCGGGAGCTTCGAGCCGAGTGTTTCATAAAAGAAGGGGAACCTAGGAAAGCGATAAGTGACTTAAAAGCTGCGTCAAAACTGAAGAATGACAATACCGAGGCTTTTTATAAAATCAGCACCCTGTACTATCAACTGGGAGACCACGAGCTGTCACTCAGGTCAGTTCTAGTGACACCCGTCTCCTCACCTTTTTACTGTGGCACTGAGATAATCATCCCGTTTCTTTTTAATTTTAAAGTAATAAAATCATGGTTAAGACTGTTTTTGTTTTTTTATTATCTATATATTTTATGTTTATATCCTATCGTCTATTTATACATTTTAAGTTATTCTACTTCCACAGTTTATTTTCATGAATTATGTGTATTAAAATAAAGGTGGGTATCATATTTGTAGAAGCGACATGAAGCATTTAATGTATAACTACTTAAATCATTTTAATTTGAACTAGTAAGTGTGGGCCTGGTATAATACCAAATATAAAAATATATGGTAAATTATTAAGCCCGTATGTTTTAATCGTTACAGACAAAAAATATACTTTTTATTGTGTTTTCTGTATTTAATATGGAAGAGTACTCATTGATTTTTTTTTTGACTTGGAATATTTTCCTCTTTAAATGCATGAGCAGTGAAGTTCGTGAGTGTCTTAAACTTGACCAGGATCATAAGAGGTGTTTTGCGCACTACAAACAAGTGAAGAAACTCAATAAGCTGATCGAGTCAGCTGAAGAGCTCATCAGAGAGGGCAGGTAAGAGCACGCTTGTCTAGGCCATCGAGCCTTCCCTCATCGGCTGCCTGCTCTTCTGCTCCTTAGCAATGGAGGATGGCGTATCGTGGATAGCACTTAACAGAACGACCACAACTGTACTTTGTAAAAGTCAGCCAGAGTATAGGTGATAGTAACCGCATAGTCTTCTTACCAGGTTTATTCCTAGTTCACCAAATGCGCATTGAGCATCTCCTTTATCAGGTACCGGCTGTGCGCTGGGGTTGCAGAAGTGCATGCATGTGACTGTAGTTTTGGGTTTTCAGAAGCTTCCAGTGTCGTGAGGGAGACAGACATGCACACTGATTGATTAGTAAAAGGGGGTGTGGTCTGTAGAGCGAGAGAGACGCTAAGAGTGTACAGAGATCCCGCCACTGTGTGGGGTTCTGAGCTAACAGTTCTTTTGTTGTAGTACCTGGAAAATAGGTACCTCTTTCTGGCCTCTGTGATTCCTACAGAGAAATCCACTGTCATTTTAACTGTTTTTTCCTCCTAAAAATAGGTATCATTTTCCTCTGACTACTTACAGGAATTGTTTTCCTTGTCTTTAGCATTTGTAAGTTTAATTATGATGTGTCTCCGTGTGCATTTCCTTATGTTTATCCTTTTGGGAGTTACTTAGTTTCTAGAATATGTAGGTTTATATCTTGCCAAACTTGGGAGGTTCCCAGCTAATAGATTTCGGAGTCCTTTTCCAGCCCTTTGCTCTCTGTCCTTTGCTGCTTAGACCCTGACTGACACAAATGTTGAATCTTTGTTTCAGCCCCACAGGTTCCTGGGCTCGCTCATTTTTGTCAGTTTATCTTCTCTGTCACGGTTTGGTCCTGGTTGCAGTGCACGGATTGCTTCCTGAGTCCTTCAGCCAGGGGCTGAGCACAAGCAGGGAGCTTGTTGATTTTGGTTTTCCTGTTTTTCAGTTCTGAAAATTCCGTTTGGTTGTTCTTCTGTGTCTTCTGTTTCCTTTTTGAGAGTTTGTGTCTTTGTTGAGGCATTTTTGTTTGTTCGCTTTTAGCGTGTTTGTCATTGCTGCTTTTCTCTCGGCCGCTGTAAAGTTGTCATCAGGTGTCGTGACATGTCTGCCCTCTCGGTGCTGGAATTCGCCTCACTCCGTTTGAGATCTGTTCCTGATACGATGAGTGGGTTTTAATGGAACCCTGGCCATTTTCATTTTATAAGAATGTTTTTATATGAAAATCTAAAAGGGGGTTTTTTGGACATTGCTCCAGCAAAATGGCATGGGGCAGGTGGGGGTACAAGTGTCCCCCTCGGCCTTCAGCAGTGCTCCAGGTGCCAGAGGCTCCCTGGTGCCGCCAGGTGCAGGCGAGAGTTCGGGGGCTCGTTTCCAGCTGGCGGGGTGGGAGGGGTGGGGGCGGGGAGGCCCTGGCTCCCCATGGCCACATGGTCACTGTGGCCTAACCAGGGGCGGAGTCCGGGCTCTGGGGGTGGGCCCGCACGGTGGTTGGCGCGGGGCCATAGTTTCCTCCTGAGTCTGGCTGGCGTTGAGCCATCATTGTCCAAGGCTTTCTGTCCTGCTGTGGCCGGTCAGGCTCAGCTGGAGAACGTCACCCTGCAGACGGAAAGGTGTTGTGGGTTCTGTCCCGGGTCGGCTGGGAGGCACCCGATCGGTGTTTTCCACTTCAGTGTGTCCTTCCCTCTCTCTCTCCCTCCCTGCCCTCTCTGAAATCAGTAAGCTTGTCCTCGGTCGAGGATTCAAAATAAAGTTTCTGTCTTGCTAATAAGCTGCTCTTTCCATGTCTTTTGGCTTGGGACAGCAGGCTTCTGCTTTTTGTTTGTTTGGGGTTGTGTGCACGTGTGTGTGTTTGTGCCCACGGGCGACTCTGGGTCGCTGGCTCCCTCCGCGCTGAGTCTGGGGCACAGGAGGCAGAAGCGAACCAGGGAGCTCACCGCCCCGGTTTCCCGCGGGTCCGGGGCTCTGGCTGGTCTGCCCTCTTGCCCTTTCCGAGTCTTCCCGCTTTTTAGAAAGTATTTAATGTCTAGGATATTTGTTTGTGCCTAGATAGACAAGTTGGGGAAAGTACATTTATCCCACCTTCCCAGAAGTGAGCCTTTTTTTAATCCAGTATTTTTCTAGTTGAACTTTAATTTGAGCTAATTGTCGTATCACATGCGGTTGCAAGAAGTAAAGCAAGGTCTCACATACTCTGTGCAGTTTCCTGCAGTTGTTCCACCTTCGTGGAACATACATCAGATAACGTAGCATACTGTTCCCAGAGTATTGCAGTCTTCAGTTTAAATGCTGCCTTTTAGTTTGGTGTTACTGAGGGAAGTAACTTAGTGTCTAACACGGCTATTACTTTGCAATCGTTTTTAAAATGCTGAAATAGCTTTTTTGTTGTTCCTAAAAGCTTCTATAGATAAGAATTTAAACACGTTCCTTCTGCAAGGAAGTACATTGTACTTAGTGGTGAACACTACCATTCATTATATAAAATAGCATGTATGTGATGGGCTCCGTTATTTCATGGAAGTTAGAGTGACCAGAACGTGAAACTTTATTTCTGCTCTGCTGAACGTGCTCCGTGGAAGTCAGACTTGAATGAGTTCTGCTCAGTGTCAAAATCACGAGCATTTTTCTGTAAAGGAATCATCAGGTGGTTTGATACTCACAGGTATGCTCTGATTTCTCCTTTTCGGTGGTCATGTGTTTTGTCTCCTAACTCTTAATTGCAGACGGTATGTTTCTTGCTGCTGTAGTAAGGTAAAAGCAGCATTTGGAAGCACATGCTCATTCAGGTAAACTGCTTAAGCAACATAAAGCAACGAACAGAGGGATTTCCCTCCGGCTCTGGAAGTAGAATTTGTCGCTCACCCTGATTTATTCCTCTTACAGATACACAGACGCGGCCAGCAAATACGAATCCGTCATGAAGCTGGAGCCTGGAGTTCCAGAATACACAGTTCGCTCAAAAGAAAGGATCTGCCACTGCTTCTCGAAGGTAACGGGTGACCCCTTCCCAGAAATCATTTCCATTCTTGCTGGAAACGTAAAGACTTAGCACGTGGCACAGAGACCAGAAACCGCTTCCCCACGTCTGCTTCCAGGACGCGAAGCCTGTGGAGGCCATTCGGGTGTGCTCGGAGGTTCTGCAGGCGGAGCCCGACAACGGGAACGCCCTGAAGGACCGCGCGGAGGCCTACCTCATCGAGGAGATGTATGATGAAGGTCAGTCCGCACGCAGTCGGCTTCTCGGCGTCTGCGTGCTGATGTGCGTGAAAATGAGCACACGGTTGAGATCCTGTTGTTCAGAACGGGTTTACCAGATACCAGGACCTGCTGATAATTTTAGAAAAACCGGCAGGAACTTCAAAGTTATTCTTCCTTCGTAGAACTTGAAAGGTATATACCATCTAAGGAGAAAGTTTTGTTGAAACCAGTTCAGTGACACTTAAAACTTTCAGTGTTTCTTTTAGACAAGCGTGAAAAGATGAGTAACAATAGAAAATTTAAATTATAGATATTATCTCATCCTGTTGTAATCAGTTAATTTTGAATTTATCTTTCAGACTTTTTCTATACATACTCTTTATTCTATATATTAGAACACACATACGCATATATAGTATACATTACACATACTGCATATATATTTATGTCATATATTTCTAAATAGAAAATGATCTGTGACTCCTAACCTATTTAATAACATTAGGGTAGCTGCTTATCCTACGCTATTCAAGTTGAAGTCACAGAAAGAGTTTTCTGTTAGATGTTGTTGTAAGGACCTTGAATGGCAGTGCCCTATTTTTGCAAGATAACTAAGGCATATACAGTAATATACATGTTCTGAGAGCTAGACTTTTTCATGTGACAACATGCTATAAGCATGTAAGTGTGCTAGTTTTTAAAAGAAGCAAGCCTTACTGCCCTTATTGCAAAGTTTTCATTTCAAATTAGGTACATCATTTTAAATTGAAAACAGTATTTTTCTTGCGAAACTTAATCTGTGGTACTCTTTTTTGTTTTTTCAATGAGGTGCTGAATATTTATTTAATAAAAGAGTATGGCCATTAAAATAATATGTATTATATTTGAATGCCATGCAAAAATAGGCATTTAAGAGTAATCATGGATAAAATTTTAAATGCAGTAAAAATGCATCTATAACATAATAAAACATTTTAAAAAGGAGATAACTACACTTTTAATTATGAAAGGTTCATGGTAGGTTTTTTTTCCTAAGGCAAACTGATCATTCACTTTTTTCCTGCTTTTCACAATTTGACAAGAATCTTGCTCCTAACTGGTTGCCGGGGAGTGACAGTAACTCTGGTCATTGCTCTTCGGGGGGCATTTCTACGGTGTCGTCTCTGAAGTGTCTGACTGAGGCTTGAAGCGCGTGCAGTCAGCACGACAGGCGTCACTGGCCATGAGAACGCCGCAGTAGAGCAGGCCCTCTGCGCGGAGCAGCCGCTGGCACCACGGTCCTTTCCACCCTCCAGCTGCGGTGCGTGCTCGGGGAGACGGACATGCTCCCGACGCACCCTCTCTAAGCTGTGGGGGCGCTCCGTCAGGAGCTCCGTCGTCGCCTGTGTGTGTGCGCGGGCCCTCGGCTCTGGCTGGGGACTCAGAGACGCCGCAAAACACAAAACGTGGCTGTTAAAATAAGGTTAAATCTCGTGGGCTGCCGAATGTAATTGGAACAATGCCTTTGTGAATGTCACACTGACTTTTTTAAGGAAAACTTCAGAGCTTAATTCTTGAAAAAAAGATGCTTAAATTAACTTAATAGAATAGATGTCTTTGAAAATGTCTTTTTCCTTTAAAGATTTCTTTTAAATAGGAGTTTCTTTGTATTTGAGAGGAGGGCTTAGATTATACACTAGGACTATTTCTGAATGAATAGTTTTACAAGAGTAAAATGGTTGAGTCACAAGTATGGAAATTAAGCATCGTCCTGGAGTGAGAATGGGTTGGTAGGTCTTTAAATTTGGGGACTAGAGAGGAAGCCTGCATCGTTGAAACCGAAAGGTATTCTTTGACTTGTCTGGGTTTGAATCAGAGGTTTAGTAAATGTGAGTAATAATCATACTCAATTCAGCTAAATAATAATGTGGAGATCCTTAGTTAAACTCTAAAGGCTTTCCATATTGTTAGCTCCTTTTACCTTTTTAAAAATCAGCAATGTGAAATGATAGTAGGTGTATAATGAATAAAGAAAAAATATGCTTAGATTAGTGCGTCATGGAACATGGTGATTTATTAGTTTGGGGCGTATAGTAGGATCGTTGGGGAAGACAGTGGGGGATTCCACTCCTCCGGAGGCAAGCAGAGAGCAAGAGATGGTTGTGCGAGGGTGCCGCTGAGGCGGCTCTTCGGCCCTGTGAGTCCTTCTAGTAGTTTCTGGGAGGAGCACACTGGCCCTGAAGCAATATTGGACAGTTGGCAGAGTTCCCTTGAACACAGGGTGATTCAAGTGTCCTCCTGATATAGCAGTTATGTTGGCTGGAACTCAAGCTACGCGGGACCTGTGTCTGTGTTACTAACTGATACATCTCTGGCCCTGTGTCTGGCTCGTAGGCAGGCACTCACATAGTTGCTGAGTGAATGAATGTCGCCAAGGAATGAGGTCACAGTGAAAAGAGTATGGAATTTAGAATTAGCCCTGATTTGAGGCTAGCTTTGCCATTTATTTTTATTTTTAATTGTGGTAAAATACACGTGAAATTCATTGTATTGATGTTTAAGGGTACCGGTCAGTAGTGTTAAGTATATTCACATCGCTGTGCATCCAGGCTCCAGGGCTTTCGTCTGGAAAAACCGAACTCCACGCCTACCAAACTCCATTCCCAGTGAACGTTTGCCTTGCCCCCTCCCAGGCCCTGGCAGCCTGCACTTCGCCTTCTGTGTCTGTGAAGTGACTATTCTACACAGGTCTTAGAAGGGGAGTGACACGGAATTTCTTTTTGTGGCTGGCTTATTTCACTCAGTGTGATGTCCTCAAGGTTCATCCATGCTGTAGGACGTGTCGGGACTCCTTCCTTTTTAAGGCTGAACAGTGTTCCACTGTATGTGTATGATTTGTCTGTGTGTATACAATTCTCTGATGGACATACTTCCATCTTTTGTCTGTCACGAATAACGCTACCCTGAACACGAGTGTACAAATACCTGCCTATGCAAGGCTGTCCTTTAAATTCTCCCGGGTACATATGTGGGAGTGGGATTGCTGCACCACGCCGCACTTCTGGCTTTGTAGTTTCCCAGGAGCCACTACACTGACTTTTTGTAATGATTCCCACCAGCAGTACTGAAAGGGTTCCAGTATTTCCCATCCTTGCCAACATGTGGAGGTGGAGTTTTCCGTTTTCTTCTTTTTTTTTGATAGAAGCCATTCTTAAGAGTGTGAAGTGATACCTTATTGTGGTTTTGATTTGCATTTTCCTAAAGCTGATGCTGAGCATCTGTTCACATACTTGTTGGCCATTTGCATGTCGTCTTTGGAGTATGCCACTCATTTCTGCTGTGTGGTCTCAATCACCCTCGCCCGTTATGCTTCGCTTTCCCTGTCTGTGCGATCGGAGTGAGAACAGATGCTGACGGTGCCCGCGTGCAGCTGATGAATGTGTGTCCTGAGCACGTCCAGGGGAGGCCAGGCCAGGCTGCGGTGTTCAGTAGGCTAGGGTAGGAGATGCATATCTGGCTTCTGACACTTTCAGTCCACAGTGGGTTTACTGGGGTGTGACCCCATTGTAAGAGAAGGAGCACCTGTATGTGGAGTTTTCTTCAGTTTGGTGACACTGCTGCTGCTATTCTAGAAAATGTAGTCACGTGTAATATTTATGTTTATGCATAAATATGTACCCCACATAGTATATATTATTTTATAAACATATTATTTTATAAAGTTAAATACAAAATGTATTTTGAACAAGGTTCATATTAAAACCCAAGAGATCTTAAACTATTTCATAAAAGGCACCCACACAAACATACCTTGAGTTAAATGACTCAGTTTGATAGGAACGATTCACACCCAGTGTTATACATGAACCAGTTATGAGTCTTGACAGTGCAATGTCAAGTACATTAAAATATTTTTGTAGTTTAAAAGCAAACGTAATGGGTTCTAATTTTAAAAAAGCACATATCTCATAGAATTGTGACAAATAAGATGATGCTTAGAAAATACTTGGTTCAGGGTTGCTAGTACACTTTTAGGTAAACGGCTTCCTTTATGCTCATTTTCAGGGTAGTGGTTTGGAACTTGCATTAACTTTTCTGTACTTTTCTGTACAAACAGGATCGTATGGGGTAGCTAGCTGCTGCGTTAACTCTGTTTGATGCAGCTGTCACTCTAGTGTTATGAGTAATGTCCAGAATTCTGAGGACAGGAGCCAGGCGGTGCCTTTTATGGGTGAAGGGCCAGCCTGTGGAATAAAGGTTTTATTTATATTTCTTCTGTAAGAGTTGCTGGTGAATTAAAGCATTTTTAGGTATGAAACTCCTTTTATTTTTGACATTAATTTCTAGTGTTCTAGCATTGTGATCAAAAAATATTTTTACCACTTTCATTCTTTTGTAATTTATTACTGGTTTCTTTTCTCCTCCTCTGCCCTCCTCTTCCTCCTCCTTCCTCTACCTAAAATGGCTGACTGCATGAGTTTTAAGGATTTTAAATAGGTGAGTTAAATATATTTACATTTATCGACATGACAGAGGTGTGTGGTCTGAATTCTGGCATTGTTCTGCTGAGAAAATTTGCTGTTGGGCCTGCCCCACTACTTTGTGTACTACTTTGATATATAAGAAAGCTCCTATTTTCCTTCTTGGTTGTTTTTATAGTTCTGCTAAGTTAGGCCTCTTCCTTTGGGCAGCACCTACCGGTTCCCTGCAGGGAAGGATGCTGGCGTGTCCCTCCCTCCTTTCCTTCTCCTCTGCCACTCAGAGCTCGCTCATGCAGCTCTGCCCGGTGTTTGCCTTGGACTCCTGGTGGGCGATGCTTCCTGCTGCAACTGGGGGAGAACCGGTGGACTGCTTCATGCCCCAGTGTCTGTTAGCGCAGCCCTTCTTCCTCGTGGGCATCCGTTCTCCGCCGGCAGTGAACTCCGCGTTTTGCTTTGCCTTCCGCATAAACACGCTCGGCGCGCGCCGTCTCCTTGGCCGTGGCGTCTCCAGACTGCTCTCGGCAGGTCCCTCCGTAGGAGTTCGCTTGCGGGGCTCCTGGGAACACTTTCCCCTGATTTCTTCTCTGTTCAAAGCTCTTGCACCTTTGTTCTTGGAGGACGGCTTGGCCAGATAAAACAGCCCTTGGTTCACGGACTGTCTGTGTCTCTTACTTCGCACTCCATCCTCTCTGGGCCCTGGACATTGCTGTGGAAGCTCGGGCCAGCAGTTTGGTTTCGGGCCGCCCGCCCGAGGGGCCCTTTCCTTCGCCCGTGTCACGCACGCCTGGGCACGTCTCCCTGCTGGCCGTTCCCACCCTGTTCGCCCGGGCACCTGCTGGACCTTTTGAATACATTTATCTTTTTAGCGAAGTTTTCTTCAATTTAATCTGGATTGCTCTATTCTCTCGGTTTTCTGCTTCCATGACACGGTTATGTGTAGGCTGCACTCCCTCTGCCGGCCAGCTGTAGTGACCGTTGTTTCCCTCTGGTCTTTTTAAACGCTCTTGCCATTTCATCTTGTTGGGTCCTCATTTTTTCCCATATTCTTCTCACCGTGTGTCTTCTCATTTCATCTTCACTCCTATGAGTTTGTTTCATTTTTAACCCTTTCTCAAGGATACTTTTTCATCGCTTTTGGAGAGGAAGTGGGAGAGACAAGCATCGATTGGTTGCCTCCCAAGTACATCCAGACCAGCGACTCTGCGCACCAGGACCGGGGACTGAACACTCCCAGACGGGACTGTGTGTGCTAGACCAGGGCTCGAACCCACAGCCTAGGCATGTGCCCTGACCGGGAATTGAACCTGTAACCTTTCGGTTATGGGACGATGCTCCACCCGAGCCATAATGGCCAGGGCAATGAGAGTTTTTACTGCGTTGTGCTTATTTTTCTGGAGTTGGGACCACTCACCATTTCAACGCCTCCATGTCTCATCTCACTCTCTTTGCTGAGTGCTTGTTCTGCTTAGTGATTACCCTCAATGGGGCGACTGAGTTAAACTGTGGATATTCGTACCATAATGTTTGCTCGGAATGGTCACATATTCTCCGGCTGTTCTGATGCATGTTCATCAGGTAAGTTTTGGTGCTTGTGTTGTTTTACTTTAAAAATTACGTATCTCTGAATTGATGCTGCACCGTGTAAAAGTACTCCTCCTCACAGAAAGACGTGCAGGAGCCTTTCCTCGTCCCCTGGGGGGTGTGGGGGGCGGGCTGGGCACACGGTGGCCTCTGCAGTTAACCGTCGCAATGCTCTCTGCTTCACTGTCTCCACAGACATTCTGCCTCCTGCCAGAATGGCCTTTCTTCCGTATAGCCCTGCCCTCTCTGCTCCTCCAAACCAAACCGTGCCCGGGAGGTCGTCTGCTGCCAGTCCTGCTGCCCCTCTGCCCACTTCCTTTGCTACAACGAAAGGGGTGTCTCTTTGGCCCGGCAGGGTGAGCCCCTCACCTTCCGAGAGCCCGTGGTTGCTGAGTTCCCCGAGATGGGCTGCCCAGGGCTGTCTGCTGTGCTCGCTCATCGTGGCCCCTCCTTTACCCGTCTTCCCCCCGGGGGGCCTCTGCTGTCTCCCCACTGCAGCTGCTCTCGATTCCAAGGTCCTCCTGATAGGCGGAGGGTGCCGGCTGTCCCTTCAGGGTGCGCCCACGCGCACAGAACGCGCTTCGTTGGCATGTTCTGGGATCTCTTGCCGTTGGGCCTTTCTCACTGTTTGCTTCCCCCTCTCCTTTTGGATTCGCAGCTGGTCTTAGCAGCCCTCCTGCAGTTCCTTGGAATTGTTTTGCTGAAAGTGCAGCTCTCCCCCGCACCCGTTTATCTCATTTTGCACGATATCCAGGATGAGAAAGTGGGCGTTCCACGGGCCTGTTTACACTGGAGGTATGACTCGATCTTGAACAGGCTCTCCAGCGTCCCTGCACGGAGAACAGACTTTCAGGGGCGTGGGGGGCTAGGAGCTGCAGAGAGCTGCTGTGAAGCTATGATAGCCTTCAGGTGCGTTCATGATGCGCTTCATTATGCCGGTAACTGGAAATGGCGAGAAGTAGTTACATTCTGTTGGAGAGCAGCTGACTTGGGATTTGCTAATGGATTGGTGAAATGAGCGAGGGGCCATTTGCAACTATGCTTCTCTGTACTGGGGACTCCCTGCAGACTTTACGGGGGGTGGGGGGGGTGGAGAGCCTAGCCACAGGAAGCCTTCCTCTGCCCGGCTTGGCCGTCTTGTCCAGCTGCCAAGTGAGCAGGGCTTAACTCGTTCTGCTTTACTTACCAGCCGCAGTCCTTCGGGCACCTCGGCGTGGGTGGACCTGCTTTCCCCAGTGTGTTCCAGGTCTGTCGCGGAGGTCTGTCTGGAGGGCCTGTGGGCTGGTTCTGCCTCTCTTCCCGTCCCAGCCGCCGCAAGGGACCCTCCAGATGCACGTCCTCCGCTCTGCCGAGGCTGGTCCTTGGGCCCCAGGAAGGGTTAATGCTGTAGCTGCTGCACATGACAGGGAAGAGCCCGCCCAGCCACCCTTGACTCATCTAAGGGACCGTCCTGACGAGTGCCGTAAAGCCGCTCTTGTTCACAAGACAGAGTCCTTGGCCAAACAGAGCAGCCTCCAAATTTGCTAGGGCCTCTTCCAGTGTGCATTTGGACTGTGGTTCTTTCTACTTAGGTTTATTCCTTAGTACTATGATCCCATTTGTTTTCTGTCTTCCAGAAACCTACCAAAACCTCCGGTCTGCTGGTTTCAGTGCTGCCATGGTTATGTTACTATTTCTTTGTTCTTGCCGTTTTGGTGGGACAGGGGTCTGGAGGGCAGGCAGACGCCTGTGCTCACGGTCTGGGCTCCTGGTCTGGTGGTTTGCTTTGCTCCTTAAGAACTGAGCGAGGGGAGTAGGGAAAAAGAACTTGGGAGGGAGGGTTTTTAGACTTGGAGATTAGAAAGGGAATTGGCTAGTATGTACTGTAACATGCTTGTCACTTGGGACTTCAGTATTTCTGGCTCGTTCTGCTTTTCACAGCTGCTCATTGTGGTACGGGGTAAACGTAACTGAGTGGCATTTAGTGTTTTTTTTTGAAGATTCTCTTGGCAAGTAGAATCTGAAATATAATTTAAAATGATCTGTCTTACATCATCCATACAAAGTTTCTGATTAATTGCCTGCCTATAATCATGTGAATTTAGGAAACAACCTATAATCTGCCTTAAGTTTTAATACCAGACAGGCCATGGGAGACTGTTTTGGGGGAGGGACTGCGGACACTGCAGAAGGCAGGCGTGTTTTAATGCCGAGTTTGCAGAAGCAGCAAACAGCATTCCCCTTGTGTTAAACTCCTCGAAAAGGCATTTCCTCACTAGGTTGTGGTATCAAACACTGTGGGTATTGCTTGCAGTGAAACCTCACTACTGTTTATGATGGATTTGTGTACTGAATTGGAAGGACATTTTAGGGTGTTACTGTGGACTGGTGACAGTAATAGTTAATATCTCATATTAACATTCAATATCAACGCATTGAGGCAAGAATTAGGATAAAAGCTTAAAGCAGCTGCCCTGAGGGGCGAGAGGTAGTGTTGCTTTTTCTGTGTGGTGCAGACTTATAAATTTGTCGATCATATTCTTGTATCTTATTTTAACCTGGCCTGGGGTTAACCCCTGCTAGGACTAGCTGTTGCCAGGACGAGCGCGTGCCCACACCAATGGCATTCCGTAACAACGGAGGTCGAGACCAGCGGTCTGCTGTCTGGGGAGTCTGCCTAGGGAGCACGCCCCAGGGGAGCTTGTGTCGGGGCTTCCCAGGCCCAGCCCCAGATTTGGGGGCTCAGGGCCGAGATTTACTCTGGTGACTGAGCACCAAGTAAGGTCGGCAGAGGGACCAGGCTCATGGGGCAAAGATGGCAAGTGTGTGTCTCTGAAGTCACATGGAACACGCTGACTCTGCAGCGAGTGTGAGGCGTTCTCCACCAGGGATGCCTGCCCGAGACCCAGGGCCCCGCTGTTCCTGGGGGCTGGGGAGCAGGTGCCTTTTGCCTCACGTCCCACCTCCGGATTCCCGAGGAGAGACGGCATTTAGCATAAACCACATGGTTTACTCGAAGTTTCAGCGTGGTGAGCCCGTCTGATCAGGGGATGTCGGGCGCCCAGCTCCCCGGGGGCCTGCCAGGGGCCGCCCTGGCCAGCGTACCTTCATGAGGGTGACGGCGTCAGTCAGGCCCACTGTGTGCCCTCTCCCCTGCACCACACGGAGTGCCCAGATGCCGCCTGCATCTGAAACAGAGGACACAGTGGCACTGTCACCAGACTCCCCAGACCCGTCAGGGGTACACGGTTTTCTGGTCTGACTGACACAGGAAACCAGCGGACGTGTGTGCTGACACCCGTGGGCGAATCAGTGCTTCTGAGGGCAAGCGGCCCCCCTCGCGCCCCCCCCCGCCCCCCAGCCTCGGGTTCTCCTGTGCTCGGGACCCGCAGCTGCCCGCCCAGATTTCCTTTGCCATTGTTCTGTCTCCTGTGTAACAGTCACTTTAGTCTGAATGATGTTGAGAGTGCTTTGTATAAAGTGCTGCTGTTAAAACACCTGCAAGGCCAGAAGGTGTGGGGAAGGTAATGTGGAGGGTAAGTAAACAGACAGCAGTGGATGTTACTGACTGGGAGCAGTAAGCCGCTACATTCAGCCTCAGTTACGGTGTTCCTTCTCAGGCTCCTGGCAGGAACAGCAGAAGAGCGAAGGGGTTGGGGATGGTGACGTCAGTGTTCCTTTGCAGGGTAAGTGAAGGTTATAAATTATAATTCCTTTTTACAGCATTGTCTTAAACATATTTTGACAGCTATCCAGGACTACGAAACTGCTCAGGAGCACAATGAGAATGACCAGCAGATTCGGGAAGGCCTGGAGAAAGCACAAAGACTGTTGAAGCAGTCCCAGAAAAGAGATTATTATAAAATCTTGGGAGTAAAAAGGTAATTAAAATTTGCATTGTTATTTTTAATCAACTGTTTTGAAGCTAGTCATTGTTCCTCATCTCTCTCTCGGATTCATTTTCTTTCCTTAGATACTTTCAGTCTTAGAGTAACCCTAACAGTCTAACGTCTTCACGTGATTTGGAGTATGTTCCCGTTTTCTGTGGCAGAGCCGGGGATGTGATAGTGGAGAACCAGTGGTCGGTGGCCGAGCTCTGACACTGCAGCGTGACTAGGTGCTAGGCCTGGGTTTCTTAAGGGGGGGGGGGTGGGGAGGATGGGGAAAATAAGGACTTCTCCAGGCCTATGGATACAGTGGCATCTCACGAATCAGGTGCTAAGAGATACTCAGTACACTCCCCACGTGCTGTTACAAAGACCGCCTTCCCTGAACAAACACCTGTCTTCTAAGGACTTGTTTGTATTAATAAGCTAATCCAGAAGTGTTGGGTGACTGATTCTTTTAACTAATGGTTATTAATTTTAACACCCCTTAGAAATGCCAAGAAACAAGAAATCATTAAAGCATACAGAAAACTAGCAATGCAGTGGCACCCAGATAATTTCCAGAATGAAGAAGAAAAGAAAAAAGCTGAGAAGAAATTCATTGACATTGCGGCTGCTAAAGAGGTGCTCTCCGATCCAGGTACTGCCCCCCTTTAGCGCCGCCTCTTCCCTCCAAGTGGCCAAATTGGCGGCTGGGGACTGAGCCCCTCTCCCCTTGGCCCGTGGTGCAGGCAGCCTCAGAGTGGGCGGCAGGCAGGGGCTGCGGGCTGCTCTGGGCCCTGCAGTCTCAGCAGTCCCGTTTCCGTCTGCCCTGGTCCGACTCAGGGGCCCTCAGGTGTGCAGTGCGGCACCGAAAGGCCTGCGTTTGACATTTCCCTGTTCTTTTCCCACCTGCGCTGTGAAAGCACCACAGTGAGGGGGTCTCTCGGGTTCCTTGCAGCTTCATAGATGCAAACTTCCAGGATCTTGATTAGGGAGCCAGACACTGGGCTGGGACGGGAGCCGCCTGCCCGGGGCTCCCGGGCATCTCACCTCCATCGGGCGTTCCCTGGGCGCAGCAGGTGCTCTCTCACCACACGGGGAAGGGGCCTGGAAGATGAGAGTGAGGCAGCTAAGAATTTAGGGAATATTTAACAACACTGATATTTCCAGGAAGAAGGTAATATTAAGCTAATACCTACTGCTTTTTGTGTCTTTCCACATTAGTGGGAGCAGCACAAATAAATTCAATGAAATAGAAGGAAGTTCATGCCCATTGGACAAATTTTTCTGCACACCTACTGTGCTGTGCAGTTGAAATGGCCCTCTTGCTCTCAAGTAACTTAGAGTCCAGTACGGGAGGCAGAGGCGCACTTACTGAGCACAGTAGGGTACGTACGTGCTGTCTGTCCTTCCGCGCAGCAGAGGAGGGTCTGCCCGGCGCCGTGGGCACTCACAGCGGGCAGCTGGGTGTCCATGGAGCTGAACGCAGGGGCCGCAGGGAGCCACCAGGGACAGGGGCTGGCTGTTACAAAGGCCTGCCTCAAGAAAAGCAACGCGTTTTTAATTGCCGAGAGTTGCTTTGTTCTGGGTTCCTTTTCCTTAGCCCATTCTTTGAAGGACGAAAACAGCCTTTTCCCATCTCTGAGGAGGTTGTTAGCTGACTCTTCTGCTGCTTGCGGGTCTCCGTCGTCACACTGGCCGGTGGCGCTGGGCTCCGGCTTACTGGGGCCTTTCCTCCCACGGACAGACCCAGCCAGGAGGCAGCCTCCCGCCCCCGCCCCACCCCCCCAGTCTGAGGAGCCCTGGTCTACCCAGACCCGACAGCGGGGCACTGGAAAGCCGAGGCCTGATGGGGCTGAGCCCAGCTGACTTCCCTCTGGGTTGCTGGAAGGTGCCAGGGCTGCTGGGCCAGCACGAGAGACTGTGGGAGGTCTCCTCCCCCAGTTACTTGTTGTTTTTGGAGAGAAGATGTAGGTGGCCTCAATTTCCGTGGGACCATTGTCCACCCCTGCCCTCCGCCCTTCTTCGTGACTGGTGTTTCCCTCGTCCACTGTCCTGAGACCAGACTGCTGACGGCGGGGCGGGGGGAGGGGACACACAGTAGGAGACCCGAGCGCTCAGCTCCTGGCTCACCGGTTCTCATCACTGAGCGGCGAGCGGCCCGCCATCCCCGCCCCTCGGTCACTCACCCCTGGGGCTGACCTGGCTGTTCCTCTTACAGAAATGAGGAAGAAGTTTGACGACGGAGAAGACCCCCTGGACGCAGAGAGCCAGCAAGGAGGCGGCGGCAACCCCTTCCACAGAAGCTGGAACTCGTGGCAAGGCTTCAACCCCTTCAGCTCAGGCGGACCTTTTCGATTTAAATTCCATTTCAATTAAGCCAGCTGTTCTTTTGCTCTTCTTCCTTTTTTTAAAGATTAAAAAGATAAATATTATTCTAGGATCCTAATGAAAAAAAAATTCAAATCTTTGTCCGTGACCAAAGAATTGTTTTAATAAGAAAAATCAGTTCTTACCTACTTCAGGCTCGAGGCTGACGGGTGTTCCGGGCAGGGCGGCGCGGCGTGTCCCGCAGGGCCACCTGCCCGCGCGCGCGGGGGCCGGGCTCTCGCAGCCTGTGTGCCCCGCCGGAGGGCGCCGGAGCTGCGGTCTCCCAGCCTCGTGTGGCAAGTCCTGCCGATGCGTAGGAGGCGGAGCTGTGTCTTTGTGAGAATGGGTCTTATTTCAGTGTTCTTAAAGAGAATGTTCATGTTTTGAGCTGTATGATCCTTGGGTTGATTTTGCTTCAATTTTGGTCAGTCCGGTCACTTGCAAACGTGTTAAATTACGGAGCCTGCTTTCACCCCGTGCACCGGCGTCTCCCTCCTGGCATGAAGGCCGGAGGGGTGCAGTGCGCACGCGGCGGTCGAGGTGGCCAGGGTGAGACTGTGGGTGGGTGTTGGCAGGCTCTCGAGAGAACCCTAACCACCACTGAAACAGAATTAACTGTAAGACCTGTCTCCGTTTGATATGAAACAACAAATTAAGTTACATGCAAAAAAGGTTCAGCTAATGTAGCAGTGGTTTTATTTCAAGTAATTTTGCAGAGGTGCAGAGGGAAATACTTCAACAGCTGACACTGTGAGTTCAGTGGAACTCCCCAGAACAGGACCGTCTCCGACAGGTGCGGCTGCTTGGTGCACAGGGCAGGTGCCCTCTCTCTCACTGTTCCTACCTGCAGTGGGCAGCTCCTCCCCGTCCTGGCCGAGCCCCGGGACATGGATGGGGGAGACGCCCCTTGCTGCCTCTGCAGGCTGCCACCCGAAACAGCACAGGTTTACAGCCCCGGTGGCCCGGCCACCTCCCCCGGCAAGATGGCGTCTCTCCTTGGGATACCTTTGTACCTTTTAAGAAATTATTCCATCTTTGTATATTCAGTAATTTTTTCCTTAAAAATGAGTATTTTAATCAAGAACATTAAATATTTATGGAACTACTGATACTGCATTTAAATTCTAAGAGAATTACTTTAGATAAGGATTAGTACCTTTATTCTAGAAAGGTTTTTGTTTGCCTCAGAGCATGTTGAAGCATTTCAAGCAGTATGAGTCCAGTACGTTGTTTTTACGAAACCCAGCATTCACTTCACTGTTGGGAGGCATCCTGACCAGTACTGTCCACAACGGCCAAGCACAAATTACTTTCTTCTCCAGTCGTCCTGAAACACGTGGAAAACCTTTTCAAACGGAGGCAGAACCACGTGGTTGAGTTGGGTGAGATGCAGAAGTGCTTTTGCATCTATTTAGAAGCCTGTACCTTACCAATAAACTTACGAGTGCATTTCAAAAACTAGTGAACAGCTTGCAGCTCTCATTTCATTTTAATGTTTCAGAAGTCAAGTTAATGTGAAGACTTAGGAAATCCATGGTTAGTGATTTCATGACTTCATTAGTTGTATCAGATTTTTTTTTCAATCTGCTGCTTTTGTCTGTGTTGCCAGCTGTGACCTCTTTGAGATGTAGCACGGCCACTGTCTATTTCAAAACAGATGCTCTGCACACGACCGGGACAGAGGGAGCACCGGACCCCTCGCCCGTCCACTCGGAGGACAGGGCGGACAGGTGCCGCCGGGGGCCAATGCAGGGGAGTGTCCGGGTACCGCCGCCCTGCTGCCCGCCGGCCGCCGCTCCGGGGGCTGTTCACCCGGCTGCTTCTCCGCGGGTGACGGCCGTGGCTCCTGCTCAGAGTCTTACCGCGGGTTCAGTTCAGGCATCTGACCTGAAGTGTGCAGTGACTTGTGTTTTCAGTGAGGAGACAGTACAAGCTCTGATGCCAAATGCCAATGGCACCCAGAGAAATTCCATGGAGTCTTGTTTTGCTGATTATTGAAGAACACCACCACCTTCCACTTCCAGCTGTGATGGGCAGCAGCGGTCTGACGGGGTCACCTGAGTGGCGAGGCGGCCACCTCACGTGTCCGTCATGGCAATGGAGGAAAACGGGCGGGAGTGTGTGAAGGGCGAGGAGGTAGAGTGAGAGGGAAGCAGGTGGCAGAGCGAGCCTGGGGCGACTCCCCCCTCCCACGCTCCAGGCCCTCTTTGGAGATCGGTACCTGCGCCCTTTCCAGCTCTTTCTGGAAAAGTGAGTACGGAGGGGCACGGCCCTGCCCTGCCCTGCCCTGCGGCCCTTCCTTACCTGCACCTCGGTCCCTTCTCAAACCGCGCCCTGTGGCGAGCTCCGGAAGGGAAGCACCTCGGGGTGGCACGCAGTGGGCATTTCCACGGCAGCAAGATTAGACTCCTCAGCCTGGAGGTGTGAGGCAGTTCCAATAAGGCAGAAGAAATTAATTCATTGCCCACTTCTGAAAGTTTGTACTTTCTTACCACAGATAGATGAAAACTTGAAAACTACTTTTAACAGTTTACTGATGTGAATTGGACATAACATAATACTAGTTTTAAAATGTCTTTCTCTTGAGTCAGTATTAAAAGTTTCTTTTAAATGCCAGCATGGAAACTCTTCTGGGATTCTGATAATGGAATGTAAACTACCCACAGATTTTTAGAGAGTAAAATAACTGATAACCGTGCAGGAAGAAAGGCCAGGAGGCTCACAATTCGAAATGGGCACCGTTTTCTATCCATGGCAGAAAAGGGGAGATCTCACTCGGAAAGGCGTGGACTTGGTCAGCAGTGGCACGTGAGAGCTGCTGTGAAAACAGACGCGCCAGACGCTCCAGGTGCAGGCGGCGCCGCCGCCGGGGCGCACGGGCCTGCAGCAGGTCGTCTCCGACCGCAGGCAGCCGTGCAACCTGGAGACCCGTGCGGCTTCTCCGAATGTGGTTACTGTCCCGGGTTTTCCAAGGAAGGAAGGAAGGAAGGAAGAAGGCAGTGCTCACTTGTCAACCCGTAATATCTCTAGTCTAAGTCCGATCATTCCTTTTCAAGTAGCAGTTTACTCTTTAATTGCAAATAGTGTTAATAGAGGTGGGGACGAGGTTTTTTATGGATGACCTCATTTGCTGAATGACTTAAGAGTGAAGTTGGCCACTGCGTGGCTGGGTGTCGGGACCGGTTCCGTTGTCACGGTCATGCGCGGCGCCGCCCCCCGCCTGCGTAGGAAGCAGCGCGCGGAGAGCGTCAGAGCGTCACACCGGAGATACTCCAGAAGGTCAGACACGACTGCTCCGGGAAGGCTGCGTAGCTGGTTTTGAATGAGGCGGGACTGAGTACCTTCATCCTTCTCCATTTATAGTGTTTTAATAATAAAAGACACAAAATTAAAATGGGTCTCAGACATGTCTATACATACGGGCACTATTTTTATGCCCTTGTATTTTCACATTTAATAAAAATATTTATGGTCAAAATCAGTACCTTTCTGCCTTCCTTTGTAGACTTCCGGGGAAGTCCGTTTTCTAGTGCGGTGCCTTCTGACACGTACGTACGTACTTACGTACTCTGCGTACGCTGGGACTGAGGTGGCGGGGCTGAAGGGCGGTCGCAGCGCCAGACGCAGAGATGGCCCCGCCCCATCGCTCGCCTCCCGAAGTCCTCGGTCTGTGGTCTGCGGGGCGCCACAGTGGGCGGGTCTTCGGCTTCAGCACAGTTCAAGCCCCATCCTTACATTGGCCTTGTCTGAAGACTTGGTCCCTTTTACACTGTAGTTCGCACGTTTCAGTTTGAGTCCTCAAAGGGGGGTGGGGACACAGTGCTGCCCGTCTCAGTCAGATTTTGACCCACCAACAGTCACTCCCCCCGGTCTACTCTGCACATCTTAAATGGGGGACGGCTAGGATGCGTATGCAGACCTTTCCCACAAGGCTCGAAGACGGCAAACTCCTGAGCACATCTGTGCGATGTGTGAGCAACTGGCCGTGGTCTGGAGACAACGAAAACACCTGCCACGGGCACACTGGCTGCCGGCTGAACACGGGAGGAGGCTCCCCATAAAACATTCATAAACCTAGATTTTCAGATACGAGCTCCCAGCCAAGTGTGAGACACGCAAATGCTGCCATTCCAGCCGCAGGGCAGCAGCCGGGAAGGGGCCGTCAAGACTCCACGTCCCTCTGCAGTTTCGGTTTCACTGTGAAATACAGAGTCTGGGGCCGCGTGGTGGTACTGAGCACGGGTGTCAGGTGCCCGGGCTGGCCGATGCCCCCGCCCCCGCCCCCACCCCCACGGGAGTCGCACAGAGTGGAGCGGAGGCTGGTGCCATAAAGAAAGCAAAGCACTGTCCTGCTGTGAGGTGGGGGGCTTCTGCCCAAACCACCACCAGACCCCTCAGGTGGGGTGCCCCCAGCCTCTGACCTCTCATCCCGCCCAGGTGCTGCACCTGGCTGCACCTGGCTCCAAAGGGGAGTGAGCCAGACAGCACGGAGGAGACGGTCCCCTCAGGCCCAGCTGCCGCCGCCGCCTTTGACAGCACCCTTCAGGGTCCCTGGGAACCACAGCAGCAACCTCCCTCCATCGGGGCAGGCCACACCTGAGCACCCCATTTCATCACAGACACACGAACAAGTAACGCAGGTGTGAGCAGGGCAGGGGGAGGGCTTGGGTCTTCGCGCCCGTGAACGGAGCTGCTGGGAACAGAGTCCTTACGGCAAGGACTCTGGTCTGTGCTGTCCCTCGGAGGAGCGGACATGCCCAGACGAGCTCCAGGGAGCACGGCCACTGGCTCACGGGGACCTGACTGCGGAGCTGCCCAAAGACGGGCCAGCCTGCCACTGCGCAGCCTGCCACTGCGGGCGGGCAGACAGTGCTCCGTCGCCCTGAGGGCCCACCATGGCCCGAGGCCCCATGCGACAGAGCCTCGTGAGGGGGCAGGCACACGGGCTGGGGCCACTGCTGCGTGCTCCCCAAACCTCACGCCCCAGCAGCACCACCCGGGAGCCCTCACGCTCACCTCAGCCCCATTACAGCAGCGTCCTCCGGGGACAGGACCCACTGACAGCGAAGTCTCTTCCAGTCCCTGGATGCCGTGGCTCCGCAACGGTCACGTGGGTTTTAAACACTGACTGGTCCTACTCGTCAGTTATTTACACACAGCAGGAGGACACGGTTCACCTTCTGCACTCAGTTTCTATAAAAGTAGCCAGTTCATTTTTTTTTAAAAAGGAATATATGCCCCATAAGCCCACAGATATCATTTGATAAAGGAAAAATTAGAAACATTGAAAATACAGATTCAGTATGAGATTAAAACATCAGATGAGTTAAGGTGAAATAACATTATAATGCCACGATGCCTTCCGATTACAGCCGCAATTAAGGTGTAAATGGGCTTCATTTATTTTTACCATTCAGAGACAACCATGAGTCCTTTTCCCTTTTTCAAAAGAAAAGCCGGCACGCTCTCCAACCTGAAGTGCGTTTGGTGAGTAGGAGCACACAAGTGCACGCAGCGCCGGGACACACGGACGTGGACGGGCCGGTACACCCCGCAGGTCAGACGGGGTTCACAGGGCTCCCTGGCCAAGCAGCCCTTGAACTTGTGACAACACGGTGTTTTAGGCAATCAGGAAAAAGGAATAATCTACTTGTAAATACTCAGTGGCCATTTCTTGTATAACTTAAACTTAATACATCAAGTACATGTATTTTTAAATAACTTTTTTAAATTGAAGAATATGTCACTGATCCTTAATGAAACTTCCAAAAGTCTTAGCAGCAGTTCCACACTTTCCCAGCAGGTGGCAGCCTCCTCATCGTACTTTCATTTTCTCTGGCATAAGGGCCAAGGCTAGAGTTCATCATGTGCCAAAACTGTAGGGGAGGAAAGTTCCTTTAGTCCTTGAGAAACCTTTCAAATCCAGTGCACTCACATCTTACCGATGGATGGGATATAGAAAAGGCACGGCTGCTGACTGAGGGTCCTTTCTGTTAGTTTAGTGCCTATTTGCTTCTTTGTGCGACATTAGAACAGCCTTTGTGCGTCATGGCATCTACTGGGCTGTACTGCACCATAACTCCTTGCCTTTGTCCCCTCCTAGAGGTGAGCTCCCAGAGTCCGTGAGGACAAGGACCACACCTCATTCATCTGTGCTATCTCCAGGCCCAGCCCCCTGCCTGGCAACGAAGGCCTTGAAAATGTGCACACACCACTCGCCAAGCACAAAGCACCCTCTCACTGGTGTGACGGGCAGCGAAGAGCAGAAGGGACGCTGGAGACTCTCAAGGGACAAGAGTGGGTTCTCCTCCTTCCGCATCACTGACAGGTCACATGCTACTGGTTTGAGAACACTGAGAATTCAAAGTGGTATTTTCAGGTAGAAATTAAAAGAAAACAAGGCATCCTGTGCCACAATTCGAGATGGCAAACAATGCGTCTCTCTTCACTAAATTCCACTTTGAAGCTGATACAGAAACACAGAAGGAAATAGCAACAAGAGTGGGGGATCGTTAGGAGATGTCATTGGAGCAGAGCCCTCAATGCATTTCTAAGAACGGAAGAGAGAACCTACAGCTGAGCACAGGAACGCGGAGCGGAGCTGCGCGGAGGAGCCGGGTGCAGAGGCCGCGAACCAAGGGCCTGGGCTGGGAAACCCGCGCCCGCCAGCCCCTCCTCCCGCTCTGCTGCGCACCAGCGAAGATCTGACAGCCTGTTTGTCCCGACAGAAAAAGTAGGACTGTTCTAGAAAATAAGTGGAAAAATCTACTGGGGGGTGGGGGAGAGAGAGGCGGACAGACGTACGGATATTTTTGAATGGGCAGCGGTGCTCTGGAGGACAGCGCCCTCCTGTGGCGTCCGGGGAGGGTGCCATGTGGGGTGGGCTTTGGTCTAGGCCACGCCCACACTTCTGTGGGGGGGGGGGGGGACCCTGCCAGCCCTTTAACCCGCTGACAGACCTGGAGCTCCTGACGAATCCTCCACTGGACTCAGTCTCTCCTGGGGACACAGACACGGTTCCACCACAGCCGGGAGACATGTGCCAGCTGTCTCTTCTAACCAGTCCAGCCTTTCAGTCTTAGATATGTAAAAACTTGAGGAAGACTGTACGCAAAAGGAGCAAGGACCGAGATGACCACACAAAGCAGCTCACCCAACGAAAAGGAAGATAACCACGAAAACTGAAGAGATGCTTAAAATAATTCTAATGAACACTTTCCCAAGATTTCTGAGAAGTCAGTGCAGCCGTAACACGAGAACAAACTGAACCTCGAAGGATGCAAGCAGGGAAAAGGTCTGCTGGGAGTTAAGATGTGAGACTGCCCCTCTCAAAAATAAAGATGGAAAGAAGGGCTGAAGATGAAGTAAAATTTCCCCAGGACACAGAGTGAAGATGAAGGGATACAAAAAGACGATGTAACCACAGAGATGCAAAGGACCACGAGCGACTGCTGTGAACTCTGTGCCAACAAACTGGACAACCCGAAAGAAATGGACACATTCCTAGAAGCACACGACCTACCGATAATGAGTCTGAAGAAACAGAAAATCAGAACAGACCAATCAGTAACCAGTAAGGAGACTGAATCAGTAATAAAAACCTCCCAACAAAGAAACATCCAGGAACAGATGGCTTCACTGGTCCACTCCACCACACATTTTAAGTAAGAATGAACACCAATCCCTTTCAAACACTTCCAGAAAACAGGAGAGAAGGGAACACTTCCAAATAGACTTTACAAGGCCAGCATGACCTTGACACCAAAACCGACCATAATGCCATAGAAGGAAATTATAGGCCAATATCCCTGATGAACACAGATGCAAAAATCCTCAACAAAACATTAGCAAACCGGGTCCAGCGCTACACTGAAAGGACCACAAGCCATGATCACATGGGACTTGCTCCAAGGAGGGGGGGAGGGCCCAATGGCTGCAAAACACTGCACAGCACGTTCAGAAAATAAGGGTGAAAATCCAATGAGCGTCTCAACAGACGTAGAAAATACTCTTAATGTTTCAGACGTCCTTAGTGAAACTCTGACCTCCTCGCTGGACGGCTTTACTGAGGAGTTAGGTTTGTCATCTGCTCTGATGTCGTGTCTAACGCAGTGCGTGTCCCCCCCACCCCCCCATGCAGAGCGCAGACTCACGTGCGTGCTTCCCGGTTTCCAGGCGGTCCAGCAGTCGGCGGATCTCGGCGTCGTACTCCACCCACTCCGGGACGATCCTGGCTGCCGCTTTCAGTTTGGGCTCTTTTGTTTTGGGATTGTTGCACTGGAAGTTTAAATAAAGTTTTGTTATAATAAGAAGCCAATCTCCAGAAACAGAGGAGATTCTCGAGGACGCTGCTGGGTCACTAGAGCAAACACATAAGTTTTAGAAAGAGCCGAGTCCTAAGTCCCAGGTGCCTGAAATACTGGCATCGGCTCTGCAGGGACAAGATCAAGGGCAGCGACAAATCCCAGTTTACGGAAACGAGAAATATCCAATGCAAAGACCTCAATTGGAAGTTTAAACAAAAACTCTTCAAAGACCATCTTGTGTTTCATAGGAAGTTTGTCAAACACTCCTGTAAAATGTTTTACGAGAGATCTAAATACATGGCCGTTTGGACAAAGAACATAGCAGACTATATTAATAAATATTTTCTTGCCTTTTCCTTGGACTAATCTATCTGGTTTAATACACTTTACATTTTCCACAGACAAACCCCACTTGTCTGCCTTTGGAAATGTCTTCAGCTTCTTTAGCAAAGGCATGCACTCCCCTTTCCCAGGCCTCTGCTCTAATGAGCAACTGTGATTATATTAAGGAAATCAGCTGACTGGACCTCGTCACAACTCACAGCTGGGACATCCGCACAGTCACACACCTCCGTCCTCGCGGCCCCACTGACGGGCAGAGGAAGCCCTGAACTTGCCGTGTAACCGTGTGTGCGTGGGTGCGGGGGTGGATCTTAGCTTCTACACCTACAAGGGTGGGCATCGAAACAAGATCCTCTCCAAGGCTCCACTAGCATGTGATCAATTTAAACTGCTTTGCAACTGGCCCTACTACAGAGTTTTGTGGGAGATTAAACAAAGGCTCAAAGGCAGAAAGTACAGAAGATGGCTGAGGAGGGTCTGATGCTGGGTGCACATGACGGTTCAGCCGCCGAGACGCACCGATGGGCTGAATCTCGGCCGGCCGCCCGAGCGAAGTGAGGGACGGAGGTGCCCTTGACGGAGGGAGAGCATGACCCTCCGGAGGCCACCCAGCACCCAGCACGAGCAGAAAGTGCACCCTGAGGCTCGCTTCCACGCGACCGTTTCTGGTGGCTGCTGCTGAAATTTGACGCCCTCCTCACTGCCTTCTGGGAAAGCTGTAATCCCGAGCCACCCGCCTGCTGTCTTCACACTCTCCTCACCAGGTCTTTTCGGATCATTCCGCTGCGAACGTCCTTCCTACAGTGACATACTCCCCAAGTAGTGGGAAATGGGATTTGCTTTGCAGAAATTAACTTTGTAGGCAATATGTTCTATAATGTGAAGATAATGGAACTATTTTCCCTCTTTTTGTGTCAGAAATGATTAAAATGAAACTGCCGCGTTTTCCTTATATTGTGTGTGCGTGCTACAATTCTGTCCCCACAATCATCCCTACCCGGGCTGCTTGATCGGGGCTGTCAGGCCCCTGGGGGAGCTCCTGCCAGGTCTGGGGACAGACCTCAGTCTCATCTGGGGTGGTGGGGTGCTACTGCCATCTAGTGGTGAGCGGCTTTTCTGCATTCCCTTAAGCTTCCCCCCAGAAGCTCGCTCACTAGCAGGTTCCCTCACTGTGTGTCTCTGCCGAGGAGACGGCCTGCCCACGCCCACGCAGACCTGTCACTGGGAAGACCACCACAGACACTCACCAGGTCGATGGTCTTGGCTCTTTGTTTGGACTCGTCGTCACACCAGGTCTCGCACCACAGCCAGTCTTGAGGCAGAGACTTAATGGCAACTTGGTAAATCATGTTATTGGGAAGATCCTACAGAAAAGAAGTGATTTAAACAAAGAGGTATAGGGATGAGAGTCAGGGCAGAAGTTGAAGATGACATTTAGATTATAAACCCTAAAAACACGCAAACCTGAGACATCTAACTGAAGCTTTGAATACTTTTTAAAATTCATTGTATTTTTTCCCATCACCATTTAGTCCCCTCACAGTCCCCTCCCCCACAATCACCACACTGCTGTCCGTGTCCATGAGTCCTTTCCCTTTTTGCTCCATCCCTCCACCTCTAACCTCCCTCCTCCCCGTCCGCTGTCATCCTGTTCTGAGTCTCTACTTTCCTTGTTAGTTCGGTTTGTTCACCAGGTTCCACATAGGAGTGAAATCATATGGTACTTGTCTTTCTCTGACTAGCTTATTTCACTTAGCATAATGTTCTCCAGGTCTAGTCATACTGGCCCAAAGGGTAATTTTTTCCTTTTTTATGGCTGAGTAGCATTCTATTGTATAAATATCCCATAGTTGTTTTATCCACTCATCTACTGATGGACACTTGGGCTGCTTCTGTTCCTTCCAATTAGTGTTTTGAGTTCCTTCATATATATATTCCCAGCAGAGGGGTTGCTGGGTCAAAAGGCAAATCCATTTTTAATCCGTTTGAGGACTCTCCACACTGCTCTCCACAGGGGCTGCACCAGTCTGCATTCCCACCAACAGTGCAAAGACTTCCCCTTTCTCTGCATCCTCTCCAGCACCTGTTGTTTGTTGATTTGGACACGACGGCCATTCTGACTGGTGTGAGGTGGTATCTCATTGTGGTTTTAATCTGCATCTCTCTGATGATTAGTGACATTGAACATCTTTTCATATGTCTATTGGCCATCTGTATGTCCTCTTTGGAGAAGTGTCTATTCAGGTCCTTTGCCTATTTTTTAACTAGGTTGTTTGTTTTTTTGGTGTTGAGTTGTGTAAAATACCTACCTTGCCCCAATCATCTTGTGTCATGAATGAACCCATGCACTGGAACTAAGTCCACGCCCGCCCTGGACTTGGCCCTGGCATCAGGGCTGACGGAGGGGGCCTAGGAAACCACGACTTTCCACTCCCCAGACGACCTCCACCTGCCTGGCTTCCTCGCTCACACTGCCTGCAGTGACTGCGTGTGTCCGTGACCACCACACTCTCCAGACTCTGAGGAGACCTCTCATTTCCCTGCTGGAAAATGCTGTGCCGTGAACATGTGCGCATCTCTGCAGGCCCAGGGCTTTCTAAGCAAAGACTGCTGGCATCTGAGATACAAGATGTTTAAATGGCAAATGAGCCCAGTAAGTTAAAGACAGTGATCTCTGGAGAGGCTCAGAGATGCCTTTTCCGGAGACTGTTGCTCACAGGCCCGGGGGTGTGCGGCCCTCCCCTTGCTCTCCCCAGAGGATGCTGGTTTACGTTCCAGAGCAAAGGGCGGGCTTCCTCCTATGCCCACAGGGCGCAAGGGGTGCCTGTGTTAGCTGTCCCACCTAAGCTGCAAGACTCGTAATTTTAAGGTTCTTCTCTCAGTACTCCTATCAAAACATCAATACTGGAAGTACTAGCTAATGCCATAAGAAAAGGAAATAAAAGGTATACAAGTTGGAAAAGTAGCAAAACAACTGTTCATAGATGACAGGATTATTTATGCAGAAAGCCCTCAAGAATCAATAAAAAACATTCCTGGAACTAAATAATTACAGCAAGGTTTTAGGGTACAAGGTTAATATTTAGAAGTCAATTACTACCAGCAACAAACCACTGAGTTTGAAATTAAAGACACAATACCTTTACATTAGTAACAAACAAGTAAGCAAACCTAGGTAAAAATCTAATAAAATATGCTCCTTGGCATGAAGAAAACAAACTACTACATAATTGTTGCCCTGGCTGGTGTGGCTCAGTGGATTGAGCGCTGGCCTGCAAACTGAAGGGTCAACAGTTTGATTCCCAGGCAGGGCACATGCCTGGGTTGGGGCCAGGTCCCCAGTAGGGGGGTATGAGAGGCAACCACACATCGATGTTTCTCTCTATCTCTTTTTCCCCTCACTTCTGCTATCTCCAAGAATAAATAAATAAAATATCTTTAAAAAATAAAAAAAGAAAACGACAAAATTATAATGAATGAAATTTGGGAAGATCTAAATAAATGGAGAGATAGTCCATGTTCATGAATGGGAAGACTCAATATTGATAAAATGTCAATTCTTCCCAACTTCATCTATAGATTCAATGCAATCACAATAAAAGTCCCAGGCAAATTATTTTGTGGATGTTGACCAACTGATTTTTAAGTTTATATAGAAAAGCAAAAAAAAAAAAAAATCCAGAATAGCCAACACAATACTGAAGAACGAAGTCAAATGACAGATGACTTACACTACTGAATTTCCAATCTTATTGTGGAAATCTATAGTAATTAAGAAAATGTGGTACTGGCAAAAGAACAAAGAGACCAATGAAATAGAATGACAGCCCATAAATATGGGTATTCTTTGTACTTACCGCTCATTTTTTCTCCTTAAACCTAAGTCTGCTGTAAAAACTGAATGTCTACTAAATAATAATAAAGAAGCTTCTCTGTTCCTTCTGAAGCCTTTTTCTTTGGAATCCCTTCCTTAAATCCCCGGCTGTCATCTGAGCTCAGCCACCTTCTCCCAAGGTCGTGTCCCAGTCGAGTCCTCTGTGATTCCAATTCGCGGTCCCACTCTGATGACCACCTCTTGATTCCGGCTCACCCCAGCCAGCGCTCAGACAGCAGTGCCCTCCGGCCACCGCGCAGACCCCAGCCAGCGGATCCCGCCTGCTTCGCTGTCCCTCACCCCTTCACGTCCGGGCTCCCCTCCTCACACAGCCAGTGTCCATGCTTAGTCATTTCAGTTGACCTCCCCAAAGGCCTCTCGACTGTCTTAGCCTCGTCTCACTCAGCTGCACCCACCTGGCAAAACTGCAGTCCTGGTTAAATGCAAACCTCTGCACTCACCTGTGCAACTAAACATGTCTTGCAGAACGCGGACACGCACACACACACCCACCGCGCTAACTGCTGTCATTTTAGCCTCCCGGACACGAATCCCAAGGGGGACCTTACACATGTGTGTGTCCATGCACAAGTCTCTGTGTGGACACGTGTTTTTATTTCTCCTGGGTAAATGCCTCGAAGTGAAAGCCTGGGCACACGGTAGGTGTAAATGTGAATTTATGAGGAATCACCAAACTCTTTGCCGAAACGGCTGTCCCATTTTACCTTCTTGTCAGCAGTGCATGTGACTTCCAGCCACGGCACATCCTCGTTAGCACGTGGTGCAATCTTTTTCATGTTAACCACTCTAGCGGGACACGAAGGAAAAGGGACCCACGGGGTAAGACAGATGCCGGGCAGTAGCCGATGGGCCGCAGGAGGGGTCGGCCGGGGTGCAGCTCGGAGAGACACGTGTAAGCGACAACGGAGATGAGTAAGAAAAGGACGGGGCAGGTGAGGTAGGGCAGGCAGTGGGGAGGAGAGGTTTTGGGGTGGAGAAGTGAAGACAGAACACTATTACTTTTTGAAAGGTTGAGCTTGAAGTGAAAAAATCATATCTGAGCCTAGATATCCGAGGGGGGTTCCATGGAGACAAGAGGCTGAAACCATGACAACGTGACGCTCGCCCGCAGAGACCGGGCGCAGCACCTCCCCGGGGACCGGCGCCCAGCCCACGGCCGCCCCGCTCACCTGGTCCAGGTTGGAAAGGCTGTCTGGGTCCTGGCTGAGGGCCTGGTACTGGCCTCGCAGCCTGTCCCCCGCCGCGAGCCTCCGGAACCGCTGCAGGTCCACCACGTACAGGGCGCTGCAAGAGCGAGCATTCCTGGGGGGCTGCGCAGTGCACAGAGGCACAGACTTCCCTTCCCCGCGGCTGCCTGGTGTGACCACAGGGACTTCAGGGAACCCTGCGGCTGGTCATGAAGCCTTTCATTACCTCGCTCCCAGCCCCGATGCTGTTTCCAAGGGCCTCCAAGTTTGTTAACCCGGGCGGGACCCACGCCCTTTCAGAGTGCCCTCGGATCTTTCCCAGATCCCACGAAACGCATGGCCCTAGGAAGCAGTCACACACTGGGACAGCATCTCCATGCCGTCCCCTCGCAGGCCGACCTGAATCCTCTGTGGTGGCCGGGAGCGTGTCACGTGAGCCCCGTCACTCGGGTTTAGCTCGACTTAGTCACGTGAGCCCAGGTAAGGGCTGCGTGCTCTGCTTCCACACCCACAAACGGGATAACCGCAGCGTCTCGAAAGGTTGTCGCAGAGGCGCTGAGTCAATGCGCGTTAAATCTCGCCGGAGCGACCGGCATGGACCGGCACAAGGGAACTGGTCGCCAGGATTGTATAATTTCCAAGAGAGCGGAGTACTGGTGACCCGGTACATTATTTATTTTCTGAAAGGCAGGAGTGCACATGTTCTTACCTGATATGGTATTTCCTTCTTAAAAGATGGGAGGCCCAATAGCCCTTCTTCCAGAAGCGATACCCGTCCATGTCGGTGCGGCTGTCACAGAACGGGGTGTACCCGTAAGGAGCTCCATCCAGATCCAAGTCGCGGAGCTCCTTCAGGTCGTGCCTCACAATCTGCATAATTAAGACAGGGCGTTTCTGGTGAGGGCTGTAGAACAACGCGAGCCCCTCCTGTGCGACGCTCAAGCCCCGGCCGCGCTGCAGAAGCACGGGCCCTGCACTTCCTCACGGGTCTGCCAGGTCACGCAGGTCTCCGTTTCTTCCTCTCGTTCTCACGGATGAAAAGGGGCCCGGCATCTACATGCCCAGGCTACGTGACGGGGGTCTCACTCACTAATGATAACAGCTTATTACATCGTTTTCACCAATATACTGAATACTTAAAACAAAATGTATTTTGGGAAGGACCTAAATATTAGACAAGTGCATAGCTCTAAGTATCTTAGGATGTGGATTAATAACTCAAAATCATTTTTATGATAAATCTCTACTGTATATTGGCAAATGTTAGTTTGAATCATAAAGAAAAATCTCCTGATCATCTTCAATGGCTTTAATGCATAACATTTTCAAGCTTCATTTTTTAACAGACGCCAGCCTGCTGGAATAGTATCACTGTATATATTGCGGGCAGGTAGGAGAAATAAATTTTGTCACACAGTATGTTTGGAAATGCTTAGCTCACCACCCACATTTACCTGCTTTCTTAGTTTTTCATGATAATGATTCACATTTATCATTTTGAACAATAATATAAAAACAGAGTTTACAAATATAAGTAAAACCTAATGCTGAATTTGAAAATATACTTTTGTCCTAAATATAAATACTAATCATATATATAGCTTATATAACATTGATATTTACATAACACTTGTTTTAAGACATTTAAACCAGAGTAGTTCATGAAAACACTTTTTGCCATTAATGATTACAAAGGGATGCAAGGAGTAATGGGGAAAAGTCATCCCAATTTCTAAACATACAAATTTTGAAAGCTGAGACCCACATGGTTTTCGGGCCAAATCTGGGATGCCTTTTCCCCACAAGTGACAGAATAACGAGGGCTTGGTTTCTGACTCAACGCCAGAGAATGCTGCTGAAGGGAAGGAAGGCTGAGAAGCAGGTTGCATGGTAACTGCTAACTCTTCCAGGAATGGCTCCTTTTATGCAAATATCAGCTCATGTTCACAGGATATATAACTTTTATTATGATTAACGTAACTATTTTTATTTTTAATACCAAAATTAAAAAAAAAACTACTTCAGAGAGAAAACTGCCATGTCCTAAATAACAAATGGTACTTCTTGTAAAAACCTTTGATTTTCCTGGAATTCTGACAGTTCTCTAAAAATGATGCTTTGCTTTTGTATCACAACCATGTATCACATGTTCATGTAGCACGGCAAAAAGATGATGATAAATACCAGCAACACAAATTGAGTGAGTCCCTATACTCAGACAGAGGTGTAAAAAAGTGTAAGTACTAATAAAAACAAAAGCTAATCTTATTACCTGGTCGGCATCAACAAAAATGATTTTGTCCACTGCTAGAGGGAAAAGGACGTCGAGGAAAAGGATTTTGTAACCCCAAATAATCCTCTGCTTCTCCGTCTGCCGATGCAGCCAGCGGGGCCACCGGTACTGGACCAGCTCGTACTGGAACCCGTACTCGCGGGCCATGTGAGGGATCACCTCCTGAAAACACACATGCGCACACCGAAGACAACGTTCAAGGGAGGAAAAGCAGGTTTTGTTTTAGAGAAACACATTATCATATTGGAAGGTAGAGTTTACTATAAAGTTGTTACAAACAAATTGGTAAATGTCTAAATACTGCTTCTACAAGCTGTACGCATTAATGAGAAATATGAAAATGCTGGCAAATATAAAGAGACAAGCACACATTAAACTGTATAATTAAATGACATTAAAAATAGGCATATTATATTAATTAGCAAGCTCATTAACTAAGCTAAACGTCCCTGCATTTTCCCAGCTCACGACAGACTTGAGGACACCGACTACATATAACAGGGAGACGCCCCCGGATCTTGCAAGAGCTGCGCGTCTCACAGTTTCTACACACGGAGGCGCAAGAGCCGGTCTGCAGCGGCTCATACGGAGAACAGAGGGGTCATTAACAACTCCAGTGGGGACCTCAGGCCCCCAGGTATCAGCTCGACCTCTAGGGGAGCTGGAGGCTGAGGTGGGGCTCCGTGGCCAACCCCAATAACAACTCTGGAAACCAAAGTCTGAATGAGCTTCTAGCGGCAGTTCTCCATAGGAATTCTCGCGCATTTTTTTTTTCTGGGACAAATGAGCTCTGTCCGCCTGACTCCACGGGGCGAGGACAGCCGGAAGCCCTGGGGGCCTGGCCTCCCTCGGACCTTGTCCTATGCGTCTCTTTGCTTCGCTGACTTTGCTCTGGCTCCCTTTGCCGCAGTAAACGGAGCCTGTGACTGTGATTGCTTTTCTGGGTTCTGTGAGTCCCGCTGGACACTCACTGGACAGAGGGGTGCTCCTGGATGCTGCCCGACGGCGTGGGCCAGCTGTGTCGCTGCTGGGCCAGGGTCTCCCGGCAACAGGACGTTACGAACACACCTGAAGGCTGAAGGCAGTTAGCACTGTGCTGGGCAGCATTAAGGAATAAAAACATGGTTGGCTGTTTTCATTTGTTCTTACCACTGGTTTGGGTCTAGAAAAAGAGGACTTCTTTGAATTGTTAAATGAGACCCTAACTTTCATGGAATCTGATCACTTTGCAGTGACAACAGGAAGGACTTTGCAGCAGAATTGTGGGGGTGAGTAAAGTGTAACAGATGCTGGCCACCCGAAAACTCCTAATATAAGGTGCCTCACACTTCTAAGCACAGTGCCCAAACTGTCACGGCAGAGAGCTGCTTTATCTTCATACTATCGCATTGTTTTCTACAGCACAGTGCTCACAGTTTCTTGATACTGTTCCTACCCTATCTTTGTAAAAAGAATCTAATTATTTTTATTTTTTAAAAGATTTTATTTATTTTTAGATAGAGGGGAAGGGAGGGGGAAAGAGAGGGACAGAAACATCAATGTGTGGTTGCCTCTCAAGCGCCCCCTACTGGGGACCTGGTCTGCAATCCAGGCATGTGTCCTGACTGGGAATCGAACTGGCGACCCTTTGGTTTACAGGCCGGCACTCAATCCACTGAGCCACACCAGCCAGGGCAGAACCTAGTTCTTTTTATTGACAACCTGTACATATTTTGCATTGCCAAATTTCATTTAATTATTCACTATCATGAAAAACCACCCATCTTTCTAATTTTGAGTTTACTTAAAAATAAGCTATCTCCTGCTGTCCTTTTAAATACTTCCTTAAATAAAAACTGCATAGAATCTTTGTTAAGCTAGACTTAAAAATTGATTACAAACAGTAATTTGCCCTGGGGGTGTGACCCAGTTGGTTGGAGGGTCGCCCTGTAAACCGAAAGGCTGCAGGTTTGACTTCCGGTCAAGGCACATACCCAGGCTGGGGGGCCGGCCCCCTGGTGCACGTGTGTACGAGAGGCGACCCACAGATGTTCCTCTCTCCCGTCGATGTTTCTCTCGCTCTCTCTCTCCCTCCTTCCTCTCCCTCTCGAATCAATAAGCATGTACTTGGGGGGGGGGAGGGTTAAAAAAAGAAAATTAAAAACAGTAGTAATGTGAGCAAACATACTTTTTGACCCAGTCTGAAAAGTTCTAAGAACTTTACAATGATAGAAAGAGTTTACTACTCAAACATCAACCACTGTCTAATACAGAGATGGATGCACTTACTTTAAAAGTTGGCGAGAGGTAGTTTTTTAGGAACCAGAACTTCACGGGTGTCCGGGTGTTACGCAAGACAGAAAGCATCATGATTCTGTGTGAGAGAACATTAAAGCTGCCAGGTTAACAGTGGTGGCTCATCCTGCTTTCCGTAAGGCTTTTAAACATGGAGAGGTATCATGAGAAGCTGGGCACGATGTGTAATGAAGAAACAGACCTTCGAATATTATGGCTGCTCATCCAGTATATATGATATATAAAAATTTACGTCTATGGAGGGTTCCTGACCTGTGATGGTTAGACTTAGGAATTTCAACATCACGATGTGTCAAAGCGTTCAGCAGAAACTCTGCTCCAGACTTTGAATTCTGGTCTTCCCTTGGGCTAGCGACACGTGGTTTGAGTGTCTGCAGGGAGCTGGGCAGTGGCAGGAGGTGACCCTGTCTGACTGCGTGTGGGATGACGTGGGTGTTCGGAGCACGTGTGAGGCCGGCGAGGCTAAGCTAGGACATTCTCAGGTTATTAAATGCAGTTCTGAATTATGACATATTCCACTTACGAAGGGCTCATTGGGGCGTCAATCGTAAGACAGAAGCATCTGCGCACACATGCTACTGAACTTGATGAAGATGGAACCGGCTGCTTTTGCCTACTCTGGCTGACAAAGGAAGATGCTCGTCTGAAGTGGCCCTGAGGAGCTGAACCACAGTCTAATGCGGGCTCTTCTGCCGTGCCACCAGCACCGTGTGGAAGGAAACACTGGAGGCCTGAATGATCTGCCTCCACTGACCCAGTCCCTGCGTGGGCACTAGCTTCGCTATTCTAGACTTGGGGCTGCAGAAGGCACACACACACCTGAAGTTCCGTCTTCGATTTAAACACATGGGCAAACATTTCTGAGGCATTTTCTGGGATCCTTCTGTATAAAGAGCTGTTAAAAAAACAGCCCTTTGTAAATATGCTTTCCACCTCTCACTGCCGCGCCTTTCTTTGCTTAAAATACAACAAGGCATTTCTTCATTGGAAAAGGGAAATTTACAATATATACTTTTTATTAATGTTGTTATAAAATGTCCATTTTGTAGTCTGAAATAACATCAGTATTCCAAATCAGTCAAATTCATGAAATCTCAGTACATTAAAAAAATAATACCTCCTTCAAAATTTAGGTTTAAAAAAAGCCAGGTGTAGAACAATATATACATTGTTACTATTTGGGTAAAAAGAAAATAAAACGTATTTGCCTGCCTACACACACCCTGGGCAGGACGTGAATGTTTGTATTACATAGCACTGGTCCCCATGGAGAAGGGAGGCGGGAGCTCTGTTTCAATGCACATTTTATTCTTTGACTTTGAAAAGTTCAAACTTTTGAGACTTTGAAAAGTTCTTTTTCAATCACGTAAATGTATTTACTTTTCAAAGTTAGATAAAAAGTATACCTACCTTAAAAAGCGTTCATATAAATGGCCAGAAGCAACTGAGAAAATATTCAGAACATCTCTTTCTGTTTCGTCTTTTTCTTTATGCAGACTTCTTGTGAAACTTGGAATAAAAAAGTAGTGATTGACAGTTTCTAAATACACATCTGCAAACTTTATATACTTACACACTAATTTGATAAGCAATAAAAATAGGAATATCTTTCAAAGTAAAGTTTTCACACTGAAACACATTCTAAAAATGACTTAATACTAAGTCATGTGACACTAACAAAGTTTTTATGACTTTTAAACATTTAAAACACAGAATGCAATTATATTGTCTCTAGGTTAACAAAGGAACACCTCTGAATTGTTTTGCGTTACCAGTGTTGTTCGAGAACAAAGAGTGAGGGACAGCATGCCCCGGCCACAGGGCGACGACATGTGGAGAGTCTGTACAGGCCGACAGTGCGGGGGAAGGAACAGAACGGACAAGTGTGAGACCACCCCCCAGAGGGTGTCTTCCTGTGTGGTCACGGGGAGGCCCTTGAGTGCTGGCGACACGCCTGCCCCAGGATAACACGTCATACGAGGGGCCTACAAGGTGGAGCTCCTCTGGCCAGTGACAGTGGCCCCTCGGCGCAGGCTACAGGGCCGCTGTGCTGTGGGCACCTCCAGGAGCACCACGCGGGCACCCGGGGCCACGCCCGGTCACTGGCCGCTTCTGCGCCCAGCTGTCCTCTTCACCACTGTTCAGACCAGACCCGCCTTTCATATGCCCCGTCTCACACACAGAGGTGACTGAATGTCTCATACTTAAGGTGTTCACTAGGTATAATTTTTCCCACCCATTTAGAATGTTTAATTAAAAGTCTCATTTTCATAAGCACAGATATTTAAAATGACTACAGTTTGTAAAATTTGGAAAACTAAACAATTCATAATTTTCATGGAATATATTTTGTCAAGTACAAATTGTTGTAACAGAAGCATTTTCCAGATCCTTTTTATAGTTATCTCTTAAACAGATAAAACACAAGTTGATTCAATATGGGAAAAATCACTAAGTTAAGATAAAACTAAGACGAAAAAAGTGACAGCATTATAATGTACACAATCCTTATAAATGTGGAGGAGCGGCCATGTCCACAAGGAAGCCCTGTTCTGCTCTGGCCTCCTTCCTGCGCAGCGGGTCGCGGTGCTGCAGTGGAGGTGTGTTCTCAGCCCCCTTCTGGCCGGAACGGGAGCTCGTGGACTGACACTCTAGAAACGCCCAGATCCTGTCTCACGGTCCCGTCAAACATACCTGCTCTTCAAACCACCTCCAAGTGGGTGGCCTTGGGCCGTCTCCAGCAGTGACTACTGCAGCGCATGCACACTGTCACAACGCCAGGACTCCTGTCCCCAGCCAAGGGGTCTAATGGGAAAAGAGGCCTGAACTGGGCAGAACCCGAATGACGGGAGTGCTTTGGACCATGTAACAAAGTCTGCTTAGGCTGTGGAATCTATTTGGCCTAAAGTTTCTATTTCTTAGCCTTGACCGTGTAATCAATGATTCTCCACCACAATCAAATTAAGTTTAAATCTCTAACATGGACTTTCAAAATTCTCTGCAACGTGGATCTACAGCAGCTTTTGTTTTTGCTGGTTCAACGTCCCTCACGCTCGAGGAACCATAAGCTGGTGTGGCGAGGGGAAGGCTTCCCTCCTGCACCCTCACTCCGGGGGTTCAGGCGGGACAGGCCTTCTCACTGACTCTAGAGCCAGGCATGGGACCCCAGTGCGGTCGGTCGGTCGGTCGGTCTCAGTGGTCAGTTCAGTCTGGGACACGTGACTGCAGCTGGACCAACGAGTCAGCCTTGGAGCCCTCACTGGTACTGTTGGGAAAGGGGCGGTCTCTCGCCCCCGGAGAAGGCCCACCTTTCCTGCAAAAGCCCACCCGAGAGTGAAGGTGGGCACAGGTGACAGAACTCAGGGATGAAGCGAGTTCCCACACCGCCTCGCCTGAGTGCCCCCCAAAGCCAGCTCTACTCCTGGACGCTACAGATAACTGGGTCCACAGACTACATTTTTGATTGACTACTAACACAGGTCCCCACGTAATGCACAGATTCCCTGCTGTCCTCACTGCACCAGCTCCCCACGCTGCTTTCTCTTCCTTGAGCAACTTACGCCGTCTTCATGTAACTGGTGCCTGCACTCCATCCCCAGCTTCTTTTGAAAACCTGTCTGTTGTTTAGAAGACATCTTCTGCAAGGAGTCTTTTCTGGGTTTCCTCCAAACTGGACAGAGCCCCTTTCTCCCCTGATTTCCTATCAAAACTCATGTATCTACACTATTGTTCCCAGAGGAGGGGATCTGTGCGTCCCTTAAATGTTTCCCATCTGCAGGGTTCCCACACACTGGACTCCTGATGGACCTACGGTCATGCGTTAGAACAGTCATTAGTAATTACCTTTTAATGGAGTCCCACATTCCTTTTTTTTCACCTTGATCAGTAAGGATGTCTTCCTTAATTTTGTCTGGCTTTTTTTTCACCTGGGTAGCATGGAAAAGAAAAATTTTAGGATGCTGAAGCTTTAGACACAATGCCGCACGGTCAGAAGGTGAGTTACCACGGGGCAGGTGGGCCCTGCGAGCCTAAGGCGGCTGCGGTCACTGAAGCCTGAGAACCTCCTGGTGCGTTGCCGCCACCCTGGGCTCAACCGTCAGTCCACACCCTCGATTTCGGTTCCTGTGGCGGTTAGCTCCATAGAGTGCTCAATAATGTGCTTTTTGTACTTGCTGATTTACCAATATTAAGCAGTTTAGACACTATTCGTTCTTCATAATGATATGAGCAGCTCCCTTATATCAATCACTCTTCCTCCTCTTCTTTTTGTCTGGAAGTTTTGGTAGTAATACCTTTATCATTAGTTCTTCTACAAAGTACTTTTTTTTTTAAAGTAATATTTAAATCTCTATTTTCTATTCCAACAACTTCAACAGTTCCTCTTCCATACCCTTTTTATAAGTATACTAATATCTCTACCGCTTCCCTCCACCTCCCTACTTCCAGGGGCTAAACACCTTTATCATTGTACGTATGGATAATATTTTCGTTTAGCCCAGAAAATATATCTTTTCCACTTTTCTATGTTTCATCTGCATCTTGAAAATCAGCAGATAGTGCTTATTGTGACAACGTCACTCATGCTTCTGTGAAGTGACAGCAATGTGGCCACTGTGTCCCTTGGGAGAGAACGGCCAGTTCCAATGGGTTGTGCTTCTTTATCTTCCACCAGCAGGGAAATACTTTTTCAGGAATTTTACTGTATTCATTTTCTTCCAGTGATGAGGTAGCAGTATTTCTGCTTACCACACACCCACTATTTTCCAGTGTATTATTCATGTTGGGTGTCTAGAAGTACTATCTTTCTGAAGACATTTTTCTTGGAGCTCAACAACTAACCGCCTGTTTATTTCGGGGCCTTCTATAATTTTCACACGAATGTCACCGTCTCCTGAAATACTTGTCCTCCTCTTTCCCAGTCTTCATCTTCACTGCGCTGGCAGGCAAGTGACTTCGAGAAGAAAGGCAAAAAATAATGTCCCTAAATCTTCACACTTCAGAAAACAACTTTACTTGGTTTTCAAATTTTGGCAAATCAAACCAAAATGAGAGTTCGCGTGCCCCAGGGGGGACAAATGTTCTCAGGACGACGGTGGCTTTCTGGGGACCAGAGAAGCTCTGTGCTCGCTTACTTCACCGAGGCTCTCATTTCCCCTTTTAGTTTTGTATCTCCTTATTTTCCTTATTATTTTACTACTGTCAGCTCCTCACTGCTCTCGAGATTTTTAAAATCTATTTTACTCAACATTTTTACTTGTGTTAAGTAGGTGGGTTGGTCCAAAGGAACCAAACCTGCTATCACGAAAAACTCATTTCTCTCTCTCTTGAAAGAAACAATTTTTCTTTTTGGGGTTAGTTTTTCAACCCATATTCCTAATTTGTAACATTATCTGGCTACAGATACAGTGGACAGACATATCGTAACTTAAAAAACTGTTCTTTTTCTTCTAGCTTCAAGCTCTTTGCTTTTCCTTCATGAACTTAATCCTCTGCTTTCTTTCATTGCCAGAGTTCCAACATGACATTTCGGGTACAAAAATAATAAAATCAGTTGTAAAATAAAAATTAATCAATCAACTGAAAACGAGACAAACTTTAGTATTAACAACAGAGCCTCAGACAGCTCTGCCTCACATACTTGGATTTCCAGTGTTTTGCTTCGGAAGCTGCTCAGCACAACGATGACATCGCCCAGGTCCGACTGCGAGTCAGTCCCTTCGTGCCTGAGAGGAAAAAAGGTGTGAGTACCTATAATCAGTTCACGAAGACACACAACATAAAAGAATAAATGTATTTTGCAATAAATGTAAGTATATCACTTGTGTATATACATATTCAATATTTTATATTTCTATCGTCAATTAATATGTGCTATAATAGGCTACAATTTTCAAAACTATCCAATCAATTTTAACTTAGTACAAATTAAAATTATATAAAAGTAACTCTGTATTCAATATTGTCTGATCACTCAGGAACCTCAAATTATTGCTTATCTTTTCTGTTTATACCCAGATTATCATAAAATTTAAGTATTTCATATCTCTGTGATATTTGCAATAATGAAAATATAAAACATTTTTAGACTTCAAGTTGTTTTAACTATCATAATCACAGGAATTCTGCACTGCACAATAATTTTTCAATATCTACCAGCCATCCCCAAATGCTCAAATTTGAAGTGTGCTGTTAAACTCACCAGACAGGAAATGTCTACAATACCCACCTACATCACTTGATGTTCCTATTTTATATTACACATGACGTATTTCATTGTCTAATTTTCAAAATGGAACAAGTCAAATATGACAGCTTTGCTCAAAAATAATATTTTGAATACTATATTCACTATGTATTGAAACATGCTACTGTAAGAAACATTTACAATAACGCTGAATTTTATCACAGAGGGAAAGCAATCAGATGTCAAATTGGTAGATACTTTAGGTTCAGCCAGATTTATGTACCTGAACATTTCTTCCAAACCAACCCCCGGACATTCCAGCACGACGCTGACTAGCACAGGCCTCTGGCCTCCCCTTGCTCCCAATGCCCCCGCTGAGGAGGCTAAGCCAAAGGAGAAGGCACAGCCCTGCCCAGCAATCACCAGTAGAAAACAGAAGCGTGCCAACTCATGTAGCAGAAACGCCAAATTCCTTAAAAACTTTCAAGAGCTTCCAGTCCCGAACTTGACTCAAGGGCATCCGCCACTTCAGCCGCGGAGCCCACAGGCGCTGAGACCAGGGCGGGGCCAGGAGGCGCAACGCTGCGGCTCAGCCTGGCTGAGTGGCCTCCGCCCTGGCCACCAAGTGGCAGAGGCGGTAGTGACGGAGACTCTCAGTCTGCCAAGGAGGGCGGAGATTACGTTTTGTTATTTACTACCACGGGGCACTCATGCATCCTGCCAACACGGCAACCCGGAGACATGCAGAGACGGCAGCAAACACAGGCTGTGGGTGTGACGTAGATGCCCGAGACGAGGAGGTTGACCGGGGAGCCGGGGGAACAGAGACGCACCCACGGGGATCGGTGTCAGGGGAAAGTGAGGTGCAGCGATAGAGACCTCCAAAGAGCCCGCAGAAGCACCCCACAAACTGAGCTACGACCACGGCCAGGGCCGGAGAGCGTGCAAAGCCACCCCACCAAGGGGCGAGCTCAAGGAGCTGAAAGAACGGGAAGAGTCTGAAAGCTCTCCCGTACCCTGCAGAAAATGCAGAGGAAGAGTTCAATTTCAAAGGTACCAAAGTAAAGCTATGTACAAATAGTAACTGGACATTGGTTTTTCTGAAGGTTTCAAGTGAAAAGTCAAGCATAATTTAGCGCATTGAAAGCCATACCTATGTGTGAAGTATCTGACATTTTCTATAACTTTAATTTAAAAAAATCTGAGAAGCATCTGTCTAATTTTAATAGGACTCTGAAGATTTTTTCCTAGGGGAGAGTAACTTTGAGTCTGTTTGTGTCCCAGGTTCCTGGCCGCCAGCACAGAGAAGGGGCAGACGGTCCGCGGCTGCCAGCGCTGCGTCCTTTCTGTGGCTGAGGAGTGGGTCCCACTGTGCGGGCGGACCGCGGTCTGGTTGTCCCTTCCCTTGTCAGCTTCTGGCTTACGTCCAGGGCCCGGCAACCACAAATAAAGCTGCTACGGACATGAATGTGCAAGTCTTTGTATAAACACCTCTTTCTTTTTATTTGGGGTAAATACCTATGAGCCAACGCCTGAATCATACGGGTTAAGAGCGCACCTAAACTTTCAGGGTCCGGCCCGACGGATCTACTGCAGCCGCCCTGCACTCCGCGTTCCCGCCAACAGCGGCGCCAGTTCTGCGGCCGCGCCCTCACCCACACTGGGCGGTGCCGGTTGTCTTCGTGTCAGCCGTCCCAACAGGGGAGGGGCGGCGTCTCTCACTGTGGGCTTAGCAGGCGTTCTCCCCAGGACCAGTGATGCTGCGCCCCCTTTTCCTCTGCTCGTCTGCCCCCCACACGTGTCCTTTGGTGAAGTGTCCCTTCAACTCTTCTGTGCATTTTCTTACCAGGATGTTCTCTTACTGTTCAATTTCGATAGTTCTTTACATGTTCTCTATCCAAATTCTTCGTTGGACATATGCTTTGCAAAGATTTTTCTCCCAGTCTGTGGCTTGTTTCTGTTTTCTTTTATAGTCAGTACATATCCTTTTAACGTAAACATTCACAGCTTTTGCAACAGAAATGTTGAATGAAGTATTGTTTCGGATCCTGCCCGACGTATCATTGCATGCGTGCTGTATCATCTTTCTACAGTCTGAAAAACTCTCCTTCTAAACTACGTACGTCCCTCAGAGACTGCGATGAGCACCCCGCACCCCCCCTTGTCCCGGGAATGTTCCGTCTGTGTTGTGAGCCGCAGAGAGTTGCCGTCCTCCTCCCAGGCTCTCTGGGGGTGCCCTCTCACCCCTCATGCCAACACTCTCTGTCCACCCCCACTCCTATCGCAGAGTTAAGCACTCCAGGCCTTGCGCGCATGAGTTAGTAAGCATAGTTGTTGAATGACACTACGTGCTGGACACAGTGTAAAGAAAAGAGGAAGAAAAGTGTAAAAAGGTACAATAAGCTCTACCTCCATATTACCTTTGTTGTTACGGTAATAGTGCTCCATAAATACAGGGTGGGCAAAAGGAGGTTTCCAGTGGTTCGTGTGGAGAAAGACATGCAGGTCATGATGATTACAACAGCTTTATTAGCCCCTGCATGCTCACACCTATAAGTCTACTTTTGCCCAACCCTATATTTGTTTAAATAAATGAAAAGCACATTTACTGAGGGATGCAAAAAGTCTCTATGAGGGGTCGAAAAGCTATAGCTGGCCAATGAGGTCAGACTGGTGACGTGGCTTTGTATGGCTCTGAGCTAAAAATGGTTTTTACGTTTTGAAGTGCTTGCTAAGAAAAAAAAGAATATTGATAAAAATCAGACGACATGCCCTAAAACATGAAGTACTGTATTCTGGCTCCTATACAACAAGTATGATTAATCCCTGCTACATACTAAGCTCATTGATGAGCAGGTGAGTTACTATGAAAAAAAGCAATTCTTATCTATAAAAATGAAGAACTGAATATAATCCATGGATAATGGCTTTGTCATATAACATGCATTACACTATCATTAAATTATAAATATATTAATTATGCCAACGCATCCAAAGGTATATAGAGACAATAAAGAACAAGATATATACATTAGGCATATCTTTTATATTTTTGGAATAAAACAAAACAAAAAATTTTGGAACAGATGCCACAATTTTATATGTAGTTTTTGTTTTATAGTGATTATACTTGTGAACAGTTTAGTTATTTTGATGATCTTGGTTATTTATCACACCTAATATTTATTTACACATAAAAATTTAAAAGTGGTTCATATAACTCACCCAACTATTTGATAAATATCTTCAGATTTTCCATGGCGTAATTTCAGTATCCAAACACCTGGGTTTGCTTTTAATTGAAAATATCCCTTTTAAGACAAGAAATACATGGTCATAGTCGTATGACTAAACACACATTCAGTTGTTTAAGCAAGACTATACACGAATCATCCAAGGAAGTGTTCCCTGACTGTGGGAAGAATGAATTCTACAAATGAATCCCAAGGAAGAGGATTTTTCAACAAGCTATAAAAGCACATTCTGAAAATAAGATTCCCTTCATTTTTGTTTTATTTAACTACCTTATTCAAGATTTCAGTTTTGTATTTCAGGACCTGTTCAGCAAGAGCAGGATAAAATTTCCTTTCTCTTCCCATTAGAAAAACTTAGAGAATTTCAGATTAAACATCCAGTTGTAATACCATCTATTAAGTATTTATGACACTTACAAGGTTGGCCATCACTATTGTATCAACGGCGACGGGCTGACTTTTGGTGCCGAGCGTGAACTGCAGACCCCGAGGCGGCTGTTCCATCACGATGTCAAAGCAGTGTCCCTCAAGGAGCAGGTGTTCTAGTTCGTATTCTGCTACAACCGCTGTCTCCATCTGTGGAGGACGTGTGTCCTTAGTAACGCCCACAATACAGATACTGTAATAACTAAATGAGATGACTTTAATGTCAGCCCACGGATTTCGGGTGGGCTACTTCATGTCTTCCTTTTACCAGAGGGAACTGAACAGCTGGATCAGTTTCTTGAAGACTAAGGCTCATGACCCACTTTTTCCCTTTCCCATGCCATCAGCTCTACCAACAACCTCATGATACACACACCAGTCTCTCAAGAAGAAAAGATGTGATGAAGCTGTAGCAGTCCAAGATCGCTGCAAGACAGATTTAGAAGGAAAACTCCTCAAAGACTGGCCTTCACCGCTGTGGTCTGAGAGCTCCCTCTCGACACACAGCAAGACAGCCAACTTACCACCATCTACTGCCTTTCTTGTGATTTAAAAATATTAACGTGTAATTGCTTTACACTCAGAATAACATGTGCTCATTAAAGAAAATCCAGCACATATTAGAAAGTAGGAAAGAGGACAAACAGAAATCACCTGCAGATTAAATAGGCATCAACACAACAATGCACTAATTTGTGTTTTTTTCATCAAGTTTTTCCTAAGAAAGTGTAACCTGTTTTTTCACTAAATCTAGTTTTCTAGGAAAATGTCAGTCTCTAAAAACATCCTTTAAGTGATGATCATTCCAAACACTTCCAGGTTTTCCTCTATTGTAAATGTTACAATAAGTATTTTAGGACTAAAGCTTTTTCTACACTTCTAATGAAAAACATAACCAAACATGACAATGAATCAAATGGTAACTGATTTTTGCATAGTTTAGAAATTTTGTTCAGCCAGTAAGACAGTGATAAATCTAATTTTATTTCACTACATGAGGTTTTCAATAGTACTGTTTAGTATATTAGGACACAGAGTATTTGAAAACATTCTCTATCATATTGGTTTTCCTTTGATTATAATTACCTTAGAAAAAAATTACAGTTCTTGTGTACATTTCTTTGAGACCAGCTCTTATAATTTTACTATTTTTAATTGTTTACTTTTTTAAACATTTTATTTATTTATTTTTAGAGAGGGAAGGGAGGGAGATAGAGAGAAACATCAATGTGTGGTTGCTGGGGGTCATGGCCTGCAACCCAGGCATGTGCCCTGACTGGGAATCGAACCTGCAACACTTTGGTTCGCAGCCCTCACTCAATCCACTAAGCTACGCCAGCCAGGGCTTTAATTTTACTATTTTTAAGAAAAGAAATAAATAACTTCTTTGTTTCAAAAACTTTACTATTCTAAGTGATGACCTTCATATAGGAGGTCTGTCAGGAAAAAATCTAACCATTGTTAATACAATGAGAATAGTTTTTGTGACACAGATGTAACCCAGCAGCCGAGAAGAGTGGACTGGAATGCATATGCATGAACAATGATGACTTCACTGTACTAGTCAGTGGGGGCAGTAGATGCCATTGAGTGAGCATGTGTACTGTGTGGTCATTGCATTCAAAGTGACTGAGCGAGTAGAGCAATGAATCTGCATCAAATTTTACGTTAAGCTTGAACATTCCTCCACAGACGTTATTCAGATGATTCAGAAGGCTGCAGCCATGGGCAAACGCAGTGATTGGTAGCTTCATCAGAACAACACGCCCACTCATGCATCATGTCTCATGCAGAGTTTTTCTGAGAAACATCCAATCACCCAAGTGATTAAGCACCTCCTTCATCCCAGGTTTGGAGCTCATGACTTCTGGCTTTTCCCCAAACTGAAATCACCTTTGAAAGGGAAGAGGTTTCAGACTATTGATGAAATTCAGAAAAATATGATGGGTCAGCTGATGGTGACTAGGAGAACTGTGGAAGGTTCCAAGGTGCCTACTTTAAGGGGACTGAGGTGTCATTGTCTTGTGTACAATGTGTCTTGTATCTTCTATCTTCTTTAGTAAATGTCTCTATTTTTCATGGTGTGGCTGGATACTTTCTGGACAGGCCTCATACTTCATCAATCTATGTCCACAGTCCTCACAGCACGTAGCCTGGATGGACAGATGTTCATGAGATAGCCTCAGGGCATGGGAATACTGGGGAGATCGCCTACTTTAACTCTTTCATTTTACAGACAAGGACAAAGTGATTAGGAAGTAAAGCTTAACTATTTTTCATGAATTGGGTGTCCAATCTGCGTCGCATGGGCCACATGCGGCCTGGGATGGCTGTGACTGTGGCCCAACACAACATTATACATTTACTTCGAACCTTTCTTTTTTGCTCACCGGTTTTCTTTGGTGTTTGTGCATTTAATGTGCGGCCCAAGACAACTCTTCTTCTTCCACTGTGGCCCAGAGATGCCAAAAGATTGGACACCCCTGACTGGATAAAGTCCAAATATATTCAATCAGTCTGTGACTAACAATATCTTCATTTTATAATATATCAATATGAGATTTTTCTCTTGTCCATAACAGACATCAATTCTGCTGATTTACTCAAAGCATAACACCAAAAATAGCCAATTGGTTTTTCAAAGAGGTTTTTTAGTGAATATCTTGAGTTTTCTAATAATTTCATAAAGGTGATGCAAGTTAAATTACTTTAAGTTAAATTAGTTCCTATTATGACAAATTTCATAGCTAGGTATCCTTTTTGATGTTTACAACTCCTTTAGATTTTTATTTAACTATTTTTAAAAATATTTTATTTATTTATTTTTAGAAAGAAGGGAAGGGAAGGAGAAAGAGGCAGAGAAACGTCAGTGTGTGGTTGCCTCTCCTGCTCCCCCTGCTGGGGACCTGGCCCAAAACCCAGGCTCGTGCCCTGACTGGGAATCGAACCAGCGACCTGTTGGTTCACAGCCCGTGCTCAATCCACTAAGTTACACCAGCCAGGGCCTATTTTTATTTAACTATTTGACCAAAGTCCTGGTAAGAAAGAATTTTTCTAGATCAAGCTCTTTTTAGGCATTTATGTTGGGGTTTAGATGTAGCAAGGAGTACCTGTGTGGCTGAGTGTGCAGTCAGTGACAAAAGTCATTGGTTCCTCTTTGCGATGGTGCACTTTCGTCCCTTACCTCCACCTCCTTCTCCTACTCTAGCAAATGTCTTTCCTTGACTCATAGTTAGCGCTCTCCCAGGAGAGCTGCAGGTAGCAGCCCACGTGCGTGCAGCACACCAGGTGGGACCGCCTCAGAGGCAGGCAGTCACCTTCTACAGCTGCTCGAACATGTAATTCCTTCTGTTCATTCATACAACCTATGGAGGTAGAGGAAATGACTTCTCTACTTTGGTCTTCTAAAATGAATAAAGCTACTGTTCACTTAGAGCTTCTATAAAGACCCTGTTATATTTGCTACTCACAATAAAAATGTTTAATCTTCAGTAATTGTTTAATAGCTGCTGAATTTTTTTTTACCAACCAACTCAATTTAAAATCTTTTCTAAGCTGCATTAATTTTACCACACGAACTCTCTACCCTTTTGGTTAGAATATTTAAAGTTACCTTATTGACGTGTATTACTGAACTCCCTTAGTGAAGAATCCAAGAGGCTCCTTTAAGAGATAAAACTCATGAAAAAAGTTTTTTTTTTTTTTAATTCTTGCCAAGTTAATTTCTCAATTTTCCCTTGTGGATTTTATTACTTTTTGGTCCTCCTATTCTTTCCCTAGGTTTAAAGGACTGCTTTCAGATGACTGTTGTGACTGAGTTTTAGGTTATTCTCTGGGTGGGTCAAGGTGGGGGTACCTCTACAACATTCTCCTGTTCTGAAACTATCAGGGAAGCCACTTAGGATCCTACAGAATCTACTCACAAGCGGGTCAGAAGAAACTCGCCTAAAAGTAAAAGCCTGAGGCCAAGGGTAACAACTTACGAGAACCCTGGGAAGTAAACCTGATGAGCCGCGGTCAGCAAGTCATTAGAGGTGAAACGCCTGTGCCCAGGTCGGGCAGAGGCTGCTTCTGCAGGCGCTGCTGGATGCGGCCGGAGGTCGTGCAGAGCCAGGCGAGATAAGGCCAGTGAGAAGGAGAGATTTTCTCCCAGTTTCCGGATGCCTGTTCTGTAGGTGCTCACTCCTGAGATGGTTCTGAGTGGTGTGGTATCTAAATCCCTTTCCCATTTTGAGTGGGATGTTTGAAAGACTAGGTGCGTTTTCAAAGTCCCCTCACTTTTTCGTGCTGTGCACTAACTGACACCAGGAAGGGAAGAGGAGGCGTCTGGTCCCTTCCTGGACAAGGGTCCCGCTGGAGACAATGCAAAGCACCACTCCCCGCCTTCAGGGTGGGAGGGAACTCTCTTCCTGCTTTTCACCCTGGTCTCCTTAGGACTGCCCTCTCCGCTAGGAGCTGGGGGGCCAAGAAGGGGTTCGGATGAAACGGCTCTTTCTGAGTTAAAAACAAAACCTGGAGGCCCAACAGGTGCACAGTGTGGGCTGTCCTGGGCAGCCATGCTTCCATCTCCACGTTGTTCATCTCACAACAGCATCTGTGACCCAGGGTCTGAAGCACCAAAAAAGGTGCGGACATCTAGAAACCCAGAACAGTGGAGCAGCTGAATCTGGAGGTCGGGGCAACTCAGAAATCACAGGAGAGAGCGGGTCAGGACGTAGAGTCATACAGAAAAGCCGCCTGGTGAGCAGCCACTCTGTGGGCACTCACACTTGCTGAGGTTCTAGTGGCTGGTGTCACGTGACACCACTCTGCACAGCGTTACAGGACAACTTACGTCCTTCAGGTGAATGTTGTCAAGGTCACAGTTGCTGCGCACTGTTTCGACCAGCCAGCCCTCGGGAGTGATCACGTTGAGGGTGAGAAGGGGTGACTCAGGGATGTCTGAGAATTTTGCTCCTGGTGCAATGATGCCGTTGGCCACCGACGTCAGTTCTGGTTCCAGGACAAATCGGTAAAAACTGTTGATAAAACAAACAAAAAAGTACTTTCATCCAAACTGAGAATTCTTCTAACCTAAATATTTTCAAAACTAAAAATGGTTTATAAATGACAAAAAAGTCTTCAGTTAAAAATACTAAAAACACTACACTGCATTGCAGAAGAGACAGCGCTTGTGAATGGCAGACAATTATTATTTTGTTACATTATCATCTAAGACTGTATGTGTACATACACACAACCCCTGGTCAATTAGTCCTTAACTAACCAACTTGAAGACACTGACTTGTGCAGGTTCTAATCGAAGTTTATGATCGGTATTCACTCACTGGTACTTCTTCAAGTTTGACCACAGTCTGTTTTTCAGCCATTTGATTAGCTTTTAGTACCATAAATAATGTGAAGAGAAATGACCAGAAAGCAAGGAAAAGTCAAGCTGAAATTCTCATACCAATTCTAACCGTTCAATTAAAAACAGCTCAGGATTAAGGGGAAAGCAGCTGCTTATTGACAGACCTGCGGTTTAATGTGTTACCCCCCACACTGCACAAAACCACCATGACTTGTATTACTAAGAACAGCGAGGTCTCCGGTTTGGAGACTACGGTGGTCTCCAGGCCCGAAGGGGGAAGAACCACTCCGGGCTTCCGCAGATTCTCCACTTGCAGCTGGCTGGGGACCACTGTCGGTTCCTCGCCACAAGGTCGCCCCCACACGCTTCCTCAGAGCAGCACACAAGAACGACAGAGAGAACGCCAGCAAGACAAAAGCCACAGTCTTTGATAATCTGACTGCAGAAGACACGTCCCATCACTGGGGCCGTGCCCTGCTTATTGGAAGCAAATCATCCATGGAGGTCCACACTCAAGGGAGTGTACAGAGCGGGAATCCCAGCAGGTGGTGACCGCCGGCAGCCAAGTCCGACCGTTCACCGCAGGAAGGTGGAGTCACAAAGAAGAAGGCTAGGAGGAGGCACAGGGCAGAGCGGCCGTGAAGCAGAGGCACAAAACAAGTCCTTGGCCCTGTCGGATGCAGTGAAGTGTCGTCAAGGAAAAAGTATCCCACGGATGATGCAAACAGCAATTTCTTTGTGGTCACTAGGTCAACCTGGCAGCAGAGCAGAAGCCGAAGCCAAGCCGCAGTGGGAGGCCTGGTGAATGAGAGGTAAGGAGGGCCATGGCCACTCCGCAAAGACACGACAAGGAGAAAGGGTGCAGAAGAGAAGGGCAAGTCAGGGCTCTGCTGGAGAGAAAGTTAAGGGAGCCGTTTCTTTCCTTTTTAAAACCCAAGTAACTCTTTGGACTGAAAAAGGCTGGTAGGGAGATTAAAGGTACAGAACAAAGGGACTATGCGATAAAGCAAGGATCCAGAACGAATGGGAGAGCATGGGGTCAAAACAGAGGGGGGGGGGCTGTTACACAAGGGAGACAGTGCAGTCTTCCCCAAACACACGGGGAGGCTGGGGAGGCCGGGGAGGCGCGGGCCATGGAGGCGGCAGCCCAGGGAATCCCTGCCCGTAAGCTCCATCACCTCCGAGGAGGAGGAGACACTACTGTAAAAGTAAAGGGCTGGGAATGTCACACCAGGTTGCGCGATATATGTTACTGAGTGCTTAAGACTGTTTAATTCACACTTGAAAACAGTTTACAGTTTTTATCCTGTGTAGCATAATAACCACTCAAAGCATCCATCAAGTGCCTTAGGTGTTATTTCACCTTAGAGGAGTCAAGTTCTTCCCCTCCGAACGCGCTGCACTGACTTACATTTGACATTCCGACTCTTCACTGCGTAGCCAAAGCCTGTATAGTCCTCCTACGCGGATGATCTGTACTCATGTGAACGAGCTCATTCAATTTTCATACTTCTCATTTATCTTGTGTATTTCAAATTTCATCACGTCTCTCCAAATATCAACAAATGCTTTCATCTTATTTTAGCCACTAATTCAGAGACCTATTAGCTCCATGAGTACAGAATTTTTACTCAACAGTATTAAGAAATATTTGTGGTAACAATAAACCTTTTTGTATCATTAAAAATTATTCTAATCTCCAATATCCCCAATTATATGATATGATATAATAAAATGATCATTTTGATAATTTAATTCTGAAGTATTGAAAATATAGAAAAACCAAAAATGGTGTAATTCAATCTGTGTCCCACTTGTTATTTCTTATTTATTTCTAAATAGGCATTCCTAAATCGTACTTTCAAAAATGCCCACGGATAAACATAACTCTGCAATTAGATGGTGCATTCTGCTTAAATTAGGTGATCAATTTTGCTGGGTAGGTTGCTTTAGTGTTACACCATTTAAAGTCAGCAAATTACGCCTGGCTTCTGACCTGTTGCAGCGAACCACCTTGCAAGGGAGAAGAAACACAGGCCCGGCGATGACGGCCCTCTTCCCGCCCCACTGTCTGCGAGCCCTCCACAAGGAAACCACGTGCACTGAGACTCACCTCTTTAAAGGGGCCTCCGAGAGCTCGCCCCTGCAGTTCAGGAACAGCTTCAGCTTCATGTTGACAATCTTTCCAAGCACCTGTTAGAAAAACATTCCCATGTTTGGCATTAAGTAGCTTTAACAACTAACACGTACTGAGCATTTGCTGGGTGCACCAGGCACCGCGCAACGCTGCCTACTCGTCATCTCAGTCCAATCCGCGGAACCCCTCCGGAGGCCGCTGCGGTTGCGGCCCAGGACCACCCGGTGAGTCGGGGCAGAGGTCAGGTCTGAATGCAAACCGTCCCCTTCCTTGCCCAGAGGTTACGCTGCCTACCTTTCTCCTACAGTGACTTTCTTTCACGGCACCTAAATTTCCTTAGCATTAAAAAATAAGTAAAATAATTATCAATATCTTGGCCTGCAAATACGAAGTGGTGGCCTCACAACAATGGAGAGGGTGTTCTTGGGCCTTTGTTGTTCCAACTACATTGTAAGGGATGCAGGAATTTCTTGGCTACACACAGATTATGAAGTACTCTCTTTTCATTTCCCTGGAGCATAAGAACCATTAACCAGTGCCTCTTAATAAGTTTAATAAAAAAGAAAAGGGACGTTTAAAAAAAGTAGGGCAATTATTGATTTTGATATATTAGTCCCCACCTCCATGTAGGGAGCAAGTCAGTGACCATCTGAAAGGTAACAGAAAACAAAGGATGAAGGTAGAGGAAGAAGCAGCAGCAGACACAGGGCGCAGAATGAGCGCCGGCCGGGCAGGGCGACCTCACTGCGGGGGCAGCTGCATCGGGACTCCCACAGACGGCGCACGGGGAGACCCGGCCTGACCACTGACATCTCCCGCCAGACTCAGGGTCTGGCTGCGTCTGCCCACTTCCAAAAGTGAAGCCACTGCCGAAGGACAAAGAGTTTCTACTTCTGAGAGTTTTCAATGTCTCTTTAATAAAAAAAGCACTGAGTAATTTCACACAGGAGTCCCCCACACTTTTGAACATCCCTAGAAAAAACACATAGCCTGCTAATGTAACTAGCTTATTCAAACTTAACTTCTGAAAGCTGATTCACAATTTGAACCTTGAAGCTGCTCAACGATAAACCACATGATGTCCCTCCAGAGTCCACTAGCGGTCTCCCAGCATTCCTTATCCCCTACTTCCCTGGTGAGAGAATTTTCGGGTGCGCAGAGTCCCCGCCCTGCCTGCAGAGCGGGGTGTCGGGGTGCCTGCCTACACCCTGGCCAGTGAGAAGGGACTGGGGGTGGGGGGACGTGGCCAGCTTTGGGGCAGTGCCCTGCTCTCCCCTCCTGCTGGCAGGAACACAGAGGCGATGTCAGGAACTGGACCTCAGACTATCAGAGAAGCTGTTCAGGGAGATGGCAGACCACCAGGCAGAGGCTGCCCTGGCACCTCCCGCCGGCCTACACTCGCACTGTGAGGCGAGACAGACAGAGTTCAGTCTGGAAGGTGCTGTCACACAGGCCTTGGTCAGGGTGGCTGAACCCACTGCGAACACGACCTTCGCGGTTCCTCTTCCCTCGGCTTCACCTGTTTGGCTAATGGCACTCATTATACTTAAGCTCCGACTAATTAAGCTCAGGCATCGGCTCTCTGGAGGCCAGTGTTCACACCTGAAGACGGGAAGCAGCCTGGGCAGCCGGCTTCAGCACCAGACACTTATTTTGAGCAAGGCGCTGGCCGATCTGGTTTGTGGCGAGGGCTCTCTTCCTGGCCCCAGGCCGCTGCCCTGTGGCATGATGCTCACAGGGCCTCATCTTCGTGCAGCAATGGGAGAGAGAGAGATCTCCTCACGGGGCTATCCGTCCTTTTAATCCGGGCCCGGCCTGTGAGACCTCATTCAACCTCAGTGCCTCGTTGGGCCCTACTTCAAAATACCGTCACACTGGGGGCTAGGGCTTCAACGCAGGAACTGGGGGCGGGGTCCAACAATGAAGTCCACGGCACCGACACCTACCCTTGGTGCTGCCATAACACCCCTACCCAGCTCTACCATCTCATTTTACACATTTAAATATGACTATCTACTTAAAATGTATGGAATTGGGAATCAAGAGCACAAACATTTAATGACAGTTGAAAACAGGCTTGAAAAGATCGGTTGTAAATTTCAAAATGTACTGTATGCTGAAGAACAAGTGTAAGTGACCGAGGGACATGGACGACAGGGTGGGGATGGACCGTCGGAGGGAGGGCGGGGCCGGGGAGTGCAATGGGGGGGACCTGGGACAGCTGTAGGGGAACCACAGTCCAGGGTGCGGTGCGGCGTGGTGCACGCCTGCGAAACACAGAGCGGGAGCGTGGCCTTACGATCAGTAACTGCGCCATCATCTGCGCCTCTCTCGTCAGCGGGTCGGCGACAGCCACGACATCGAAGAACACGTCAGCTTCCTGAGGGTCCGTCTTCAGAACGCTGGGAAAACAAAAATAAGTAAGGTCAAAGAGGGTCCATTAAATTTACTCCATTACCAATTAATCTCAGTGGTATACGTGATTATAAATTGCTTTTTGTGTCATGAGATTAAAAAAATCCCTGGTTGTTTCACTGAAGAAAATACAAATTTAAAATTCTCATGTTTGTGTTCAATAAATTGGAAAACTGCAAAGAATCGGAGAAAATAAAAGCAGGCTTTTTATGAATGAGTGAGTTCAAAAAACTCCTCCAAGAACAACACTATTATCGTGAAAACTGGTCAGTTTAAGTCCCTAAATTCTCCCGATCACATGACATAAAAAAAGAAACCAAGATGCTTCAGTCTTGTTGAACATACTCTCTCAGATTGGAGAATGATGGCATTGACTGTTCGGGGCTTTCATTAAGTTTCGTACTTAAAAACCCCAGCATGTCACAGCAGAACACCTCGGGGCACCCCCACGCTCGGTCTGCCGCCCTTCACTTTCACCCCGGCACGCGCTCCTCGTCTCCCCCTCTCTGTCCTTTCTGCCCAGACTGTCACTGATCTAAGTTAAAATACGAACCAGTCGTGACAGGTAAGTGTGAGAAGAAAGTAATTAAAAGCACAGAAAAAGCCAATGGGAGGTAGGTGAAATATTAAATTTCTTAGCAATAAAAGGTAATGTAAAAATCACTTCAAATAAGGGTCCTTCCAACATAGGGAAATGAAAGACATTTTATTTTATACACAGTTGATATGATTTAATTATGTTAAAACAGGAATGGCAGAGCTAGACAACAGCTCTTGCTGGGTAATTGCTGCCAGATATTAAGGGCTACAAACCAAATGTTTTCAAGTAAAGAGATCATCTATGATGGTTAATCCCTCTAGTTACCTTGGTGAAAGTTTTACAAATTTACTGGTCACTTTCTGCATGTTTTATAAGACATTATGGATAAAGTAAGCATCTGTTTACTGCTACTTTAAGTTTTTTCCCCTCAAATTACTGCCAATTCTGTGAGGCTGTGTAAGTCAGAATCCCAGTTCCCAGGTAAAAACTGGGGGACTGCACACCACCATCTCGGAGTCGCCCCATATCCGCCCCTCCACGTAAAATAAGGCGGGGGGCTTAAAAGCAGCAGGACACTGAGGGAATGAGACAGCCAGACGGAGAAAGCAAGTCTCCACCACCGCCACCCTGGAAACGAGCAAACGTTTCGAACACTTAACATGAGAGCAGGTATTTCCAAACACACAAACATTCCCGAGCATAAGATAACACAATGGGAACAGCACAAGGACTAACATTTACAATGATAGTTTTAATGATTTGTACTGAATTATTTCAGAACACAGTATTCAAGAAATCAAAAATTCTGTAAAAAGAATTCCATTGGATGTGTTAAAAATACCTGGAAGTACTGAATCTCAGCTATCTGAAAAATAAAACTTCACTCCCCACAGTGCCAGATAATGTCTCTTTAGAAGGTAACTTTCCCCGAGAACCCTCCTGTGCATGGGTGGAGACACCTGAAAAGACAGGCTTTCTAGAGCTGAAGCGTGTTTTATCTTCTGTTGGTGAATAAACAAACACAAGCAACACAGATGACGTCTACCACAAGGTCAGAAAACTGACAAGTGTCACTGTTTTCTGTTTATGATCAAATCATGTATCTTGACTTAAGTTTTATAAGAGTAGTGATGGTTAACAAATCATAAAATGAAACATGTCTATAGCTTAGTTATATAATGTCTAACTGACTTTTTTTCCAAATTCTAAGTGGTCTTTAATTAAAAACCATAGAATAAGGTCTCCTTCTGGGGACACAGATTACTTTATATGTGTCAGTGGTGCTGATAAACTTAATTTATAATTTCAAAGTGAAATTATAAACTAGTTTAATATTCTAAAACAGTATTTCTCTGATAGCTGTCTTCAGAAACCTAATTTTTATAAAATAGTAGATGTTTAACAAAAGAGTGTTCCATGGTTAAATAAGTCACCCAACCACTGAATGAACCAAAAATGAACTTGTTCATTAACTACATCTCATAACCATAAATGTGTGGATGAACACTGAAAATACCGCCCCCCCCATCCCCATGTTCTCTAAGATAACTTGACCACAGAACAGATTCTTCCTCAGAAAATCTCCGTCAGCATCTCGGAGCCGTGTCCCACAGAACACACTCTGGGACGTGCTGCTGTGCGCGTCCACATTTTACTAATCAGAGTTCTGTACCGACCGAGAATACAAAGATGCTGCTGCAAATGACCCTGAGCATCCAAGGTAAAACAAATCATACTTGGTGTAACTCATTTGAAATCCCATATATACCTTATATCTAATCAACAGGAATTTCTTTCCCTCATCTTGTCAGATACATTTATTCTCTAACATGGAACGTCTAATTTCTTTAATTCTGCTCACGACGACCACGAAGGGGAAGCACAGTAAGTGTACAGGCGTCAGTGACAGAAGAGCACAGCCCCGTTACATCCTTACCTGTGATGCTCTTGTAAGAACGTGACATCATGACGAGATGCACGTAGCGGCAAAGAGGAAACAAGGGCATCAACTCTCATGACAAGGTCGCTCTTGCTGGAGGAACAAGGCAAACAATGGGTGAGCGTTCTGGGAGGAGAAACGTACCTCCTTTGTGTCACAATTAAGGCCCCAAGAAAGAGGAATTTAAGTTAAAACATGTCCAAAGGGCAAACTCCATATAAATCATTTTTCTTCCAAACTTCCAAGTAGAACTGTCAGTTTAAAGTAAGAGACTTGCTTTTAAAGTCACCCTGTGCCTCCTCATCATTGATGTGACCTTTGAGCACTTAAGCAGTGTTTTCAACAGAGTCCATGGCAACGTGGGTGCACCACTGAACTCAAGTCAGGGTGTGGGGGGTGCTGGTAGGCGTCTGAGCGCTGGAGCCCACGCAGCGAAGAAAGAAGGGCAGAAAGAACAAAAACCACAGGCATTCACTGTCAAAGAATTTTTGATATAGTTAAAAAGCCCAGATTTTTATGTTAATTAGTTTGAAAACTAAGAATGCACAAAATAAACACCTATTATGTTGGGATAGAATGTGCTTACTGAAGTTTACAGACGACTTCAGTAAAAAAAACAAAAAAAATAGACTGGTCAGGAATCTTGTCCATCTCTCTCTACTGCATCATCTTTTACTAGCATGCAAGTTCCTGAAATGCGGGATTTTCGGTTAAAAGTAGGTTTCTATCCATAATACCTACCATATTTTTCACAGAGCACTGCATTTAATGGCCACGTAATGAACATATATTAAGTAAATTAATTAACCCAAATCATAACTGATATCCCTAAACTCTCTAAAGGTACTCGCTAGCCACATAAGCCCTACTGCGTGAAGCCGCGGGCACAATGGAGGGAACGCTAACCGTCAAACATGCTCCCCGGGCTCTCACACTGGGCTGACCGCCTAAGTGCCGAGAGGAGCGGAAGATGAGAAAAGAACATCTCTGAGGCCCCAGACCACCTTTCCTTGAATTCTCTGCCAAATTTTCAGCTACGCAGGTCAATTTTTCTTTTTGGGAAGGACTACAGACTAACAAGGAGAAAGGGCACTAGGAACTCGGCCCCTCCTGCTGCAGAGCTGGGGACGCCTCTCAGAACAGAACAAGGTGCGCCCGCTCCACTGGAGAAACGGACTCGATGTGCCCCTCGGGATAATGGCTCCGAGGACTCAGAGCTCTGCCCGGCTCATTAAATAACTCTTAAAAAGCATGATAATAAAAATGCATACCTTTAATGTATGTTCAGATTTAAGTGAACATGAATTTATTCTAATTAAAACACACCTTGTTTAGCATTATTTCAGGGCATGTAACAATTTAACACAATTAGAGAGGGTGCTGTTATAGTTAATGTTATTGATTTTTTTTGTGGTGGTTTTGGTTTGAAATGAAGCTTTATAGTGGCTAGAAGAGCTTCCTGAAACTATTTTTTAACCACACAAGAGTTAAAAAATTAGGTCTAAAATTTTAACATTTTTATAACATTCAACATAAAATTAATGAATTATAAATTTTTCAACATATCCTAGTCCTACATTATTTAATTGTAAAATAATGTTTTTGCTTTTTAAAGCTTTATTTTGTTTTATTGCACTTGAAAATAACTATGGATATTAACTCTTCACTGCAGAAAAGCCCTTACGAGTACTTTACAGACATTTTAAATCTCCTTTTATCATTATTTCCTAAATGAATATATATATATATTTAAATCATATCCTAAAGGATAAAGTAAGGACATCAGTTTCATCTGGATCAGAATACTATAATCAAGAGTAAAAATGAGATCTTTAGTTCTGGAAAGATAACAGCCTCCAATACATACATATTTGCTTTAAGATACATGGATCAATGAAAATAAAAAAATATAACAGAAAAATACTATCCCACAAGAATGTTGACATAGCTTAAATATCAGACTCTAAGGACTTTAAGACAAAATCATTATTAGAAAAGGAGTAATTCATATAAGGATAAAAGGAATAATTCACTAGAAAGATAATTCTGAATCAGGGTGTATGTAACAACAATACGTAGCAGCTCAAAATTTGTAAAACAAAATTTGACAAGAATACAAAATTAAGTTGTAAATTCACAATCCTAGCGGTAGTGTTTAACAAACACTTTGGTAAATGACAGATAAAACAAAGAAAAAGCCACAAGAGAAAGCAGACAGTTATCTACGAGGGAGCTCTCATAAGACTGTCATCTGATTTCTCAACAGAAACACTTCAGGCCAGAAAGGATTGGCAAAATTCATTCAATGTAATAAAAAGCAAGAACTGACAATCAAGGCTACTTTATCCAGCAAGGCTATAATTTAAAATTAAAGCAGAAATAAAGAGCTTCCCAGACAAGAAACAGCTAAAGGAGTTTGTGACCGCCAAACCTGTGTTACAACAAATGTTAAAGGAAAGAGGAGAGGGAGGAGGAAGAGAGAGGAACATAGCTAAAAAAAAAAATGGTAACAAACACGTATCTATAATAATCACCTTAAATGCAAATGGTTCATTGTTCTAATCAAAAGACAGAGGGTAGCTGAATGGATAAGAAAGCAAGGCCCGTGTATATGCTGTCTTCAAGAGACCCACCTCAGAATGAAAGAGGCACACACACTAAAAGTAAAGGGATGGAAAAAGATATTTCATGCAAAAGGAAAGAAAGCTAGATAGCAACACTTGTATATAAGAAAGCAGACTTTAAAACCAAGGCTATATAGTAAGAGACAACGGAGGACACTACATAACAATAAAGGGGACAACAAAGAGGATGCAACCCTAGTAAACATTCGTGCACCCAACAGAGGAGCAACTGAATATGTAAACAAACACTGACAGACACAAAGGGAGAGAATGCCAGAAATACAGTCATAGCAGATTTTAACATCCCATTGACTTCAATGGCTAGATCTTCCAGACAGAAAATCAACAAGGAGATGGCAGTCTTAAAGGGCACATAGATCAAATGGAGTTAATTGGTATCTTCACAGCATTTACCTCAAAGCCTCAGAACAGAAATTCCTTTCAAGCACACATGGAACATTTTCTAGGACAGACCACATGTTAGGATACAAAATACGTCTCAATAAATTTAAGAGGACTGAAATCATATCAAGCATTTTCTCTGACCATAATGCTATAAAACTAGAAATCAATCACAGGGAGAAAATTAAAAAAAATACACAGACACAGAAGCTAAATAACATGTTATTAAACAATGAATGGGTGAACAATTAGATCAAGGAAAAAAACAAAAACAAAAGATACCTTGAAACAAATGTAAATGAGAACACAACAGCCCAAAATCTGTGGGACACCAGGAAAGCAGACCTAAGAGGGAAATTCACAGCATTACAGGCCTATATCAGGAAACAAAAAAATTCTCAAATAAACAACTGAACACTTAAAGGTACTAGAAACAGAACAAGTGAAACCCAAATTGAGTAAAAGACTAAAGATCTGAGCAGGAATATATGAAATAAAGTCTAAAAAACTGATATAAATGATCAATGAATCCAAGAGCTGGCTCTCTGAAAAGATAAACAAGACTGACAAACCTTTAACCAGATTCATCAAGAAAAAAAGATGACCCAAATAAATGCAATCACAAATGAAAGGAGAAGTAACTACTAACACCAAAGCAATACAAAGAATCATAAGAAAATATTACCAACAACCATATGCCAAATAATTAGAAAATCTGGACTAAATGGATAAGCTCCTAGAAATATATAATCTTCCAAATGAAATCAGGAAGAATCAGAGAATCTATATAGACAGATTATACCTAGTGAAACAGAAGCACTAATAAAACAAACAAACAAAAAACTCCCAGCAAACAAAAGCCCTGGACCAGATGGTTTCACAGGTGAATTTTACCAAACATTCCAAAAAGAACTAACTTGTCAAACTATTCCAAAAAATTCAAGAGGAGGGAAGACTCCCAAGCTCATTTTATGAGGACAGCATTTTCCTAATTCCAAAACCAGATAAAGACACTGCACAGAAAGAAAATTATACACCAATATCCCCGATGAATAGAGATGCTAAGATCCTCAACAAAATATTAGCAAACTGAACATAGCAATACATCAGAAAGATCACACACCATGATCAGGCAGAATTTATTTGGGGGTTCAGGTTTGGTACAATATATGTAAATCAATAATAATGATGGATTGCATAAACAAAATAAAGGATAAAAACTACATGGTCATACCAACAGATGCAGAAAAAGCATTTGACAGAATCCAACATCCATTTATGATAAAAACTCTCAGCTAAGTGGGAATACAGGGAACATACCTAAACATAATGAAGGTCATAAATGACAAACCCACTACCAGCCATCATATTAAACGTGCAAGAACTGGAGTCAGGGATGTCCACTTCCACCACTCTCGTACAACATGGTACTGGAAGTCCCAGCCGCAGCCATCAGGCAAGAAGAAGAAATAAAAGGCATCCAGATGGGAAAGAAAGCAGTAATAAACTGTCATTATATGCACATCACATGATACTGTGCATAGAGAACCCTAAAGATTTCACCAAGAAATGATAAATGAATTCAGTAAAGTAGCAGGATACAAAATTAATATCCAGAAATAAGCTGCATTTTTATGTGCCAATAATAAACTGTCATAAAAGGAAATGAAGAAAATCCCATTCATAATTGCTTCAAAAGGAATAAAATACCTGGGAATTTAACCCAGGATGTAAAAGATCTCTGCTTGGAAAATTACACAACACTGAAGAAAGAAACTGAAAAAGATACAAATAAGTGGATACCATGTTCATGGATAAGAAGAATTCACATCATTAAAATATCCATATTACCCAAAGCAATCTATAGATTGAATTCAATTCCTGAACTAGAAAAAATATTCCAAAAATTTATATGGAACCCCAAAAGATCCTGAATACCAATAGTGATCTTGATAAAGAAGAACAAAGTTGGATGAATCATGTTACCTAATACCAGACTATACTACAAGTCCATAGTAATCAAAACAGCTTGGTACTGGCACAAAAACAGGTACAGAGGGCAATGGGACAGAATAGAGCACCCAGATCTAAACCCACACCTTTACAGTCGATTAATACTTGACAGAGGAGGCAAAAAAAAAATACAGTGGGGTAAAGACAGTCTATATAAAAAATGGTTTTGTGAAAATTGGACAGGTACATGAAGAAAAATGAAACTAGACTACCTTTTTATGCCACACACAAGAACAAATTCAAAATACATTAAAGACTTAAATATTGGACTCAAAACCATAAAAACCCAAGAAGGAAACATATGCAGTAAAATCTCAGTCCTTGCTTGCAGCAATACTTTTTCTGATATCTCTCTCCAGGCAAGGGAAACAAAAGAAAAAATAAATAAATTGTATACATTAAACGAAAGAGAGATTGCACAGCAAAGGAAACCATCAACGAAATGAAAACAAAAACAAAAACAACAACAACCCACTGAATGGGAGAACATACTTGCCAGCACATTTGATAGGGGGTTAATATCTAACATTTATAAAGAACTCATAAATTCAACACCAAAAAAAAGCAACAAAACCAAACCCCACAAACAATCCAAATAAAAAATGGGCAAAGGATCTGAATAGACACTTCTCCAAAGAGGACATACAGATGGCCAACAGACATATGACAAGATGTTCAATGTTACTAATCATCAGAGAGATGCAAATTAAAGCCACAATGAGATATTACCCCACACCTGTCAGAATGGTCGTCATCAACAGATCAACAAACAACAAGTGCTGGCGAGAACGTGGAGAAAAGGGAACCCTTGTGCACTGTTGGTGGGAATGCAGACTGCTGTAGCCACTGTGGAGAGCAGTGTGGAGTTACCTCAAAAAATTAAGAATGGAACTGCCTTTTGACACAGCAATTCCACTTCTGGGAATTTATCCACAGTAACCCAGAACACTGATTTGAAAGAATATATGCACCCCTATGTTCACTGCAGTATTATTAACAATCGCCAAGATTTGGAATCTGCCCAATTGACCATCAGTAGATGAGTGGGTAAAACAGCTATGGTGCATTTACTCAATGGAATACTACTGGGCCTTAAAAAAGGAGGAAAGTTTACCCTTTGTGACAGTCTGAATGGACCTGGCAAGCATTACACTAAGTGGGGTAAGCCAGTCAGAGGAAGACAAATACCACACGATTTCACTCATATTTGTAATCTAATGAACGAACTGAACTAACAAGCGAAAAAGAGGCACACTCACAGGTAGAGAGAGAAGGCTGATGGCTCTGGGGGGTGTTAGGGGTAAAGAGATGGAGCAAAAGAGAAAAAGAACCATGGACACCCACAACACTGTGGCAATTGCGGAGGGAGGGTCTGGGTGGAGGGGGATGAGGATATGGGGGACAAGGGGAAAACTACAATAAAAAGTGAACAAAAATACATTTAAAAATTTTTAAAGGGTACAAGATTTCATGAAAAAAAATTAAAGCTTCACTGAAGAACCCTTAAAAAACATCACATAAGTGTGTCTATCTACATATTCACATATATACTTATACATAAATTATACACTGTATATATCAGTTACATATCTATACCTTATTTACATGATAAATATGTATGTATGTATAGCTACATACTAATAACATATGTATTTAATAAATGGAATAAAGCTACTGAAGTAGACAGCAAAGAAGTCTTCAGTATAGTAGCATTCCTCTAAAGTTAAGGAATCCGACACAATAAAAGCCGAAAATGCATATTTACCTACAAAGCAAAAGTGAAAACATAAATACAGGTGCCACAGACACAACCTTTAGGGAGATGGTTACCTCTCGGGAAGTGAGGAGAGTGGGATGGGTGGGGGAAACGAACAGTGAGATCCACGGCAAATGAAACAAAATATTAACATCTGTTCTCTGCTGACAATGACTAAATGCATGTCTTTTATTATATCTTTAAAATTTCTCTGTCTTCTATTATATCTTAACTTGTGCACGCATCTGATACATTTTCTAATCTTAAAAAAACGATATGGAAAATACCAAACCCAGAAATGAATTGCTCTTATGATTTTAAACACTTACTTCTTTGAGTTGATTGCCATATTTTCAACAATGTCTTTAATGTTCTCTGCTAAATTAGTAAATGTTATCTTTTCCAACAAGGAGAAATCTTCTGCACAGAAATTTTCATCTAAAGGTCCTAAAAACTTAAAATAAAAGCAATTATTATTGTGTCTCTTCTAGAAGATACCTTTTATTTCACGAAATATTTTCTCAAAAATCAATTACAGACTAAACAGATGGTGGCTATTAATCCCACCATCTACTAAATCCACTGGGATAAAAAGGAGAAAAAAATATTTTCTCACTTTCATATCACAAATAACATTTGCATAAATACCAAAATCGAAGCAACAAGAAGTACAAAATTATCTCCATTTGAAAGGTTTACTTTGAGACATAATGCTTCCAAAAACCTAAGGCTTTTCATTCTCAAGTAAATGAAGAAAGCAATTGCCTGCATGTTTTAAATCTTTTAGTTTCAATTTTATTTTCCATTCATCTATAAACTGCAGTGACATGAATCTATAAGCAAGGAGTAAGACAGCAAAACTACGAGACAAATCACATGATCACTTAATGACACCCACTGGCCTTCATCTGATGGATGCCCTGTGCGTTGCATGAAAGGTTTGGAGCTCAGTGAGGTTGTGCAGGTTAGCTTTACTCCAGCGGTGCAGCGGGGAAGCTGGCAAATTGCCATGTACCTAACGTCTCAGGATGGCTACTCCATCACAGCTCCTACCAGCGCGACTGCCAGTTGCATTTTCTGAGGAGGCCAATGCAGGCAGTCACCACGCTGTTACAAACACAGACCTGATGTACACGGAGGCAGGCTGCACTAGTCCTAGGCATTAAACAACTGTACCTAATGACAACCAGAAAACAGGTCAAGCGGAATCTATTCTTTCTTAGTAAAAAGGCCAGAATGACACAGCTGCAGATTTTCTCACTCCCCCCTTCATGTGCTTTTGCAGCTAACAATTTTTCAAAATTAATGAATACAGTTCTCGAATTCTTATTTACTCATGTCATAGGAGCATCACGTTTCACCACAAACAAAACACGACTCTTAAAAACAAATGGGCACTATAAAACTAAAAGTCCACATATAAACATTTCATCACCTTAAGATTTGATATCACTTTTAAGGTAACTTGGAAAGCACTTTCAATGTCGTGTTTTCTGGACGATGAACAGGAGAGGCCTGGGAAAGAGCTGCAAGTTTGTCTAAGCCACCCCCAGTGACTCGGGCAGGTGTGTCAGTAGCTCAGAATGAGGAAATGAAACCTCAAATTGTTTTCCTAAGGAATTAACAAGATGGCTATTTTGACTGATTAAATTCACCAGAGGACTGACTATATTTCACCTACATAAGTCCAGCATCAAATGGCTGGGAGAAACTTGATTCTTCTGTGTCTTAGTTTTACTTAAAGTTGAAGGTGTTATCTGTGAAACAAAGTAGCTTGAATAGCATAAAGTCATATCATGTCCATCTTGGAAAAAGGAACATTAAACTTGAAAATCATATACTGGCACAGTAAAACCTAACTGGTGCTTAAATCATCTTTACAACATTTTAGAAATGTGATTTTTCAGTTATACAGAATAACTGCTGTACCAGAAATGCATTACCTCCTTTGACAGCTTATTAAAATTTTTAGAAAACTCTGTTAGAGTGTTCATCCACATACTGAGCTAAAAATCTCTCTCCACTTGTGGAAGTTTGGCCAGCTGGCCTTGACCTTGCACTGACGCCCACCAAGTGTAACACGAGTCGACCTACAAACGCGCGCACTGTGCCCGTGACAGTCTTCAGGTATTTGAAGAGAACACAGGAGTTAACCGTTCCTGAAAATTCACAGAGTGTCTAGGGCTGTTCTATGCACTTTACGTACAAAAGTGTATTTAATCGGACGACTCTGTTAAGTCATGCTATTGTGATTCCCACTGTACAAATGAAGGAACCAAGTCTCAGAGGGGCAATATGGTTAATGGTGCAGCTGGATTTTGAATCCAGACTTGCCCAGCTTAGGGAAAAAAGGCCTTGCCTGCTTCCATACTCTCTACTACCCCTGTCTTTCAGCAATTTGCAAATATGTAGTGTGATAAAAATTCATTTGTTATAATTACAGCAACAGCATTATTTAGGGCTTTAGTTGATACTAAAACACAAGTTTCTAGTTCTTGAGCATGCAGTAGGAAAGCATCATCGTTGGTTGCCAGATAAGGGGGGGTTTGGGAGGCCGGGTGACAAAGGTGAAGAGATTAATCGGTACAAACTGGCAGTGACGCAGAGTCACTGGCCCGTGAAGCAGAGCACAGGGACTCCGTTAATGATTTCGTGACACGTGCGGTGTCGGGGGAGTACGCGCCTAATTGTGGAGATCGCTTCATAAGTTACATAAACGTCTAACCACTATGCTGTACACCTGGAACTAATAGAAAATGAACGTCAACTGTAATTGAAAAATTAAAATATTAAAATTTTTAAAAAGTCCCATTGGTCCCAATTTTGATCATTCCTAATTGTAACTCTGAATATGTTCCAATCCCAACGTAAACACCCGGCCAGGTTCAGAAGGAAGACCAACTCTAAAATGTCAGAACTGTCTCATGCAGGAAGCTGTCGGACCCCCAGCGACCACCACCACCTCCCAGAACCGTGGTGATCACTGGGCTCCAGAGCATGGCTGGGGCGGAGCCACAGGCCAAGTGTTATGTTCAAGTTCACAAACCACTGAACTTACTTTTGGATATACTGGACTTTTCTATTCAAATCAAAGTTGTACAATAACAGAATAATCAACATGAAAGGTCAGTTAATGTAGTACTATCTCTACCCCCAACCTCTCCCCTGAATTCAGGTCGTATGTTCGACTGCGGACTCAACAAGCCTACGTGGAGGTCCAGAAAGGAGCAAGGAACTGCTAACGTGTCAGAACTGAATTCTCCACCTTCCCTTTCTCCTGCTGCAGTCTTTCCCACCAGAATGCATGGCAACTCCGTTCTCCTCGTGATTTCTCACCTGCTGTGAACCAAACTGTCAGCAGTGCCTGTTCACCCTTCCTCCAAAATACATCCCACCTCCCCTTTTGACTACTTCCACTCCAGCCATTCTGGGGCAAGCCGTTATCACCTCTCGCTTGGACCACTGTGGCATCTCCCATCAGACTTCCTGACCCCTGTGGTTCACGCTCAATGGAACAGCCACTAGAGACCCACAGTAAACACAGGTCAGGTCGTGCCAAGCCCGGTGCAGGCCTACGAACTCCACAAGCCATTCAGAGTAAAGGAGGCGTCCTTAAACCCTATAAAGCCGCTCTGACCTGGTCCCCAGCAGCTTCTCCGAGCTCCTCTCCTGACTGCTGCTCCCAACGTGCCTGCCGTTCCTAAAACACAGGGGCACGACCTCCTCCCAAGGCCCTGTGCTCACTGCCGCCTCTACTTAGAGCATTCCGCGTCCACACGTGGCCTCCTCCCTCGCCTCCTTTGGTTCTCCGTCCAAACGATACCTTATCGGTGAGGATGCTATTTGTCATCTGTCTCTGTCCACCACAGTGTAAACACCACGAAAACGTGTTTGTTCACTGCTATACTCCCAGAACCTAGAAAAATGTTTGGTCCAGGGCAGGTGAGAAATTACTATTTTCATATGTTGTCAACTTCAGAAAGAGAGAGGGAATCATAGTTCTATGGGAAATAAGTTGAATATAACTACAACTAATATGTATCATTAACATTGATATTAATATCTGAAATATGTTAAACAGTGGCAAAGAAAACACGGGGTAAGTGTTCCATAAGGCGCAGTCAAAGGGCAGGGTACTAGACATAGCAGGTGTCACTATTCCCTCTCTACTTCTTAAGATGACTGACAAAACCAAAGGCAGCCATTACACTCGAAAACTTCCAAAAAGCTTCATTTCCTCCCTAAGTAACTGCTAGAGAGAAAAAGCAATGTCGTTTCTGGGCTTCCACATAACTCACTATCAAAAGTCACTAGTACAGCGTAGGGCAAAAGTAGGTTTACACTTGTTTGTATGAAAAATACAATAATAAATAATAAAAGAATAAACTGTTTCATGTACTCACAACTGTAAACCTACTTTTGCCCCACCCTGTACTTTTATTATTGTAATAATAAATGGCAACCATTGTCACCAGTTTGTAAAACAGCAGTGTACACAGACGGACCCCAGTCTAACTGCCTTTAGGAGCTGATGCGATTAGCTCAGAAACCATTACAACGCAGCAGGTGCTGTTTACCATGTGGAAGGGCGGGGACACGGGTCTCCTATTCCTCCTGACCATGTTCTTCATGCATTCAGATAAGACCGGATAAATAAGCATAATTTTAAGGGAACAGTAATACGGGAATCAAACACTCAGGTGAACAGAGCTCATAAAAATGTAGAAAACAAAAAACCAAGAGCTTAGGAATATATAATTTGATAGCTCAAGCAGACCAGTGTCAAAGCATTACATTAGTTTACTTCTTAATAAATCTAAGCACCAGATTCAATTATTTAAAATTTAATTCCTCAGAAATAAAACCAGACTATCATATTCAAAATATATTAATAAATAGCTATTATCCACTAATTTTGTGTATAAAGACTCCCTAATCAGAAAAATGTTTGTGATACACTGAGAAAAGAGTGTGATACAAAGTTATATATGTAAAATTACAACTATGTATTTTAGAAACCAAGAAATAACCCAGTAGGGTGAAAAACGGGTCAGAAGTTAAAACAATAAACTTTTAATAAAATTTAGTAGGATGGTGGGGGTAAGTGACTTTTCCTATAGATTTTTAAAGGTTATTTTAATAAACAGTGCTCTACACTGCATACGAAAGCATCGTACTCTTATTCAGCAACTGTAGGGCAAGCTACGAGAGGAACAAGATGTCCCGATGCACGTCCTGCACCTGCTGCCCAGCGGTTCTCAATCACAAGGCCGCCGCGTGCACTAGGCTGCTCGGTCTGACACTTACATTAGGACAGAGCGAACGGTGCCCCGCGAGAACGTCCTCCCTCACCCGCGTCAGCGTTCTCGTCTGCGGGGGGGCAGGGAGGGTGAAGTGGCAGGTACCGCGCCGCAACCGAAACCTCTCCGCGCATTTCACGCATGCCGAGGCCAGTCTGAGGGCCGGTGTGTTGTGACAGAAAAACGTGTGCGACCCTGTATCACAGTGTCACTGAGAAAAGGGAGCTCCTGTTTCTCCTACTTACTTTTCCATTGCTGACAATCCCCATTTCTCCGGGATGCAAGTGAAGGACATCTCGACAGAACAGCTGGTGAGTCCGAAAAACACTCACTCCCATGGTATTGTATTTTTTCTCAAAAGAATTCTTATCCATCCCCTAAAGCACAAAAATAATGAATAAATAAAAGAGCAGTGAATCTATTAAATTTCTATTAATAAAGCCCACTTTGGTACATTAGTATAAAATTTAAATATCACATTATGACAAAATAGTATTTTCTTCTGAAACCACATTTTGAAAACGGGCATCTTTCTTCAGTCAGTTACAATATTTTGACATCTCTTTACAGGCAGATATACAACGGTTTGCTGCTTATTCCACAGGAATTTCAGGCGTTCACTCCCTCCCTGAAATACACCCTCCACCTGGCTGCCAGGACGCCGCGCCCTCCTAACCCAATGCACTGGCTCTTCCTCTGCAGGACCCTCCTCCTCCTGAGCTCCTCCACATTGGGGAACATTCCAGGGCTTAGCCGGCCACCTCTCTGCTCTCCGCCACACCCTCACTTAACTGAGACTTCTCCTCCAGCTTCTTAGCTTGAAATTATACATAATGTTGACGACCCTCAAATTATACTCATTCATTCGTGAGCTCGAAATCTCCACTTGAATGTTCCAACAGGCATCTCCAACTCAACATGCGCAAAACTTAGCCCTTGGTCCCTCTGTTGTCCAAATCTTCTCTTCACCTAGACTTTCCCGCCCTCCCCCCCTCAAAAGAAACCATCATGAAATCTAACTGTTTGAGCCAAAACCCTAGCCTGTTATCTTCACATGTCACATACAGTCGATCAACTAACCCTACTGACCATAACACAATATTAATTACCCACCATCTCACCATCTCCACCACTGCTATCTAGTCCAAGCCACCATCATGTCTTGCCTAGATTGCTGCAGCAGCATTCTAATTGTTCACCCTGTCTCCATTCTCGTCTACCTACTATGGAAGCTTCACACGGTGTCCAGAGCCATCTTTTTAAAGGTCATTCCCCTCCTCCGTTACACTCAGGAAAAGTCTGAATCCCCTACTGCGGCCTACAAGTGCCTGAAGCCCAGGGCCGTGTTCGTGCCCCGCAGGCCCCCGTGCTCCCGCCTCTCTCTGTTTTGGTCGTAAGGACCTTCTGCCCGAACCTCAAGTCCGGCCACTGTCTCTGCGTCGGGTCTTCAGAGCTGCCGTGTTCCTGAACCCGCTGCGTTCTTCTGCAGACTTCCTTCCCCCTCGGTTTCTCGCTGCACTCAGAGCTCCGGCCAGACCCCTCATACTGGACTCCTTGGGTGAGACACCTGAGGACTACTTACAAAACCCTTTAACCCTCCCAACCCTGAAGGGCACAGCCTAACTAGAATAACATCAACCCGAAGGATGTGGCTCCTCACTCATGAAGTGGTTGAAATATAAGAAATCTGATTTGTTAAATGCCTCTATGCAAAATCATATCATTTAACATCTATCTTTTCCCATTTAGAGGAATATTTATTATCCCCAAATGATTATACTGTTTTCCAGTAACGTGACATCTCCAAGCACGTGGACTTACACTTCTGAAGTATTCAATACACACTGATTATTTCAAACAAACAGCTACTGACCTCCATAAGGAATGCTTTAATTTTATCTCCAGAGTAAACGGCTGTAGCAGTTTCTTCTCTTGCCAGTTTCCTGAGAAAGTTTCTCAAAAAGCTGTTTTTCTGTGTGAGAAAAGCTGCCAAAATTCCTCTAGAAATAGCTGTGCTTTCTTCGTTTATTTTTGATGTAGGATTATAAATAATGCCCAGCCGGCTATGAAAACTTGTTTTCTGCAAAACACATTGATAGGTGGTGAAGAAGAGCTGTATTTTACATGCCTCTTTATAGCTGAACTGCTTCCTTTCCACTCAAGCCTACGCCCTGCCACACAGCGCCTCTTACTGTCAGATTCTCTGTGACTACATGTGGCCTCTCACTGACACGGCCTAAAAACCGTCATTTCACTAACTCCCACTGCTTCACCTCTTTGCATAAGGATTACTTTATAATGCAGTCCTTCGTTGAACTGCTTCTTGTGTGTGTCTGTGAAATAACAAAATACATCACAAAAATGCAGAGCTTAGCAAATCACCCCAGGTGAGGAAACAGAGCGCAGTGAAAGGCGGCTCTGGCCCCCTGCCAATGCCCACACCCCCGCATCTCATGACAGCCACTGTCTTGTCGCTTATGCTAATAATGTCCTTGCTTTTCTTTATCCTTTACCACTGAAGCTTGCCTCTCTAAACGTTTCCTCCGTTTTGCACCTCGAATAAAAGTAATCATGCAATACACATTCTTTTGTGCTCTTCTTCCACTCCACGTGATGGCTGAGATTCATCAACGCTGTTTTGTGTAGGCGCAGTTGTTTATTTTTTGGTGCTGCACAGAATTCCACGGTGTGAACCTACCCTCTTTCATCCACTGCACTCACTGGAGCTAGGCGTTTGAGTTGTTTTCGGGTTGGTGCTCTACAAGCAGAACACGCACAGCTCCAACTTCGGAAGACACTGACGTTTTTCACAATAGTTGGACTGGTTTTCACCCCCGCCAGTAACACAGGAACTTTGTGACTTTGTTACACTGACTTTCCGTTTTAAATCGTTCGGGTAAACGTGTAAGGTTAATTCATTTTTCCTCATTACTGATGATATTAAATATTCTTATTTAACATGTTCACTGCCCTCTTTACGGATTTGCCGATTCAATCTCTGCCATTATTTTCTTGGGGATAATTATCTTTTTCTTACTGACTTACGTGAGTTTGAGTTCTAAGACATAAGCGTTTTATTTTTATATGTACGCAGGTAACTCCTGCCATGCTGTGGTCTGCCTTTTTATTCCCTTGATGGTGCCTTCTAACAAAAAATAGTCCTTAATTTTAATGTAGCTCAGTGTGCTGGTGTTCTTATTCCGACCACTGGGCTCCGTGTTTCGTTTTAGAAATCGTCCCTACTTCGAGGCCACCAACCATGACACATGCCCGGGTTTGCGTCTGGCTCTGCTATGCATTTTCCGTTGCTCTCTTGTTCTCCCCTGTGAAACTGTCTTCCATTTTGTAGTTTTATAAGAGATCTTTGTATCCAACAGAGCAATTCTCCTTCCTTCCTCTTCTCTAAGAGTAATCTAGCTATTCTTGGTGCTTTGCATCATAAATTTGAGAATAAACTTGATGATTTCCATAAAAAGTGCTGAGATTCATGCTGGAATTGCTCTGGAGTTATAACATCAATCCTGGGAGAACTGGTATCTTCATAATATTGAGTCTTTCCATTCATAATTATGGTTTCTCTCTCCACTCATGTAGAACTTCTGAATTTTCTCTCAATATGTCTTAAAATTTATTTTGTAACATTTATTTCTAGCACTTGAAAATTTTGCTATATTAAGTGATATTCAATTCATTTAAAATGCATTTCTTGTTTGTTGCAACTCTTAAAATTAATTCTTATATACTGATGTGTTTATTCAGCAACCTAGTTAAACTAAAGAATTCTAATAATTTATGTGTCAATTTACTTGTATTTTCCATATAAACAATTTAGAAACATGACAATTTAAATTCTTCCTTCTTGGTTTTTGTTCATCCTGTTCTACATGAGTTTAGGAATTTTGCATCTATGTTCATAAATAAGATCAGCCTACAGCTTTCCAATCTTTAGAATGCTTTTTAGACATTTGGTTAGAAGTAATGCTGATCTTGTAAAGTAAGGTGGGATGTACTGCTTATTTGACTATTCTCTGGAACAAATTTTGTGTGAGACTGGTGTGTATAGCTCGGTACTAGTAAGATCACATGGGTCTGGACTTTTTTGTTTTGAACTTTTTTTTCAATTACAGGTTTCATTCTGTCAGTAACTAAAAACATCACCTTCTACCACTGCTGTGCCCACAGGATCTGGGGTGACCCACCCTCTTTCAGTCGGGGTGCTGGCTGTGTCGGTCTGCTTCTCTGCTTTTCCTGGACAGTTTTACCAGGTGTTTCATCCATTCTAGTAATCTTTTCAAAGAACCAGCTTTTGGCCTTGTGGACCTTTACTATATGTCTTCTATTTCATTACTTTTTGTTTTTAATTTTAACTTTTCCTTTACTTTCTTTGATAGACATTTAAGTAGCTGTTTTTAAATTTTAAGATTTCTGTTTCGATAACTGATTTTATGATGACTCTTTCAAACACACACAAATACAGTTTTGGTTTTAACTGTCAAGTTTAAACATCATTCAAATTTTCATTCATTTCAAAAGTACCAACAAATATGCAGTTTTGTACCAACAGGTTACACAAAAATATTTCTTAATTTTCAAATATACATAGATGTTCTAGTTTTTTCTTATTGATTTCTAATTACACTGTAGTCAGAGAATACACTTTATATAATTTTGGCCCCTGAAAATTTTATGAGAGTTGCTTTGTAGCCCAGCATCTACACACGTTTTTTAAATGTCACATTTTCCAAGAGCACACACTACGGACTCCACACTTTTGTGTTGTGGTCCACCAGGTCAAGTTTGATGATGCTGTCCCTCAAATCTTCTTTCTACACACCCCCACTGACTTTCTGTGTGCCTGTCCTACGTGTTAGGACAGAGGTGTATTAAAATCTCAAACTATGAGCCGTGGTTTCTTCTGTTTCTCACTGGAGATCCGTCGTGTTGTGCTTTACATACTTGGAACACGTGCTCTAGGTGAGTCGTCGTGCGGAAAGTGCTCTTCCACACGGGAACGGTGCAGACCGCTCGGGCTGCGCTCTGGCTACGAGAGGGCCTGCGAGCCACGCCAGCCCCGGGACAGCACCGCTCCCGGGGCCCAGGCCTGGCTCTCTCCCCACCACCTCCCACGGACAGGGCAGAGGGCAGAGGGCAGGGGGCGGATCTGAGACAGGGAGAATGTGAGGTGAGCAGGAGACATCTTGCTTGTCAGGAAGCAGGGAAGCGCGCAGACAAGGACACAGAAGCCAGCCTGAAGGGTCCACTGGCCAACGTGGGGCACTGTGAGCATTTAAAGAATAAAGCATGTAACTGATGGAAGACTAAAAAAAGCCATGAACCAAATGATAACTGAAAATAAAAGACAAAAAATGTGTATTTTCCATCAACAGAGGTGACTGCTAGACTGTATCTCTTCTCTAAAAAATTAGTGAACTAAATATAAAAATAAAGAATTTCATCTGGAATTTTAGGAATAATTATCCTCAGTTGATAAGGGAAAATCCTCTTATTTCAGAAGACCAGCTAATAAATAAAGGATAATCTCTCTTTTGCAACCAAATGTAACTGAGATAGGCAAGCCTCATCGACAGACCCTAAAAGCATCAGGTAACACCATCAGGCAAGAGGACATGCACAAAGCATAATATTCCCGGGGAGTTTGATTCCTATTTGAAAGAGGAAACAAAGCCACACACACTTACGAAGCGGAGATTTGGCCGTCACCACTCCGTGCTTTAAATGTACAGCGACTGTCAGTAGAGTTCCCAAAAGAAGGGACTGGCAAGAAGCACTCCCAGTGATGAGAAGCAAGGACCAACAGCCTCGGTCACTCTATCCAGCAAAGCTGCCATTTGGAAAGGAAGGGCAGGTAAAGTGCTTCCCAGACAAGATGAAGCTAAAGGAGTTCACCACCACCAGGTCATTACATAGACTGTCTAATACGACACGAAAATTCTCCTAGAGGATGTCACTATCTTTCATTTTAAGTGTATTCATTGTTCTTAGTGTGGCAGCAGGGCTCCCAGACGGCCGCCAATGACCCCCGCCTCCTAGTACTCACACCTTAGAGTTTCCTCTCACACTGAACAGGAGTGATCTGCGTAGCAAACAGGATACTGTGGAAGTACAGTGGGTGACTTCTGAGGCCGGACCGTAAAAGACTTTGTGGTTTGTGGCTTCTGTCTGTAACTCTTTATCACCCATTCTGGGGACGGCCTGCTGTCATTTCATGAGGACACTTAAGCAACACTAAGAAGAGGCCTGTGTGGCATCAGCATGACACACTGTGTTCACAGCCAGTGAGAAACTGAGGCCCCCGCCAACAGCCGCACACGTGAGCCATCTCAGAGGCTGGTCCTCCGGCTCCAGTCCAGCCCCCCGAGGCCAGCGGCGCAGATGTGACTGCGTCTCGGGGAGACCCCAAGCCACTCCCACCCAGCTACGTCAGTCCGGAATTCTCAAACCCCAGAAACCGAGAAAATAACTGTTCGCTGTCTTAAGCCACTAAGCTATAGGGTAATTTGCTATGCAGCAATAAATTTACACTTAGCTAATACAAAACAGCTCCATAAAATATTTTGGTTCAGGTTTCTTAGGTGCCTTTACCTGGGCTGACCTACTCACCATGTGCTGTAATGCATTCAAGAGCAGTTTTCTCCCAGATGGCTTGTCGAAATCAGCCACAATCCAGAGAGTAACTGAGGAAATCGCATTTTCATCTGAAAGTTTCAAAGAGTTTAATCAAACTAAAAGCAGAGGACATATCCAGTTCACAAAATATAAATAATATTAAAATTAATCTTTCTGAAAATAAGCAGACATTACTAATATACACACACAGTGACATACTAATAAGAACACTAGAAACGTGACTCCTGATATGAGCTCCACATCAACCCAGACACCAGGGGCAGAGGGTGGCCCCCAGGGGGCACGTCTGCGGGTGACCTCCGTGTGTAGAGGCAACGGCGCTATGCTCGTCACCGCTGCAGCCAGTGCTGGCAGGCAAAGCTGCCTTCTAGCCGCACTTGTGAAAAATTAAAAATTAAAAATTAAAAATTGACATTTATACCCTCATCTATCTAAAACCATATACAATAAAGCATATTTATTAGTGGCTACAAAGAATAGCAATATTGGCTTATGTTTCACTTAATTGAAAAGGTCTGTTCCTGACTGGGTCTCATTCGGTCATCTCGTGCTGCCCGCATCAGCACAGCCCTGTTTCCGAAGGAATGGAAAGCCACAGAAACAAACAGTTTTTAATTCTGACACCACAGTTGAATGCATTTATTTCTCCCAGCCTCAGCATATAACATCTGAAATAATGCTCGTCTGGTCATCGTTAAAGCCTCTAGGAAAATCACTGCTTTAGATCACAAGACCCACTTAAAGCAAGCACAGAAAATCTGCTCTACCAGGCAGCACAGTTTTTCCACAGAACAAGGGGAGGGGCCCTGACACCTTCTCCTGCCAGACCTCTCCCCATAACAGCCTGTAAACCCAGAAACACTTCAACAGTCCTAAGTGATTTCTCAGTTTCTTCTTTCTTTTCACATTTACATAAATGCAAATAAGAGAAACTTAGGACTTTGTCAGTTAATAAAGTCTTCCTTTAACCTGCAAGGGACTTACCCGAGGACATTATTACAGGCTAACTTATTCTGACACCCAGAAGTAACTTCTGAAACATAGCCCAGAACCTCATAAATGCTTATTGCATCTTTTATTCCCTATTTCTGTCTCCTCATCCCTTCCTTTTATATATTCGAGACATTGACCTACCAAAAAATGGACCTTTTATTTCACATTTTATTGTTTGTTGGATTGTGTGTAAAAAGACCATTTTCTGAACATAAAATCAAGGATCAGTTAGAAAGTGATGCTGGGGCCTTTCGCCTCACAGCCTCCTCCAGGCTGGCTGTGTGGCCTGTACGCACAACCCTCTCCGACGTGAAAGTCCACTCCCGCTGCACCGTGCCCCCCACCCGCAGCGTGCCCCCCACCCACAGCGCGCCCCCAGGGCTGGAAGGTCACGGGCAGCCTTCTCCTGTGGAGTGCCTCTTGTTTCCCCTTGCAGCAAAGCAGGTTAAACAAAACAAGGCAAAACCAAAAAACCAAACTCGAATTACCTTCATCTACCTGAATAAATCGCTGTACCCTGAAAGACTCTGGGCCCCACTGCAGACTTCCCAGTCTAGGCTGAATTCTTATTCCAGTCACGTTCCTATCCTGTCCCCCCCTTTGGTTTGCCCCCAACCCAAGCACAACATCCATCCACACGTTGTTCGGTGCGAGCTCAGGACTGCTCTGCTCAGACCTGGGCGTTACACTTTTATTCATGCATCGCAAGGTATCAGTTTACACAGTCTGGAAAGGGTTCTGTCACTTTCAGAAAAGGTGAAAATGGTATAGCTTGCTTTAAAATAAGGCAAAAAAACAAAAACAAACCTAAGATAAACCCTCTGCATTTAAAATTATTCAGGATAGAAGGCATCATCTTCCCAGCACAATCCTTATATCCTAACAAGTTACAAGCCCTTGTATTGAAAACCAGGTCTCTAGTCAAATTATCAACATATAAAAATACATTATGCAAACACCTTACTAAAATTACAAGTTTTTACTATTTTAGGAATAAATTCAGGAAAATAAAATATGCTTACTACCTTCTTGGGTTAAATAATACATGTTCTCGGCAATGACGGCACTCTTGTCTTGTGAATCCAAGAACGAGAAAGTGGAGAAATCTTCAACATCTGCAGTTACTGGAAATTTACATATTAAATGATAATGAATGAATAAAGAACTCATAATTCAATAAGTCTTTGTAGAAAAGTATATGGATTATTATTTTACCTGATGTAGATATTAAATTAAGGTGCTGCCATTCAGTGTACAAAATCAAATGATTTATACGGGGTACAACATTATTTTTATCCATAAGGAAATCAACTGCATTTGTTTGATCATTTAATGTGCCCTGAAATAACACAAATTACTATTTAGTTAACATAGACAATTTATATACATATGTTTTAAAATTATACAGAGATATTTTAAGACTACTTAATCTAAAATAAATCAATAAATAATTTTAGAATTCTCATAGTAAATTTTCATGTAAAACTTTGAATTTTCTTTCCAATTAAGCAATTTTAGGTGTAATTATGCACAAATAAAGCTGATTAATTATTACTTTAAAAATTCACTACTGAAAATGATTAGGATGTAAATTTTTACAAAATTAACTTTTGCTATTAAAAGTTCTCTTAATTTAAAAAGTCATTGATAAATATCATTCATCATATATTTTCTCATAAACGCTTACCTACCATAAAAACTTCCTTTTGTAAATACACGGTCATATCCATCATTTTCTGAAGGAGAGCGGACTCTAGCTCCTGAATATCCCACGCCTCATATTTGAAGGGTTCACCATTGTAAAGAGCTTGAGGCAAAGGACCCAGGCCAGTCGTCTTATAAAAGCTTGCTCCGGCCTATTCAGTTAAAAAAATGTCAGAGTTAAACAGAATGTGGTCCTCTGAGAAAGAACTACATAAGAAAGAGGAGGAACACTGGGACATTTTTATATGCCAGAGGAGAAAACGTTAATTTTGCTAATTTTATCCACCCTTCCCAAATGTCATTTAAGGGAAAGCAGAGCCAGAGTTGGGGACCTTTCTGCGTACGGCCAGATGACCTGAGTTTCTGGCTTTGCGAACTATCGGGTCAGGGTCGCAGCGACTCAGCTCTGGTGCTCCAGTGCACGAGTGGAGAAACAGAACGCGTGGACAGTGAACAAGGCCGTGTCCCCCCGAAACCGTGAAGACGGGCTGTGGGAGGGCGAGAGCCGGCCTACAGGCTGTAGCTTGCTGACCCTTGACATAAAGAGTGATGCATACTTTTTAAAAACTCTCATTCACCAGGATTGGAGATTTGTTTCTGCCTGTGCTCATTTGTTTAATAAGCATTTACTGAACTCGTGCCACCAGTATTAGGATAAACCACTTAGCAGTAAGGAGTAAAAAAACCATGTCCAGTAAAAAGAAGAAAAGAAAAATGAAGACATTGTGTGCATGTAGGGAAAACCCGCAGGACCCTACGACGAACCCCCTGGACGTGCCGACACTGAAGCCGGGCTGGTGCCCCCTCTGCGTCCACCCTGGGCACAGGGTCCCCGAGACGAAACCTCGCCGCGCTTCAACCCCACGGGCCGACACGGTCAGCACAGGAAGTGTCTGTGCCTGCCCCTCCATGACTCAGAATCACTAGAGTCCTTGCAGAAAAGTAGCTTTTCTCCTCAATGGTCCCCAGTGCCACAAACGACTTCACCAAAAGAGGTGCCTCTGTGTAACTTGGCCCTTAAAGAAAGCTCAGGCCAAGTTGCCTTTCAGGTTTGTTTTCTAATTGTACGAAAATATAGCAATGGGGCAAAATATCAATGGCACCTTCCTCATTTCAAAAGTAACCATTTGGAAAACTATTCTGATGTAACTCAAACCAAAACCCAGTAACGGCAGCCGCACTGGCTTTTCAGTCACACTGCGACCACTGCCCTTTGGGCTCCGGCTGTGTGGGCTGTGGGGGCTTCTCAAAGAGTCTCCTGTGGAAACATAAACACTGCATAAAACATGTGTCATTCACAGGCCTAAAAGTTCCCTTCTTTTTGGGGGACTAATATCCAAATCATGAGTTAATTAGATCAGGCTAATTCATAAGATTACAATAAAAGGGTCTTGGATCATATTTTTGAAAATTTGCATTCCAAATTACCTTTCTTTTATCATCGTATCTAGAATAAATTCCCAAAATATCCAAAATATTAGCATGAGGAAATTTATTTTGGAGAACACTCTTCACATTGTCCACAGTGAGTATATTTGGATTCTTTACTTTTTGGTACATCTGAAGAAATAAAGATTATAATTAATTTTGACCTTAACATTATTTTCTTTCCCTTAGCAAGCAGACAAATATTTATAAATTAGTATAGGAGATAAAAAACAAAAAGTCCTAAGCACAATACATACACCTCCATACAAATTAATCATTTTAAGTATACAATATATTGTCTAATAAAAATGGTTTTGTGAAATTCTACAGCTTTCAAAAATACCATAACAAATTTATGTTATACTCTAATTTAATCACTGCTTATTAATAAAATAATGGCCACCTTATTTAAAAAGATATGTATAAAGCATTTAAATGACTACTTCAGAAATACTTCGCTTTCATTTCTGCTTGCTCTTCAGTGAACACCTTGCCTACACTTACTCTGAACCTCCCTCCCCCCCCCCCCCCCAGCCTCGAACGTTCTGGACACGCTTGTGTAATGCAGCTGTCACTCCTTCATTATCACTCCTCTGTTTCAGGTGTCCCTCCATTACGGGTCCTCTGCGAGGACCCGGGCACTGTTCCGGGCACAGGGGAAAGCACAGCTTTGCATCGAGAGAGGAGGCAGACCCGAGCGAACATTAAGGCGTTCTGGGGAACACACAACACAACACACGGAGGATGCATGAGGACTGGAAAACTGTACTTGAAACCTGTATAATTTTATTAGCCTCTGTCACCTCAATAAAGTCAATGAAATTTTTTTTTTTTATAAAAAGACATTCTGGGGAAAGAAACTTCCAAGCAGGAGAAACAAGTACAAACACCATTAGGTAGCATTTTGATAGAATCAATTAAGAATATTCTTTTTAGTCCCAATTCCCTTAAATCAATATTGCCAGAGAAAATCCTCACACTGTGGCTGACAGAATCCCCACGTTAGTCCTCGTAATGAAAACTGGCATTCTTCTTTGTTTTCCTTTTATCGCTGTTAACTTTGTACCCTATCCCCTCAGGAAGCACAAGTCAGTAATCAGATCGCAATTCGGTTTTATGAGCTTCTCGATAGATGGGCGTTTTCTCCGTGTAGCAAAGCGGAACATATGATTCTAATAACTAAAAAATAGTGAAAAGCCCAGGCTTTACAGTAAAACAGTAGATTTCTGAATGAAGCAAAAATTATATATGGAAAACCTTTGAGATTAGTCATTATACTAATCAGTTATTTTAAAATATTAGATATTCGTGAGGTAGCCAGAATGTCTTGCATAAGCTACTTAGATACATAAAAACTCAATCTTCTTTTTTATTCTTAAATTTTAACAACTGCTAGGTAACTTGGTGAGCAAAAATGAATGCACAGAACATGAGGCGTAAAGAACAAAAGGGAGAGCCCCCACGAACAGGCCTCGGGACCCGGGGCACAGGGCCGGGGGCCCGGAACACCGCCAGCGCTGGCCCAGCACCCTTCCCTCCCGCTCCCCTCTCCCTCTGCTCCCTGATGCAGGCGTCATCGGGCGTGTGTCTGCCGTGCCCTCGCCTTTCAGGTACTCGAGTTTCACCCGAATGCACTCCCATGCACTATGACACCCAGCTTTGTTTGTTTTTGAGCTTTAAAGTTCATGGTACTACGTTAGCCCTCCGTGCCACTGTGCCGATCCAGACGTGCTGTTGCATATCATTTTCCATTTATGTGACCAGACCAAACTTGACCCATCTGTTTTACTACTGATGTGTGCCTGTGCGTGCATGCACACACACACCCCCCCACACACCCCTGCATGTTGTACTCTGGATTCTGCTAAGGATGGCCTCAGATGGCACAGGTACAAGAGTTTCTCTTGGGGGCGTGTATGTGTGTGTGTGTGTGTAAAGAGTATGCAAATTTAACTTCAGATTTTGAAGCACTACCAGGTGGTGTTCAGTGTGGGCGTGCCGATTCAAACTCCCCAGGCAGTGTAACAGGGTGAAGGGATTCCCACTGGTCTACATGCTCAACGTAAATGCCAACGATCCTAAGTACAGCCAAACTGTAGCGTATAAAACAATATTTCAGGGAAGTCTTCCTTTCCATTTTTCTTATTTCTGAAAAAATTATCTTGCTTACTTACCAGTAGTTATAGTAAATATTTACTTACCTCTTTAATTTTAATAAATTTTAAATTTATCATTGATGTATCTTCTTGTATTTTAAAAAAATCTATGTATTTTTTTCTGAGATTGTTTATAATTTTTGATTTGTAGGAAATCTTTATATAGTGAGATATAAATCTTTCATTGATTATACAAATAGTAAATACTTCTTTTGCTTGGGACTTATTTTCCCTTCTTTACGATATCTTTTTTTAAAAATTTTAATTGTTGTTCAAGTACAGTTTTCTTTTGTTTTCACTTGTATGTAGCTCAATTTACTAATATTTTCTTTCAGGCTCACAACTTCCTAAGTCTATCCAGGAAACCCTTCCTCCTTTTGGGTCCTAATTTCTTCTGAAAGTTTTAATGCTTTGTTTTCCACACCAGACCTTTGAGCTACCTGAAATGATGTCCAGGTAAGGTCTGAGCTCTCATGCCGTGCTGTGATGACCTGTTGTCCCACCCCCAGCCGCTGAAAGTCCATTCGGACTCACTGCAACCTCACGTCTGCATGTCGGTTCTGTAGCCCCACCCGTTCCCGACGTCGGTCTGTGAATCCTTCCCTTGACCCACACTCTTCACAGAACTATTCATCGATGTTGTCCGGAATGGCCAGTCATGCCACTTCATTCTTCCTCCAGGGTTCACAGCAATTACAGGTCTTCGCTCTTCCATATACATTCTATTTTTTTTAAGTTTTACCGAGGTATAACTGACATATTAAGTCACATTATATTTAATACAACACGATGATGTGATAAAATCCTGTGAAAGGGTTTTCCCAACATCAAGTTAATTAACACAGCCATCAGCTTACTCAGTTTGCTTTTTTGGTGGGCACACTCAGACTCCTCTCTCAGTAAAAGTCAACGAGACGACACAGCGTTGCCAGCTGGGGCCCACGCTGCCCGTCAGACCCCCGGAGGGCACGCCTCTCCACCCGAGAAGTCTGCGCCCTCTGCCAGCGCCGCATGTCCCTCGTCCTCGGGCAGCCACCTTCCTGCTCTGTTTGCAGGAGTTCGGCTTCTTTCGATTCCACATGTAAGTGATATCAAACAGTATTAATCTTTCTCTGCAATATATTTCACTCAGCATAATGTCCTCAAGTTCATCCATGTTGTTGCAAATGGCAGGATTTCCTTCTTAAAGGTTGACTAATATCCTGGTGTGTGTGTGTTCTATATCCGTTCATCTGTTGATGGCCACTAAGGTTATTTCCACGCCTCGGCTATTGTAAATAACGCTGCAGTGAACACGGGAGCACAGTAATCCCTTCGAGATGCTGCTCTCTCTCTCTTTGCACACACACCCAGAGGTGGCATGACTGGGTCATACTGTCATCCTATTTTAACTTGAGGAACCACCAGGCTATTTTCCACAGTGGCTCCAACAGTTTACACTCCAAAAATTTAGCGACCACCTACACATGGGTTTATTTCTGGGTTCTTGATTTCCGGTTCCAGTCATCTGTGTGTCTGTTTTTATGGCAGTGCCACACTGTTCTGATTACTATAATTTTGTAATATTGATTAAAATCAGGCAGTGCAATGCTTCCAACTTTGTTTTTCTTTCACAAGACTGCTTTGGCTGTTCACAGACTTTTGTGGTTCCGTATGAATCTTAGGTTTATCTATTTCTGTGAAAAATGCTACTGAAGTTTTAATAGAGATTGCATTAAATCCGTAGATTGCTTTGGGTAGTATGGACAGTTTAACAATCAACTCTCCAATCCATGAACAGGGAATACCTTTCCGACTTTCTTTCCCACCTTTCCAACTATTTGTCTCCAATTTCTTTCATCGATGCTTTATAATTTTCAGTAAAAAGATCTTTCACCTCCTGGGTTAAACTCATTCCTAACTTTTGTATTCTTTTTTGATGCTACTGTAAATGGGACTGTATACTTAATTTCTCTTTCCAGTGGTTGTTAGTGTATCGAAGTGCAGCTGATTTTTGCACCCTGATACTTGACTGAACTTGTTTATTAGTTCTAACAGACTGTTTGGGTTTTCCATATATGAGATCACGTCACGTGCAGACAGACAACTTTACTTCTTTCTTTCTGACACAGATGTCTTGTATTTATTGTTACTGCCAAGTTCTCTGGCTGGGTCTCCGAGCACTACGCTGAATCAGAGACGTGAGAGGGGGCCTCGTTGTCCTATTCCTGGTCTCAGAGGGAAGGCTTTCATCTTGTTACCACTGAGTATGACGTTAGCTGTGGGCGTGTCACACACGGCTTTCATTAAGTTGAGGTGCATCCCTTCCCTACCCAGTTTGTTGAGAGCTATCATAAAAAGATGCTGAATTTTGTCAACTCCTTTTTCTCCATCTACTGAAATGATTATGTGATTTTACCCTTCATTTTGCTAGTATGATTTATCACATTTATTGATTTGTATATGCTGAATCACCCTCGCATCCCAGAGATAAATCCTACTTGACCGTGGTGTATGGTCCTTTTAAAGGACTTTGAATTCAGTTCACTATTACTATGTTGAGAATTTTTCATCTGTGTTCATCAGGGATACTGGCCCGTAACTTTCCACCTTGCAGTGTCTTTCTGTGGTTTTGATAGCAGGGTAGTGCTGGCCTTGTAAAATGAGTTTGGAAGTGTCCCCTCTTATTTGTTGGAAAAGTCTGACATTTCGTACTAATTCTTATTTAAATGTTTGGTAGAATTCACCAGTGAAGCCATCGGGTCCTTATAACTTTTCTTAGTTGCAATTTTTGATTACCATTTTAATCTCTGTACTAGTAACTGGTCTTCAGATTTTCTATTTCTCCCTGATTCCATCTTGGTAGGTTATATGTTTCTCAGAATTTTCTTCTAGATTACTGAATATTTAGCTTGTGTATAACTTTGCATGTTTTCATATCCCTTCTTCTGATACGCTTGCTTACGTTTCATTCACGCGTACTTGCTGTAATTATCGATGCAGGGGGTGAGCATGTATCAGTTTGCTATTCGCTTCCTACGTGTCCCAGGTGCCTTTTGCTCACTGCTCTCCCTTTACTGCCTGCTCTCTTCTGTGCTCAACTGGTATTTCTTAGTGCGTCATTCAGTTCTTCTTTCGACTTTTCAACTACATTTTTAATGTATTTTCTTTGTGGTTACTCTAGGAATTGCAACATACATAGGAACTTATCACAATCTACTTTTATCAGTCCTAACTTAATATTGTAAATATACAGAATTACAGTTTCAAAACAGATGCATATCATCCTCTGCTCCTTTGTACGTATGTAGTATCATCACACGTGTTACCTCTGTCTACATTAGAATTCATGCTTTGTTCAATCTTCTGTGGCTCAAGGAGACGAGACGGATCCAGCCTCCGTGTGTGCCCCGGCGCCTGCATTTCATCAGCTCATCTCTCCCTGCGCGCCCAAGCTGCCACCTGGCGTCACTTCCTTTCGCCCTGACGGGTTTCCTTCAGCACGCCTCTGGAGCAGCGGGGAATTTTCTCAGTCTTGGTCCATAAGTATCTTTACTTCACCTTTTTGCGAGTATCATAGTCCTTGCCGAGTGCTTGAAAACAGACTAATTTCATACATATATTTCGTCCAGTGTTATAACTGCTTACTGTTGGCTGGCTAGTGCCTTGACAGTTTCTCCATCACGGCCAAGTCTTGGAGAAACTTTGTACGTTCTCAAATATACATTTTCATCAACTATTCATTAAGTATGTAACTTTTTTTAATCTTAAACTTGCAAGGTAGGGACAAAAAATTAAATTGTTTCTAAGTTTGCACAGCCACTGGAGAGCTGAGCTGTTAAGTCCTATTGTTTTATCACAAATACTGCACTTAGTCTACCAAACTTCTCGCAGTATTTCACTAATCTTCACATACTTTCATTATGATTTTGACCTCCTATTATATTTCCCCTCTCCTGATACTGTATTTTTCAAATTATTTAATTTAGATAAAATAATTTGCTCATTAAAAGTAATGAAACAGTATTAAAACTTTTATTAATTCATGCATCTTACTAAAAGTCCAGAATTCTGAATTAGTCAATCTAAAGGACACAGTGCACGCCCAGGGGAGTGAAAGTGCCCGCCGCCACACTTCGGGCCGCAGGGGGTTCTGACTGACGCCTTCTCTGAGCAGTCCCTCCTCGTTTATCCCCCGCCCCCCTACTCCCTCTGGCTGTTCGGCACAACGTACAGGCTGGAACATACTTAATGCTGAATTTTATGCTGCTTTCTCCTGAACCCAGTGGTTTCATGGGAAATTCGGTTTTCAAAGAGGTTACAGTATTGTGCTAACACCACAGTAGATGATCCAAAAGGCGAGTGATTTAAAAGTATGCCATCATGCAAATTAACATCCGATACAAAATGCCTACAGAACAGTGATTCAACAGAAATAATTAAGATAACTTAGGTAAAGGTAATTTTGAAAGGTCTTCAAGTTTCTTAGCTTTGAATAGCACATTGATCCTTTTATAATAATGTAGTTGGACTTTATTATAAATAAAAGATATGTCAATCTGACTAAGCCCCTTATAAACTCTTAAGATCAATCAGTAAAACGAACTGACTGGGGCACAATATTGACAAGTACTCCAGGGCGCTATACTGCAGGACAAATTATCTCCGGTCACCGCGGGGCAGGCAGTTTCAATGCCCCAGGATCGTGAGTTAATGAGGAAGTGAGTGGTTCTCCAGCGAGCTGCAGAAAAGGGTAGAAAATCGACGGTGCTTTGGTAATTTCCTCCTCGGTCTGCAGAGAAACCAATCCTGTGTACAATGGCTGACACACTCAAGACCAATGAACTTAAAGATGAATAACAGTTATTTTTTAAGCTATAACCTGACTTTCTTAATAATAATTTAAATACATTTATATTTTTTCATGATGGGCTGTAACAGTTTCAAAACCTCAACTAAGAAATAATCTTCCTGCCTCTTACTCTTCCTTCATCAGGTTCTGAACTAATTTCTGACCACCCCCCTCGCCCCCCACCGACTTTCTCAGTCAGACTCAGTTTCTGTCTTATGACCATTTCCACCCCAATTTACTGTCATAAAGTGATCTCCTTCTCCTTGGGCATTCTCCAGAAAGTATCTATACACTGTAACATTTAGAATATTCTACTTTGTCATTTATAGAATACTTTACTTTTTTCTATTCATGGTTTTACTCAAAATTTGTTCAAGAATTCTTCCCTGACTCATCATTTTCTCTGAACTTTTACATACAACTTCAATTCCTTTATTGGCGGGGTAAGCCTAAGTAAGTTCACGTATTTTTGTAGAGCCCCAGATGCCTAATTTTTAAGTTAGGGACAATATTATATGCACGTCAGTTGAGAGCTGCAAGAATCAAATCCATCATCTGCATTTAATCCCCACGATAGTTTTTATAAACTTTGAAAAATAATAACGGTAATGATAATTATAGTGATGCAAGAAACCCACTATGCATTCTGAATAAACTGCGCCCGGTGCATAAACTCACGCGTGCGACGGACACGAACGCCTGTGATGCGCCCTGCTCCTCCGCGATGCAGGTGAAAGCGCGCCAGAGAGCGACTCCGGCATCGCTCGTCCCATCGGCTTGATCAGCGGTATTAACAACGAACACGAAACCAATTCTGGAAGGAGAAGATCAGTAAGGAATGTCACAACTAGTCCTCAAACCACAAGAAACCACGATTTAAAAGCGTCGTTAGACTGTAACATCTCAATGGAGAGAATGTGTTAGTAAAGGGGGAATGGGAAATACCATTACTTAAAAAGGTTTGATTTGTAATTCCTATTCACCAAAATCTTCATATCTGATAGATTCCTGCAAGATGTCTACTCTCTGGTGGTAACATTATCAAATGACCGTGTTTTTCGGGAGGGAGGAGAGAAGGGTACTCTTCACACACCCACAGGGAAATGGATTCATCTTGAAGTGCTCAAAGTGATCAGATCACTCACTCTCGGGAAGATAAACAAGATTACTGAGCAGCCTCCATGGACCGAGTCTATAAGGTTACACGGTACTTCACAGCACACGGCTGTGCTGTGTGGGGCACCAGAGAGAAAGCACTGCTTTGCAGTCCACACTGGTACTCTGCAGCACACCACGGACATCGCTGAGTCGCCCCCAGTGGACAATGTGTTACAAACTGATGGTTACCGTACCTAAGGGGAATGCGATGGTAATATAAATTTTCGGCAAGTTTTATAAAATCCAAGGTATATTCTTGAGCAGGATCAATAAACAGAACCTAAAAAAAAAGTAGACAGTCTATAATCATTATTTTAGCACTTTAGAATTTTCATAAAATTCAAGTTTAGTCTAATTTCTACAGCTGAAAGTATAAAACTCAAGGTTTTTAAAAAGAAATTTCTAGCAATTCTAGGGAATTTTAACATGCATGTCGACACGGTGCCTCCGTCTGCTGGTTTTACTGGTCGACGGTAGGGAAGGATCTCTAGAGGCTACACATCCAATACAGTCACACACAGAACTTACTAACACATGACTCATTTTCCTTTTGAGGCACGCCATAAAATAATTATTTTTTACAAAAGTGAAATATCTTGCTCTAAATGTTCATTGGGTTTTCTGCCCTGGCTGGCGTAGCTCAGTGGATTGAGCACGGGCTGTGAACCAAAGTGTCGCAGGTTCGATTCCCAGTCAGGGTACATGCCTGGGTTGCAGGCCATGACCCCCAGCAACCGCACATTGATGTTTCTCTCTCTTTCTCCCTCCCTTCCCTCTCTAAAAAGAAATAAAATCTTAAAAAAAAATGTTCATTGGGTTTTCTAAGTTTTTTAACAGAGGAAATAGTAATACAATTTTGAACCCCCTCTAAAAGCATTAATATAACTGATCACTCTAGGTTGATGTAGGAAATAAAATATTCAACTTCTATACAAAAAAAAAAGCCCTAGGTGTTTCTCCATAACTTAAAGTTCTATAAGGTTGTTTATGTTGTAATAATGACTTTATATTCTAAGGTGATAAAATGGTATTCATGTGTTTTTCCATGAAATGCACGAAATCCTGATCGCACGGAGGGAAGGAAATGGAAGAGCGGCCCGTGGACTCCGCACTGGCGTCACGGAAGTGCAGGCAGGCCCCGGGACCAGAGGTGGGTCAGGGACCCCGCGGGCTCTGGACCCCGACTTTGAGCAGGTGCATCGGGCAAACACTCCTTCCCTCAGTCCTCAGATGCCTGTTTACCAGGAGCAGGGGAGTCTGAAAAGAATGCTGATACCTTTATTAAAAATGTATGCAAAGTGTCAAAACAGGAAACTCACCAAATTATGAAAATTACGCCTTATGGAAGGTATTTTTCCGGAGAACACTGGTTTCAGAAGTTCCTGGCAGCTTTCGGGCCAGGCGGCATAGAAACCATCATTTTCTAAGTCGTTGATCCACTAGAAAAGAATGCAGAAGTCTGTCACAGCCATACCAACACTCAAATCATCTGCAGAGGCAGACCTCACTCCGTCCAAGGACAAGTGCAAATACACACAGAATGCTCTACGTTAGACTGGTTAAATACAGGAAGTCAGCAGAACATGCTTCAGTTAAGGAACGCATCACAGGCAACGACTTTGTATTAACACGGCCCTTTACATGAAGCCTTCCCCCCAAATTGCTGGCTCCATTTTACTCATGTTTTTTATGTTAAAAAATAAAATTGTATTAAAATTACTCTCCACAAACCACTGAAGAGAGATACATACTTATCGGCAGTACAGGGGGCAACAAAGCCCTCCGTCATCCCTCTCAAAATTTAAAGGCTTGGACATAAGAAAATTAAATGCCTTTTAAAAGTTATAGAATATATACTTAACTAAAGTACACGGGAAAAAAGTAAGGCGACTCAAAATAAAGTGTAAGAGCTCTGGAAATGGGTCATGGTGACTGCCGTGCAGCACTGTGGATGTACCCAATGCCGCGGAGTTTCATCCTTAAAGTGAGTAAAAGTGCCTATCTTGTGTTTTTATCTTTTACTTCTGTCAACAATCACTCTGTGACACTCTGAGGCAGAAACTCCCTGGAGAAGACTGCCCCCTGCAGGTGTCCAAGGGCCCGAGACCGGGGGCCCCCAGCGGTGGCAGCATGGGGCACTGGGGCCCAGGGAAATGGGGCTCGGCAGGGGCCGGGCCGGGCCGCTCCGCCCCCTGTGGGGTGGCTGTGCTCCGCTGCCTGCCGGAGGGGCCAGCATGTTACCTTGCACGTGCGGCTCGGAAGTCTCTTTACTGACCGATTTCTTATGTCCGGAACAGCCTTGGAAAGTATGCCCCTCCTTTTCTCAGTGTGACCCACCCTCTCGGCATTTTCCTACAAAGCTTAAAGAGCACAAATGCTTAAAATAAAAGGCATAACGCAGTTAAGATTACTAACATGGACATTTCTTTTTCTGATAAAGTATTTTTAGAAAAGACTATTATCAAGCTTCAAGATACCCAAGTAAAAGCAGAATCCAGCCAATGAAAGCATATGGTCTAGCAGGGGTTTCCAAACTTTTGGCATCTCTGGGCCACACTGGAAGAAGAGTTGTCTTGGGCCACACGTTAAATACACCGTGACACGTAATCACAAAAAAAAATCACATACTGTTTTAAGTACGTTTACGATTTTGTGCTGGGCTGCATTCATAGGCATCCTGGGATGCATTCAGCCCGTGGGCCACAGGTTGGACAGCCCCGGAAGAACAGGAAAAACAGCCACAATAAACGTCACTGATAACAAGTCGCTTAGTGCTCTAGGAAACACGAATAGTGACTGGTTAATTACTCATGTGATTCCCCCCGAGTCCGAGGACCTCGAGGCTCATGGCGCCGCTGTCACTCCGCAGCCCTCCGACGGTGGGCTGCATCCGTCAGGGGAGGCAGTGCGGGCAGCACAGACACAACCGCAGTAACTGAGGTCCCGCAGAGCCAAACCCTCCCGTCTTTACACCAAATAGTCAGCAAGACATTCAAGGTTCTAGTTTTTCTCTGTAAACCTTTTTTCCTGATCATAAAGGTGTGGGCGAAGGTAGGTTTACAGTTTTAAGTACATAAAGCAAAGTTTATTTTCTGTATTACGTACCAATTATTGTATTATTTGTCTTATAACTGTAAACCTACTTCTGCCCACCCCTGTGTAATACATATGCACAGCTAAAAATGTGCCATTTACAGAGAATTATGAAAAAAATCCAAAACTGCCCATTAAATCACATCATCCATTAATAACATTTTGATGTATCTGTTTCTGATCTTGTGTCTGCCTTTTCACATGGTGACCTCACATGTCCGAATTTTTTATTTAACAGGAGGACACAATCACGGTCTCCGATTATTAAAACATATTTGTAAACATAATTTTAACATAATTTTAACCGTTAACGTACTTAAAACAATTTCATCATCTGAATGATAGTCGATCATGTGGATACATGATTTCCAACATCTCTGTTCGACACATGACTCGTTTCTACTTGCGGCAATGACCACCCCTCCGGGCAGGAGCTGTTCCCCATTCCCCACCATTTCCCACACGGCAGTGTCCGGAGCCAGGCATGTGGGCGCTGTGAGCCCCGCGGCCACGACGGCCGAGGGTGCGGCGTCCGTGAGCAGTCCTTCCGCGGGTCCTGTCCCCCTGCCCTCCTGGCTCCTGATGCAGGGCGCCATCTCTATTGTTACTAAGGTTATTTTATTACACAGTAGCTATTAAGGTATTATTAGGAATTTAAAATTTTATATTATAAATCATTTTGTCTTCCAAATGGTTTTTGGGGAAAAAAAAAAAAAGCTTTTATCTGCTTACTGTCACTTCAAACCCATTTTTATTAAAGTCTCATTAATTCTATTAGGCTTTCCTTGGGGAGTTTTAATTATGTAATCTTATGTTATGCAATATTTTTTCTAATTTCTAATAGTTATTTCTATAACATTAAATCATAATGGTGATTTGAACATTCTTATATTGATTGTAATTAGACTTATCCCAGAGTTTCATTAAAAACTTATGTTTTTATATTTGTTTGAGACAAATATTTATGTAGGCATTCGAAGAATATCAACATTTACATTTATTGAGTATCTACATTTATTGAGTCAGGGATCTATTGGTGAGAAAAAAAATAATAAAATTCCTACCTTCGAGAAGTTTATATAGTCTAGGAAAAACAGACATCAAAGATCCACAGAAGAAATGAAAAATTATAACTCTGCTAAGGATACAGATTGTAGTTCTATGGTATAATAAATACGTGTATATATACATATATACATATATGTGAGTCTGAGCGTGCGTGCGTGTGTGTGAAAGAGAGGAGAGAGAGATGATTCCGCAGGCCTGGGTTGCTCACACCTTGCATACGTCCAAGAAGGGCCTGTTTTTGTGACAGAGGTTCTCCAGGTTGGCTCCTGGGAACTGAGCTCTGGAATGTTCTGACTAGGAGTTTTCTGCCTGCTTGGGGCCTTGCTGCACGTTGCAGCAGGCTGTATGAAGTGCTCACACAAGCAATGAGATTTATGATCAACGCCTGCGTTTCCTGTGAGCGGCTGGAGTGTTAGGACTGAGACCAGTTGCATGGCCTGCACAACCCACTCCTTTCCCAAACCCTGGGCTCCAGGCTCGAGCAGACGTCCCCAGCAGGTAGCACTTTGCATGTACCGTCACACACTGAATTAAGAATGTCCTGTGCAAGTTCACTAGGAGCAGATTCCTGGAAGCTGGTACCCAGCTCCCTCGTGCCTTCTCTCCCTCTGCTGATACTACTTTGTACTCTTCTGCTCTAAAAAGTCACAACCATGAGTATAACGATTTCTAGGCTTTCTGAATCCTTTTAGCAAACCACCAGACTTGGTGGTGCTCTTGGGGACTCCCTGACACAACGTGTGTGTTAAAACGTCATCTGGGGTGGTTGTGGAAAGCTTCTCCCAGGAAGCACTGCTTGGAGACGGAGTCTGAAAAAGGAAGAGTTCACTGGACAGAGGGAGGGACATCTGCTTTCCAGGCACAGGATAAGGGACAGTGGTGGGAAGAACGGTTCATGGTCTAAGAAACGAAAGGAAGGAGCAAACCATTCACAGCCTCACAGGCCACACGCAGGCGTCTGAGCTTTAGCCAAGGGAGAAGGTGTGACCAGGTCTCCGACTCTTCCTCGGACTGTGTCCCACAGACCAGAGTCCAGGCGGGCGCTGCCATCGGGCCAGGCGAGATCTCCACTGTATTCCGGTGGCAATCCTACAGCCCTCTGACGCTAACTGCCCGGGGTTTTGTCATCGCTGCTGCTCCCGGGGTAGCTCCGTTGCTCTCGCTGGTGGTGTTTTTACCTTTACATCTGGGGGGGAGACTGGACTCTCGGGTGGGTGTCCTTGTGAGGAAACGCAGAGAACACTGGGAGGGTGAATGCAGGTGCAGGAGAGAGAGGGGCAACTATTTTCAGTATTTTCACTTTTTCTTCTGAGTTCTGCTACACGGCCTTTCACATTGCTTACGTTTATTGTAAAGCCTGACGATATTTGGTTTTATGTTAAGTCTTAAAGCCACTAAAGGTTTTGAAACAAGGAATTGCACAAATACTTACCATTATTGAAGAGTGCCGAATGTCCAACACATAGTTACTGTCCCGAACGCGTGAATTCAGCTTTAAAAACTTGCTCATGTCCTCTCTGCCGACCCCGAGTCTCCGAAGCCCGTGCATCCGCTTCCCTTCCAGCCTCAGCGTGTCCAACACACTTCACGTTCGAAGGGAAGAGACAAGTTTTATTTTGATTTGCCAACACTTAAAAACATCCTTTAAAGTTTGTAACTTTTTCAAAGCATCAGAAACAAGTTTCACTGGTATTTTTATTAATAGCAGGAAAACATATAACTATTAAACTCATTAACAAATTAGGCAAGGAGTTCTAGTTAGTTATCCAGGTTAAAGTTACACTGAGGGTTCTTTGTTTTTTTTGTTTAGTGATTAACAAAATCTCATCTAAAAGACAACGAGGAACACGGTATACTGACTGTATTCCTCACCAAAGAAGCAAGAATATGCTCACCCCTGAGCAAGCCAAAAATGAAGGGGAAAAAAAATAAGTCACTCTTTTGATAAATCTACTGCAAAAACAAGATAAACATGACCTAAACTGTAAAATTAGCACAGAGAAAACCCTGTTAAAGCATGAAAGTTCACATCTGTTTAGAATACATATTAATATTTGTAATTATATATACAATTTGTTAGCCCAAACATGATAGAAAGTATTTCTAATAAAAATAACATCAATAAATAACCCTATTGCCTTCCCCTTTCAGAAATGAATGGAATCAGAATAAAGCAATATATGGATTTTAGAATATAGTTTCCAGGGAGAGCTATAGAGATGCACATCTAAAAATTAGAGATTTCTTAACCCCTTAAAAGTCTAAATTTTCTCACTTATAAAATAAAAATTTTGGATTACAACTTTATGATGCTCATTGATCACTTTTTATGCAATTGAATTTAAATATTCTCCATGGCTTTGGAGCTACCATCTTGGTTATTTCGAAGCAGTTTCAAAGGGAAACACACCCCTCACAGAGAAACTAGACAGCTACAGGGCGCACTGGAAAACGCACGAGATCTCGAACGCTGCTGCCACTCGCTGTGCGTCCCTGTCTCTGCGCGAGGTCTCTCCAAGTCCTCGCTCCCCGTCTGGGCACAGAGAGCAGTCACAGTCACTTCGCAGGGTGCTCGTGCCAAAGTGAGTGACTGCTGGGCACACAGCTGCCCTCAGCCGGCATTAGTTTCTTCCTTGCTCTTCCTAAAGCAAGAATTTTGCAAACTGACTTAAAAAAAAAAAACCCAGAACAGTTCTTTAAATGTGCTAGGTTTATTTATCAATAAAATTCCTTCTATTTCTGGACTCCTAAATAATTCTCATGCTTCTCTTTCAAATATGCAGTTACTTTCTTTAGTTTGCTGGGAACGCTTCGCTGGCTTCCGCTGCCCTTGAGATACGCGGCCCAGACTCTAGCCTGGCTGACTCTGACCCTCGCCCACCCCGGTGGCCTCAGTTTCTGCCGCCTCCTCTTCACGCCCCAGCGTGGCCACACCCGATTCTCCTCTCTCCAGGGCGCCATGCGTGCCGCACCTCGGCTCTGCCACCTGCCCGACTCATCCTTCACCTCTTACCTTACCTGTCGCTTCCATGGAGAAATCCGAACTCCACTGTCCCCACGTCCCATGAGAACTAATAACGTATAAGCTCCCAGATCGCCGCAGGCTACCTTCTATAAAACTCTCACGCTGTAACTGTTTAACGTCAGTTACTCCACTAGCTGTCAATTTCACTTCCGCCAGACTTCCATCTTGTTCACCACTACTCCCCGAGTAGCAAGTGGTTTCTGCAGAAAAGTAGGCACTCCAAGACTTACTAAAGTAAATTTTAATGCTGAGTTGATTTTATAATACTGAATTTTAATGTCGCCTGCATTAAAAATACACATTTACCAGGAGGTCAAAAGAACTCTCTGGCAGACGACTTCCTTCAGATGCAGGCGGATGTTCGCAACAGGGGCTGTCAAGCCCCCTTTACTGCTGGTCCTTTCTCTGTGGTTGTCTGCGGCGACACGACTTGAGCACGGACAGGCTGGCTGTCAGAGCGGGTGCCACCACGCGGTACCAGCTTCCGTCGGCTCACTAACTGCTGAGGGGACCGCTCAAAGATAAAGATGTGCTCCTGGCTCTACAGCAGCCAGATGAGGCCCCGCTGGTGGGAATCCTCAGCTGACCTGGCCGAACCGCCCTCCTCCCTGTTCACTGCCCGGCCTCCTGCGGTCTCGGCCTCCCTGGGGGCTGGCGGGGAGCGGAGGGCGTGGGCACAGCCTTGACCGGACCAGTGCTGACCTGACCCATGAGGCTTCGGCTCCTTCCACTGTTTCCAGGAGCAGAGGAGGAGGGGCTGGGCCACGGGGTGCAGTACCAGCTCCCACAACCCAGAAACGAAACCAGAGGCAGGAGGCAGGAAAGACGTGCAAAGTACTCCGCCTCCCAACTTCGCTCATTGCCCCCACGTGGACACCTCTGTCCAGATCCAGGCAGAACTTCAGTGACACGACACTTTCTTCCCCTCCACGCTCCCGCATCATTTCCTTCCAGTCAGCAGGTTCTTCACATTTTACCTACATGTTCTGATCTTTGTCTGAGAACCTCTTTGATTGTTTGGTACTAAAAATGTCAGAAGTGTAACTACCCTCACACATCTTGTTTTCCTCTAAGGGAATTACAGCAGCTACGAGTGATCGCTTCGATGAGGAGCGAACATGAACCACGTTCCCCGCAGCACACTAAGTACCGGGTGGAGGAGCCATGGGGGTTGTATTTCTCAAACAACCTACAGCCTCTCTACATTACACGGCACCACGTCTCTGCTATGGAAATCTCCCCTTACATCAACACAGAAACTCCCCACAATCTGCCTGTCATTTCTCTGCTTTTCCAAACCCGTCCTCACTGTTCCTGAGCACAAATATAACTTCCGTCCCTCTGAAGTCCACAGGCCAGGGGCCAACAGCTGCCATTCCCCCAATCTGAGGTCCGAGGATCAACGAAATAGAGAGAGAAGCCCCATTCGAACTCCCTACCCTGCGTCTCAGTCTTCCCTGGGTTTTCCTACATATTTCCAAACTGGCACAAAAATACAACGAAAAATTTAACATCAATAAAATATATTTAACTGAATTCACAATGAATGTCTGAAATAGAGTACTATGTTACAAAATTCACTTTATCCTACAAATATCAATTTTTAAAGTACTTTTATGCTCGTCTTTAAAAATAAAATAAATTCAACTGATTTTTCTTTTCCCAGCCCGTGACTGATTTATGAACCAGTGGCGGGAATGAAAGACTAATTCTGCTCCAGAGCATTTTTGGAAAAATTTTTTACATATGGAAAAAGATAGCACCCTGAATTCTGTAATTCAAATTTCCTTTTGAACAGAGGCGAGTACTTTAAACTCTTCTGGTTAATTTCTTTCTTCTGAAGAACCCTCTCACATCCTTCCCGTCCCTCTCTGGGGGGCAGAGCGCCCTGGCTGCCGGGACACTTTCCCACCGAAGGATCTGCCTCCTCCTCTGTTCAGTGAAGGGCAGCTCCTGACAGCGGGCTCAGCACAGGTCTGAGGCTCCCAAACCTCAGCGTCCCCACCTGGAAAACGCCCCCGGGGTCTCTCCCAGTGCTGACGCTCTGAGACACCTACCAGAGCATTCTACAAACACGACAGAAACCTTTTATCCGATCAAAAATGTGTTTGCTTTTCCTTTCAAGTGGTTATTTGAATTCTGACAAATACTCAATTCAGGGCGCTATTTCCTTTCATACAGGCCACAGTTAGTGTGTATCAATAATGCAACACTTACCTAAAAGGATCATGGGCATCCACGTCCACACGAAGGCCATTGATGTACAGACAGGCGTCACCTGGGTGGATTTCAAATCTGTCGAGAAGATCCTTGAAATGGAGCAGAACAACAGTTGACCAAGTCACATAACCACAGCAACCTGTGTCAGGAGTCTGCAGCATTTCATAGAGTCAGATGGTCTACATTTCAGGCTTTGCCAGCCATGTCATCTCTGCTGCAACCACTCGACTCTGCCCTTGCAGCACGAGACAACCAGAAACATAAGCACACGGGCACAACGATATTCCAGTAAGACTCTTACCTGTAAACACCAGTGGTAGGCCAGATGTGACTTACAGGTGGGCAGCAGTGTGCCCACGCTGATCTAGTGATGGGCATCTGGGGACAGGTTAGAGACACAAATACCTACATATTTTGATTTTGCAATATGTGATATTAAAGTGTGTGTGGCCACACTCGCGCACTGAGAATTCGACAGCTGGCACACTGCTATTCTTCCATTCCGGGACTCAGACCTTTGGTAGATGTGTAACTATTTGGAGATCACTCTAAATTCATAAAGGTTCCCGTTAGAGCAGTGTTTTGATGTTCCCTGTCTTCTCACTCAGTAACTATTGCTCGAGCGCCGACTGTGTGCTGGAAACAACTGCAGGCACCGGGACAGCAAGTAACAGTAGGAAAGGCGCTGTCCTCCCCAGCACAGCATGGTCGTTAGGACCGTGACAAGGGAGTCAGTCTACTGTGAACCTTAGTCCTGCTACTTACCAGTGGTGAAGTCTGGGTAAATTCACTGAGCTTCTCCAAGTCTCAGTTTTCTCATCTGTACAACAGAGTACTGATATCTGTCTCATTGGTTTGTTATAAAGTTTAAATATATCACATACCTGTGTCTAGTCAGATTTATAGTACTCACAAATAAAGCCTTTCTTATTACTATTATCAGTGTAGGCAAATTAGCTTAGGAAAAAAAATTTTTAAACAATGCATTTTAAAGCGGTTGCATAAGTGACCTAACAGAGATCTGTATAAATTACGTATTCCAGAAAGGCAGATGAAGAAACCAACTTGAGGAAATTCAGAGAAAACCTGGCAGAGGTAAGTGTTTCTGTGTGTTTACCATTCACCATGACAGGTGAGGCACATACACGGGAGGAAAAGAGGAACTCAGTTTGTAACATGGCAGACAATATTTCCACTGGATTACACAGGACACTGGCAAGAGATGAAAGCCCAACACCCCCAGGTTCAAAGGTAAGACGTTGGTTTGCCTTCAGCTCCGTCTCAAGCTCTGCCAGCGCCTCCCTTGGTCCGGGGCACTCAGTCGTCAGCGGGAAGCCCCTCAGGCACACGGTGGCCCCTGAGGGGCTAACTCCCTCAGGGACTTGTAAGCCAAGCACAGCGCTTTGAACAAAGATGCTCGAAAGGGGTAATAAACTGAACTTAACCGCTGAAACACGGTCAGTCTATTGGAGACTGACACTGACCAGTTCTTCCTCCTTCCCCCAGAGAGGGGGCCTTAACCCCGGTAAATCACCCTGAGGGTAAGATTCAGGCTGCAGCCTTTCTCAAATCAAGGGTAAGAAGTCAGTCTGCAGGCCTGTGGTGAACCCGACATCCCGAAATCCTCCTTCTCAAAGGAAACACGCAAACTGCTACATTCCAGTATGAAGAATGTTCTCTACATGAATGCTTAGCTTTTAAAGGGAAAGGTTTCTCCTAAGGGCAGAGAAGTGGCAGAAGTACAAGTCCAAGGACGCGAACAATTCCAGGTCCCGAAAGCCTGGGTTCTCAAGGGCTAGTCTCCCAAGGCCAGGAAGAAACTTGGGCTCAGCCGGCAGGGGAGAGGGGGAGACACAGCCTGGTGCGCAGGCTCGGGACCGGCCCCCTGCCGGGGAGAGGTGACCCAGGGGACAAAGTGCCGGCAGAATCCGCGCAGGAGCCTGCCACTCTGGCCCTGGCTGGAAGGAACAGCTAGTCTTCCACAACAATCCGTCGCCTCTGCTTTACCTTCATAGGCACTGGGGGCTAGACTTCTCACTACTTTTATGGTCCAAAAAACACGCACAGACCTTTTATTTACTGTGGAATTAAGTTGGGAGTGATCTTAGCCTTTGAGCAGAAACAAATAGAAATCCCTACAGAGACATATGACTTCATTCAAAGAAAAAAAAAAAGAAAACAATGTATTGTGACATCCCTGTAACAACCAGTGGGACGGGGCCACTACCTGGAGCTGAATGTTTCCTCGGCTGACTGGCCGAGGTCAGAACAGTAACTGGGGTTTACAAACGGGTCTGGAGGTCCCTAAACTGAAACTAGATGCCTTCTGAATTTAAAATCTGAAGTCAAGTCAGATATAAATCTAAATATAGGGGAAATTTTTCTTCCAGGATGTGGACAAGATAGATTCTAAAGGAGCGTGTTACAGGGGAACTTTCAGAGAGGTTATTCTGATGAAGGGAATTTTTCTAGAACTGTGAAATTCTCATGTATTCTAAGTAATCAGTTGACATAATTAGGAAAGATGTGAACTTCTTTTTGGATCAGTCTAAACCTTTATTTAGCATTTACATTTAAGTATCTCACCTATTTCTTATGTAACTATGTAATTAAAACCATGTTTCACACACTGCTGAAGCAAAATTAAGAAGTTACCAGACTACTTGACCATATTCCCATTTTTTCCCTTCCCAACAAGAAAATGGCATGGAACATACTGTAACAGTAAACAGTAAGACACACCCACTGGTTTAAGAACACCAAAAGCAGCTTCTGGCTGATCTGAGCAAAATAAGAACTGTTCACTTCCAAGGGAAATCTGCTGTACTTTGGAGTTAAAGCTATTGTCTCCCGAGTAAACCAAACCCAAGTTCACTTGTCCAACTTCGGCATAGTCCGAGTTTCTGAATAACCTTTGCTGAGTCCCAGGTTGCAACTACATAAACCCCTGCGCAAAGGATCCTCATGCTCATTCCAGGGCCTTCTCCTGCCCGGACCCCCAGCCCCTCTCACGGCCCATAGAGGTGACTGCTCCACACATCCCCCCAGTTGTTTTGTTCATCCTCTGGTGTCCCTCTCTGCAGATACTGATACCTACACAAACGCATCTTGTGTTGCCTTTCACACTCTCTCTCTCTCTCACACACACACACACACACACACACACACACACACACACACACACAGATAAGCTTGCTAACAGAATTCACCACTGAACTTTGACTATTATAAATCTGGTGCCTCTGTATTACTTTTACTGTGAGTGAAGACAGATCATCTTTCTACATGTTCAAAGTCCATTATTATTTCTTTTTTGTGTGGTTACCTTTCATTTACATGCTTTGCATAAACTGTACTCCTGCTGTGTGTGAGATGTACTGGCGACACACCTGCGGGGTGTGCACGTGCCCACTGTGCACGTGCTCAGTGACACTGCAAGGGGCTTCCCAAGACTCTCTGACCTCCCGGTCACCGCCCTCTTTCCAGGGCGGGCACTCCAGTTCGTTCAGTTACTGCCCACACCCCCAGGCGGTAGGAGGTAACACGAACTTCTGGTCCAAACACACTTTCCCAAGATTAAGGACATGAAAGCCATCATCATCATCCTTATCTTTCATCAGCCTGCCCTGAAAGAGCAGGCCCAACGGGATGATGAAATAGAAATAGGGTTGTGACCATGTAGCTTACTGATTAAAGTCAAGATTTCCTCACCAGGGTAAACACCCATGATCATGATCGAAGGCGTTAGTGGGATGCGCGTGGTTGATACCATCTTCCTGCCTCCTCCTGCGTTGCATTCCTATCAGAAGCCTGGAGCTGTGGCGGCAATTTGGCAACCATCAAAGGAGAAAATCATGCCTGGGGACACCCATTTAGGACTTTTTACGTGAGAAAAACGAAGCACTTTTGGCGGCCCTGGGCATCTGGTATTGTATTACTTAAAACCAAACGAGTCCTGTGCCATAAAGCGAGGCCCTGTTCTAGCACCTCCCGAGTATTAACGCAGTTAGGGTCATTGGGGTCTTCAGGTCATGTAAGAAACCATTAGGCAGAATCTCACCCAACTCCCAGTCACTTCTGTCCTGCATGCTGTAGGATTCTAGTAATGTTCCGATGGTCTAAACCTGACTTGGTCCTCAAGTTGTTAAGCAAAACTAATCGTGAGAAACAGGAATTAATAATTCACAGCCTTCCTTCTTTGTCCTGTGAAGAAAGCCGTACCACACGAGCACAGGGCTTGGAGCCCGGGCTGAGCGAGGAGGTGAGAGAGACACAGGGCAGGAAAGCTTGGCTAGAATCGCACACTGGACGTAGACGGCACAACAATGGAAAAACTGGAACTGTTTTAATAGTCAAAAATACAAACACTTTCTTTTTTGTATGAAAACTGAAGACCCAAAGTCTGAAACAGTGATAGGAGTACAGTAAATTCTTTTAAGAAGGAATTCGAACAAACCTGTTGATTTTTCTGTATTTCCTTCTTCATATGTTGATTTACAGCAACTTTGGTCAGAGTCCTGGGAAAATAAATATTGGTGTAACTCGCTCCTCCTCTATGTTCAGGACTAATCTGTAGTTCAAGGTAACTGAATGGTTTGTGCGGGAAATTCACAACCCTGAAGGCTCCGTGACACAGCCCCACGGCCCAGGGAGAAGGGGCCCTGCGGCCCAGGGAGAAGGGGCGCCGAGGCCCAGGGAGAGGGGGTGCCCGGGCTGCCGCCTGACGAGGGCGCCGGGCTGAGGGGTGCAGGCAGGGACTGCCGGGAGCTCCTGGGCACTGGCCATGTGCACTGAGTACTGTCAAGCCCTGCTTACTCCTAGGCACGCACTTCTCAAAAAAACTTGATGAAAAATGCTATTTTGTGTTGTTTTTTCCCAGAGAAATTCTGCACAAAATCATCAATGCCATCACATGTGTCCATGCAAACAGGCAATTTTAACCTGGGATCTTCCTCAGAGAACATAAATTATAAGATACTGACAATCCTGACTTCACATATTCGATCTTGAAGAGTTTATAACTGCCTTATAATTTTTTAAAATTCAGTCTTATTTGACTTAACTCCTAAGAATACTTAGCTATATATCTGTCAACTTAATGCATAGAATAAAATGATATAAAAATTAAAATATTGTAAATGCAAAGTTGTGCTTTAAGTAAAACTCAGGTAGAAAGGTATATGTGGAAATGACCCACAGTGCCTTGGCTGATGTGGCTCAGTTGGTTAGAGCATTGTCCCATGGACTGAAAGGTCATGGGTTCGATTCCTGGTCAGGGCATACGTCTGGGTTGCAGGTTTGGCCCCCAATCAGGGTGTGTATGGAAGGCAACCGATTGATGTTTCTCTCTCATATCGATGTTTATCACCTCCTTCCTCCCTCCTTTCCTCAGGTGAGGATAGAAAAAAACAAAACACACACAGTTAAGGGCACATTATCTCCCAAAATTTGACAGAATTTCAGATAAATTAGATAATGCAAATTTTTCATTCATTTAGCAAATATTTCATTTAAACCAGCATTTACTGACTGTTCGCCAAGTGCTTCAAGGATACGCTCAGGCTCACAGTGTAGCCATGAAGCGGTGCTGGCACAGTCCGCCCAGTGCTCTCTGATGACCAGCCATGAAGGAAGCCTTCTGCACCTGAGCCCGTCAGCGGTGGGCTGACCCACCATCAAAGAGCCGATCAACTATCTTCTTAAAACCAAAATAGTTTTACTCATTTGTATTTGATCAAGTAATTTCAAAAGCTGCTGTAAAGAGCAACATAGCTGAATGTAGTATTTATTATTAACATGCACATTTCATGTTTCATAATGTACTGACGTCTCAAATTCTTGACTGTTTAAATTTTAAAGTCATATCAATATATTCATAATAAAGTGACAAATGTACTTTCAGGGTGCCATGAAAAGGTTTTCTGTATCTTGTGGCCAACTATGCACTATTTATCCATCTTACCAAGGTAAAAAGTATCCAGATAAAACCCAGTACATCGCACTGTGGATAAATGCACAAGACAGTGTCTGAGACAAGCAGAGGCCCACCAGCCCCACCCAGGGCCCAGGAAGAGAAGCCGTAAACAGGAGGGGGCTCGCCAACCCCTCTCAATGAGATGCTACCGCCGCCCTTGCCACTGGCTGCCTGCCTTCAATGGACGCCAGCTTATTTTATGTTTCACTGGTTGCCTATAATTTTACATTTTGTCATTCCTAATCGAAACACAAGTGCATCAGAGTCTTGTGATTCTGTCAACCCTTACAATACATTGTATGTATTGGGTACTTTCTCTCTCATATCAATGTTTTATCTATTGAACTGAGAGATGTATTACACGTAACATGAGTATTTCTGGAAGCAGTTCAATTAGATATTCTGTTGGCAAACAGTATTCCACGTGGCATCCCATACAATTAAGAAATTACTAATTATTGGGAATTTAAAAGGGAAAGAAGACTGGGCTATACCTTTGGTATAGATCTATTTAAAATAATGCTTTTCATCATTCTTTATGTTAAACAGAAAATAAATTACATTTTTAGTTATTGCTTAAAAAGGTTTTTCCTTGGATTATCACGTCTCCCTGTTTATATTTTAATGAATTATTTTTTCCTTTCCACTTGCCTCTAATTCAAGAGCTCTGTTCTGAAGCATGGATACATGTGCGCAGAGGCCAGTGTTCTGCTCCAGTGGAAAACCAACATGCACAATGAAGAAAGGCCCCATGTCGTAAGCACTGTGTGTACTGGAATTAACTGATATCGTTACGTTAAGTGAAATCACCTATTTCATAAAATGTATTTAATGGAAAGAATCCTGGCTATAATCAAACTAATAAACTTTATTATACCTGGCTTTTATGGGGAAGTTCTGGGAAATGTCTTTCATTAACTTTAAGGCATCATAAACTGGAGCAGCCATTATTTGAGAAGCTGCTTGAAAACTTAGATCTGGAAAGAAAAAAATATCATTAAAAAATCTAGCATAATGTCATACCTTTATAAACATTTTCATGTAATTTATTTAACCCTTCTGGCTATATAATCTTCCATAGACATGTTAATACACTCATATTAAGCATTTTTAAAAAATTTTAAATGGAAACATAGCACTTATTTCCAATTAAGATAAACTTTATACTTTCATCAATCAGTAATTATCATTTAATACGTAATACTTGTTTTCCCCAAATTACAGTATAACAACTTCAGAATGAGATACATGAAAAGAAATGCTAATGCAAAGCCATTTTTGTCTATATTTAGGCTAAATAAACAGGCAAGAAAAGGCTCTGACACAAAGAATAACCGAAGGAAGGAAAAAGAGTTTGAAGAGCCAATTCTGAAAAGAACGTTCAGGAGGACCTAATGTGTTTATCTCGGTAAATATGGAACATTCACTTTCCCTTTCAGTGTTGTTCTACTTTTATACTACAATAAAAACAAAACCCTAAACTTAGCATTATTTTACCTGCAACAACAGTTCTAGGGAAAGAAAAACGTGTGTGTGGCTTCCTGCAGTCCGTCTCCGTGTGCTAGAAGCAGAGCAGAGCCTTCACCTTCTCACCAAAAGAAAGTGTCTCATACACAAGTAGGAGCTCCACAAATACTGATGAGTGAGTGAATTAACAGTAGGATAACAAGTGAGACCCTTTATGTTACATTTCTGATCATTCTACTGCTACTAAAGGCATTTACAAACCCAGGAAGGAAGGGAGGGAGGGAGGGAGGGAGGGAGGCAGGCAGAGACAGGGGGAGGGGAACAGAACACTGCGGTGTTAAAGCAGACCGGATACTCACCCTGTAGCTCCCAGACTTTCAGAGGCGTCATTTCCTTGCTGCTCTCAATCAGGTACCTCTGGAATGCTGTCAGATTCGCTCTAAGATCTGAATACCTTTCTCTGTGTTGGAATATTGACTAATGTTAATTATCATCACCTACTACGAATCATATGAGCGGTGTGTTTTTGAAACAAACTCTTCTTAATTAGATACAAACTAATTGTTCGTCATTAACAGGATAAATCATGATGCCACTACAGATGCAGAACTTAAATAAGGAGAAAGATATAGGTCTACTTTTTTCAATAAATAAACCAAACCAAACCAAACCTGGAGGGATGTAGTCTCCCTCAATTGTTAACGTGGCAACATTATTATAAGGGTAGTAAGAGATCAAGGGTGAGGGCAGATTATTAGTTTTTATGCTGTGTAGTTTTTATTTTAACCTTTTATAAATTATAAGTATTGCTTTATAATTCAAAATAAATACTATTTTATAAGGAAAGACACTAATGCTTTCCATACAATCTCAGAGTCTACTCTATTTCTGAAAAGTTTCATGTTTGAAATGAATCAATAGCATAAGATAATTTTGCCTAACATTAAACATATCTAGGTATCCTGTAGAGAGTGCCAAATAATAATGTAGAATGACATTTTACTATATGTATAAAGTATAATCTTCTATCTCTCATGAAATCAAGACATAGTGCCATTTCAGATTTAAATAGAATTCTTAAAACGTTAGCTACCATTACAGGTTATAAAATATGTATTTTCAACAGTAAAGAGAAATGAAGATGATAAAAAGTGAAAAAATATATTTACCGAAATGCATGAATGTTACAGAGAACAATAAATAAATACACCATAGGCTCAGTATCTGCAATCCAATGATAACAGGGACCGCACTTCACGGAAGCAGTGAGGCTGACGGCGACAGAGCTCATGATGAAAACGCAACAAAACTTCAGGAAAGCTCACTACAAATTACATTAACCCGTCGTCTCTCAAAATTTTAAGTTATGGAATAATATTAAGTTTATGAGAGCTATTGTTTTCCATATTTAATCATAATCTTACATTTCAATGCTAAAATTATTTATGTAATTCAGGCAAAAATATATTATTCATAGGTGATAACTTAAAGCAATGGTTTTTTAAGGGGTCGGGGGGCTTGCCTAATGAGGAATGGTGTAAGAATTGACTGTGAGTATTTCCTCTTTTAAAAAAACTAATGTCAAGCCCTGGCTGGTGTAGCTCAGTGGATTGAGCACAGGCTGCAAACCAAAGCTTCGCAGGTTCGATTCCCAGTCAGGGCACATGCCTGGGTTGCAGGCCACAGCCCCCAGCAACCGCACATTGATGTTTCTCTCTCTCTTTCTCCCTCCCTTCCCTCTCTAAAAATAAATAAATAAAATCTTTAAAAATAATAATAATAATATAAAAAAAACAACTTTGGAAAAAACCCCCACAAAAACTAATATCCAAAGGCTTTTTGGAGGATGCACAATTTATTCCCATAAAGAGTTCTGTTTAAAAAACACCACTTGGCCAATACGGTTTAGAACTGTAACTCGGTCTTCTGCATAAACCACCAGAGTCTCCAAAAATGTTCCCTTGCTCTACACAGTTACCTACTCACCACACATACAGGAAGTATCCTTTATAAACACTTGCGATACTAAACAAGAACTAAAAATACTAGTGAAAAACAGTCCTTTTAATTAACTTTGGCCTTATAATGGCACCATGACTTTCCCTTCTTACAAATAAGAGAAAGCACACACAAAACTACAGCGATCCCCATGCACGAGTACTCAGAGACCACTCACCATCCTTCCCTCGTCTTCGGTTAGTGAGGCGGGAAAAAAGGGAGCACACCTTTAATTTCTCAGAGGTTAGTCACATGTGGGCATGAAACCAAGACCAGATGTTAAAGGTTTTAAATGCAAAAATCTGTGCCACAGACATTTAGGGAAACTATTTTCTCTTCTTTTGAGAAGTTTTTATATTTTCATGCTAAATATTAACCATGATTTTTGTAAAGTATTATATCTATAAAAGATTCCACAAAGTTTTGACTTAGTTTTTTTGTCAGAAATAACTTTGATCATTTTCAATTCCTATTTTCTCATCATACACAGCTGAGTTAGAGATTACCCTTCAATTTTGTGCTTTTTTTGCATTAACTGTGCATTTTTGTAATCCATAAAATTACATGTATATATTTAAAATATGCCAACACAGTATGTTCCTTTAAAAACAAACTTAACAGTATAATAATATAACTTTATTTCATTTCATATTTACTTTAGTTTCCCAAAGAGAAATCCTTGAACTTCGTTTGTTTCAATTTCATCTTCAACAGTAGCATTAGCCACAGCTATATTTTGGGGAAAAAAGAAAAAGAAAAAAAAATGTTCAGACTGGGAAAGGAATATGTGATCAAGTATTAGAAGAACCAAAAATGAATTAAATTCCATTTGTTTCACCTTGTCTTTCCTTCATGATCAGCTTAATGATATACGTATAAGCACATGCCTGCATTCCTGAGTGTGCACTCCTTTTAATTTTGATTTCTTTTATTTTCTATTGACTTTATTGGGGTGACATTGGTTCATACAATTAAAAAATTCAAGCGTACAACTGTAGCACACGTCATCTGTATACTGTGCTGTGTGCTCACCACCCAAAGTCGTCTCCTTCCAGCTGCATTTATTCCTCCTTCATCCTCTCCTCCCTCCCCTCCCCCTTCCCCTCTATTAATCACCACACAGTGTGTCTATGAGGTTTTTTAAAAAACTGAATTTACTGCGGTGACGCTGGTTCATAAAACCACACAGGTTTCAGGTGTACAACCCACCACCACCTCATCTGCACACGGCACTGAGCACTTACTGCCCCAAGCAAGTCTCTTTTCATCCCCATTTACCCTCCCTGCACACCCCCACTCCACCCTCCGCCCTTCCCCTCTGGCTGTCACCGCACTGTTGGCTGTGTCTGTGTGTTTGCTTAATCCTTTCACCCAGGCCCCCGACACCCCTCCCCCCGACAGCTGTCAGTCTGTTCGCTGTATCTATGAGTCTGTTCCTATTTTGTTTGTCGGTTTATTTTGCTCATTAGATTCCACATATAAGTGAGATCACATGGTATTTGTCTTTCCTGACTTGCTTATTTCACTTAGCATAATACATAATACTTTACAGGTCCTTCCATGCTGTTGCAAAGTTAAGATTTCCTTCATTTTTACAACTGAGTAGTGTTCCCTTGTGTAAACGTCCCGCAGCTTTTTCGTCCGCTCGTCTACTGATGGGCGCTCGGGCTGCCTCCACATCTCGGCCATTGTAAGTGACGCTGCAGTGAATGTGGGGGTGCTTATGTTCTTTCACATCACTGCTTTGGGGTTCTTCACATCTATTCCCAGAAGCAGAACTGCTGGGTCATAAGGCAGTTCCATTTTTAATTGCTTTTAAGCCTCACCTGAGGACATATTTTTAAAACTGATTTTAGAGAGGAAGGGGGAGAACCATCGATGTGAGAGAAACACTGGCTGGGTGACTTGCCACATGTGCCCCGACCAGGGATCGAACCTGCAACCTAGGTATGTTGACCCTGACTAGGAATCAAATTTGCAACCTTCTGGCGCACAGGATGACGCTCCCACCGAGGCACCCAGGGAGGGCCCACTTTTAACTTTTTGGGATAACTCCACACTGCTCTGCACAGGGGCTGCCCCAGTCTGCATTCCCACCCACAGTGCACGAGGGCTCCCCTTCCCCACGTCCTCACCAGCGCTTGTTGTTTGTTGACTTACTGATGCCGGCCACTCTGACGGGCGTGAGGTGATACCTCACTGTGGTTTTACTTGCATCTCCCTGATGAGTAGTGACACTGAGCATCCGTTCATATGTCTACTGACCCTCTGCATGTCCTCTTTTAAGAAGTATCTAGTCAAGTCCTTTGCCCATTTTTTATTTATTAAAAAAAGATTTTATTAATTTATTTAGAGAGAGGGGAATTGGGGGAGTGGGGAGGGGTGGGGAAAGAGAAACATCGATTGGTTGCTTCTCACAGGGACCAAACCCACAACCCAGGAATGTGCCCTGACTGGGAATCCAATCGGCGAACTGTTTGCAAGATGACACCCAACCCGCTGAGCCACACTGGTCAGGCCGCTTTGCCCATTTTTAATTGTGTTGTTTGCTTTTTTTGTGTGTTGAACTGTGTAAGTTCTTCATAAATTTTGGATATTAACTCCTTATCAGATATATCATTGACTAATATGTTCTCCCATTCAGTGGGTTATCTTTTCATTTTCTTGATTTCCTTTGCTGTGCAAAATTTTTTTAGTTTAATGTAGTCCCATTTGTTTCTTTTTCCTTTTCTTCCCCCTGCCTGAGGAGACCTATTAGAAAAAATACTGCTACAAGAAATAAGAGGTTTTACTATGTTTTCACCTGTAATTTTTATGGTTTTGAGTCTATAATCCATGTTGACTTTATTCCTGTGTATGGTGAAATATCATCTAGTTTCTTTTTTTCCATATATCTGTCCAATTTTCCCCAAACCAATGATTGAGTATGCTGTCTTTACCCCATTTTATGTTGTCTCCTTTGTCAAATATTAATAGGCCATAAAAGTGTGGGTTTATCTCTGGCCTCTGTGTTCTGTTCCACTGACCTATACGTCTGTTTTCATGCCAGTACCATGCTGTTGTGCTTTCTGTGACCTTACAGGATAGTCGGGTATCAGATATTGTGGTATCTCCAACTTTGTCCTTCTTTCTCAAGATCACTGTTTATTCCAGGTCTTTTCTGGTTCCATATAAATTCTTGGAATATTTGTTCTAATTCTGTGAAACATGCCATTGGTATCATGATAGAAATTGCACTGAGTCTACAGATTGTTTTGGGTAGTAAGGATTTTTCAATGATGTTACTTCTTCCTATCCATAGACATGCTTCCACTTATTTGTATCACCTTCAATTTCTTTCTTCAGTGTCTTATAATTTTCCAAGTACAGTGCTTTTATATTCTTGGTTAAATTTATTCCCAGATATTTTATTATTTCTGATGTAATTATAAATAGGATTGTTTTCTTAAGTTTCCCTTTCTGATAGTTCATTACTGATGTATGAAAATTCAACTGATTTCTGGATATTGATTTTGTATCCTGCTACTTTACTGAATTCATTTATCAGTTCTAGTAGTTTTTCTGGTGGAATCTTTAGGGTTCCCTATACATAGTACCATGTGAACTGCAAATAGTGATAACTTTATTTCTCCTTTTCCAATTTGGATGCCTGTTATTTCTTATTGTCTAATTGCCAGGATGAGGACTTGTGGTACTAGGTTGAATAAGAGCTGTGGAAGCAGACGTCCCTGTCTCGTTCCCCGTCTTAAGAGCAATGCTATTACTTTTGAACGTGATGTTGGCTGTGGGTGTGTCACGTACATCCTCTATTACGTTGAGGTACACTCCTTCCATTCCCACTTAGCTGAGAGTTTTTTTTAAATCATAAATGAGTGATAGATTTTTTCAAATCCGTTTTCTGCATTTACTCATGTAACTCAGTGATTTTTATCCTTTATCTTGTTTATGTGACGTATCATATTTATTTGTGGATTTTCTATCAACCCTGCTTCCCCAGAATAAATCCCACGTGATCATGGTATAGTCTTTTTGATGTACTGCTGTATCCGGTGAGCTAATGTATCTTACTGAGGGTTTTAGCATCTATGTCCACCGAGGCTATTGGCCCAAATTGTTTCTCTTTGTAATGTCTTTATTTGGTTTTGGAATTAGAATAATGGAGGGCTTGTAAAGTGAGCCTGAAAGTGTTACCTCCTCTTGAATTTTTTGAAATATTTTGAGGTGTTAGTTCTTTGAAAGTTTGGTAAAATTCATCTGTGAAGCCACCCAGTCCGGGACTTTTGTTTGTTGCAAGTTTTTTTGATCACTGCTTCAATTTTATTAGTAGTAATCGATCTATTCAGATTCTCTAATTCTTCCTAATTCAGTTCCTAGAAAATTGTTTCTAGAAATTTATCCATTTTGTCCAGATTGTCCAACTTGTTGGTATGTAGTTGGTTGTAATATTTCTGACAATCCTTTGTATTTCTTTGGTATCAGTTGTTACTTCTCCTCTTTCATTTCTGATTTTATTTATTTGGATCCTCTTTTTTTCTTGAGTCTGGTCAAAGGTTTGTCAATCTCGTCTATCTCTTCAAAGAAACAGCTCTTGGTCTGACTGGTATATTGTACTGATTTACTGGACCCTTTCATTCATTTCTACTCACATCCCTAGTTTTTGACTCAGTTTGGGTTTGTTTGTTTTTTTCTTTCCCCCAGTAGCTTTACGTGTAAAGCTAGACTGTTTATGTTTATTTGGGAATTCTCTTGTTGCCCGCGGCGGGCCTGCAGTGCTGCGGACTCCCTCTCAGGGCCGCGCTCCCCGTGTCCCACGGGTCCTGGGCTGCGGTGTCCGAGTTTTCATCTGTCTCCAGGCATCTTTGGATTTCTTCTTTAATCGCATCGTTAACCCATTCATTGTTTAGTAACATGCTATTCAGCCCCCGTGTATGTGTGTGTTCTCCAGTTTTTCCCCCTTTTGATTAATTTCTAGTTTCACACGATTATGGTCAGAGAAGATGCTTGAGATGATTTCAATCTTCTTAAATTTACTGAGACTTGTTTTGTGCCCTAACATGTGGTCTGTCCTAGAAAATACATAAAGTCTGAGTATCGTTTCTACTATACTTCTCCAGTACCTCTTCGGAATTTAAATCACAGCGATACGGTCTTGATCTGACCCACACTCAGCGGGAGCGGCCAGAGCTGAGTCTGTAATCAGGGCAGGGCCTTCAGGACCAGGTCCTGAGTGGGAGAGTGAAGGTGAAGCAGAAGCCACATCTGAGAGCATATGAATGAGTGAATTTAAAACTCTTAACAAAGAATCAGATATAAACAAATTTCTGAGAAACCAAGTAATAAAAGCTTTTCACAAGTTTATGAAACTTCTTTAGTTCTGGTCTCCAGGGTTCTTCATGTAGAGAATGCGTTTGGTACCCAGATGACAGGCAGATTGGTTTGGAGATCACAAAAGTAACCGATCTACTTCATCAAAATGAACAATTCACAGACCTCTCTCATCCCACTCCAAAAAAGAAAAAAAGAAACTCACCATCATCCTAACTCCATTATAAATAAATACTTCAGAGAAACCTTCCTAAGGCGGTGAGTTACCAAGGAAGTTCAGGCTTACTGAGATACTGGTCCCTGAGACCCCCCACCCCGAGGGGGGGTTGTGCTGGGCTCATCGGGCCAGCCCGAGCGCCAGGGCCAGACGCCTGGAGCCATAAACAGCTTCATCCATTGCCTCAGTGTAACTTATAGTATCATTTTTAAATATGCTGCTACAAAATGGTTGGTCAACCATTAGGTATATGCAACATAAGATGCTATTTCCAACTTTTAAATAAGTTTATGAGAGCACAATACAGCGGAACTTTGGTTCTCGAACTTTATTGTGGAAGGCTGTTCGAGAAGCGGTTTGTTCAGAAACCGAATCACACTCACACTCCTGCATTCTCTCCTTTGTCGCCCGAGAGACGTGTGACGGACCACACAGGTGGCAGCACGAGCAGGCTGTCAGGTCTGGAACCAAATTTCTGTTGGACAACCCGGACTTTGTCCCCTGAACAACTGGGTCGAGAACCCAATTGTTCCAGATGGGACACGTTTGAGACTGAGGTTGACTGCAATAGTAAATGTATTTCTTTCAGTTTACAATTAAATTCCAAAGTCAGGAAAAACATGTTTACCCCATCTGCAGACTCATATTAACACAGGTAGAATTTCAGGCGTGATATTTTTAAAGAAACAAATATATATAAGCCTCTAAATTTTCATTCTACTCAAACACGGAAAGAAAACTTACCTTTCACTGGGGTATCATCCAGTGTTTTGTATTCTGTACTCTTAATTGCCAGCTCCACACCGTAGCCAGATAAGTACATTTTCCGTGATGCTGGTTTCTGTTCAAACACATTGATTTTTTTTAAAAGAGAGAAAATATTTTCTCAAATATCTTCTTTGCAATTCACTGTAACTGTGTGTTAGGACATCAGGGTGAATCACTAGTAATGTAACTTTTACATCACTGACAGTTACCGGGGGGTACTTATACTCTCTCTAGGCAGTCCATCAAGGAACCAGAATTTGGCTGATGTCCACCTGCTCACTTCCTAAAAACCTCATCATGACTGTTTCAATTGCTCCTTTATATTGAAAACATCTAATCTTTTCCTGCCATACCCTGGTAACTTTCCCATCTCTCCCATGGGTTCATTAACACAGGACCCAATACAATGAAGTTTCAACAGAATTGTACGGCTTTTGGGGACCACACGCAACTTGCTAAGCCAGCGAAGGGCGCTCATTGGCTAGCTGTCTGGACGTAGGGCAACTGGAGCGTTGCCAAAAGCAAATACTGGAAAGTAGAGGCAAAGGAGACACCACCACCCAGTGCCTGACAAACCTGACTTCACTTTTTTCCATGTTTCTCAATGAGTGAAATATGTGAAATGCCACAGATCAGTGTCTGTGCTAAAACTGAACTGTCTGAAGTGTTTATGACCCAACTTTTGACCTCATTTCCCCCTTCTACAAAGAACAAATATAAAATGTACTTCTAGAGATAACCCTATCAAGGAAGAGAAGTCACCACATTTCTTCCAAAAGGTAAGCGATCTTACCTGTTGCAACAGCATGATGGACCCGGAGAGGATTAAGTGCTACGCTAGGTGAAAAGGCCAGCAAGCTGGGTGAATATGTCTGCGCTCCTTTCTAGCTTCCATACTGAAATTCCTACCAGGCGTGCTACAATCACCATAACTTGGCCTATTCTTTCACAGGTGAGGAAGTCAGTCTGACCTAGTGCTCAGCAAATTCCCTTGAAAATGCTGTGAGTCTTTGCTTCATTCAAGTTTGCACGGGTGAAATCTGTGACCCTGATCATGACAGAGGAAAAAGCAGAACTTGGAGGGAAGAAGACCCTTAAAAACATATTACTCTTTTTATTCTCTTCTTTCCTCCCTAAACTTTTTCCCCAGTCTTAAAAATAAATGTGTTACCAAAGTGACTATTCCTGGACTATTCTATTTCCAAATAAGATGATATAATAATTAGTTCTAGATATGCAGACAAGTATTTAACATTGCTGCCCACACTAAAATTTAATTTGCTAATTTTTCGGGCATATGCTATAATGAAAGATAGCATGAGAAAATGAGGTTTATGATGACAGTAAGCTGATGAAGTTGAAAATCATTTAAAGCCTTTTCAATTTCATACAGCTCAATTTAAAAATGCATTTTGACTATTCACACACAAGACAATCAGTTGGTGGCTAAGCAAATCAAAGCTCTAAGTCCACACATTTGTTACAGCTCATAAAAGAAATGCAATTTCACATAACCAATTTCCATGGTCAGTTCTGAAATATTATTAGCTCCTCAGTAATAAAGATAAATGTTTATTAAATTCATATTTACTTACTCCATTTGAAAACGTGTTACTGTAAAACTTGAATTGTAGTTTTCTTCTTTCCCCCCCAAAAAAGGCAGGTGTTCAAAGAGTAGCATAAATAAGTCTATTTTTATTAGACTTACATGCTGATTGGATTTACAATATAAATATTTTGAGTGTACACATGTAAGGCTATAATTTGATGTTACAAAGGGCCCAGAGAGTTGGCTGGTACGATTTCACTGCACTGTATTAAACAGTCGCATGGCCCAAAGAATGACCAGGGACTGGTTCTCAACAGATGGGTATACTCTCTGGGGCCATATTAAAATCACTTGGGGGCATGTTTTAAAAACATCTACACTTCAACCTCCAACTTCCATCCCTATTATGATATACTTGACATATAACACTGTATGAATAAGGTACACAACATAATCGTTTGGTATATATGTATATTATGAAAATAATCACAAAGTTAATGTCCATACCTCACGTAGCTTTTCTTCTTGTGATGAGAACTTATAAGATCTACTCTCTAGCAACCTTCCACTACATAATACAATGTGGTTAACCAGAGTCCCCTTGCTGTACATCACGTCCCCAGAACTTGCTTATCTTAGAACTGAAGTCTGCACCTGCGACCACCTTCACCCAGAACTGCTACCCCACTACCTTCACGCCATCAATATTTCATCCATTTCTTGCGTTGTTATTTTTTAGGTTCCACATATAAGTGAGGACAGGACTTGTCTTTCTCTGATTTATGTCACTGGCACGATGCCCTCGGGGTCCATTCAGGTTGCAAATGGCAAGATTTCATTCTCTTCCAAGGAAGAACTTCACACACACCCACACTAAATGTTGTTATCCATTCATCCATTGATAAACAAACAGGTTGTTCCCATATCTTGGCTATTTTAAGGAACACTGCGGTGAACTCAAGGGTGCAAACGTCTTTCCAGACAGTGACTTCACTTCCTTGTGAAATAAACGCACAAGCAGAACTGCTGGATCACATGACAGTTCTGTTTTTAATTTTTTTGGAGAACTGTCATACTGTTCCATACTGGCAACACCAATCTCCATTCCCAACAGGGCTCAAGGGTTCCCTTTTCTCCACATCTTCACCAACATTTATCTCTAGTTTTACTTTTCTGATAGCAGCCATTCTAACAGCTGTCTTATGGTGTCTCTCTGTGGTTTTGGTTTACATTTTCCCCGTGATTAGTGATGTTGAGCACCTTTTCACATACCTGTTGCCATCTGAATGTTTACTTTAGAAAAATGTCTATTCAGGTCCTTTGCCCATTTTCTAATTGGACTGGGGTTTTTGTGTGTTTTGTTATTGAGTTGTATGAGTTCTTTAGATATTTTGGGTATTAATCGCTTTCCAGAGATATGATTTGCAAATATCTTTTTCCATTCCAAAGGTTGCCTTTCCATTTTGTCGGTTTTCTTTGCTCGAAGAGGATCTTTAGTTTGATAGAGTCCCCTTGTTTATTTTTGCTTTTATTGCCTTTGCTTTTGGTGTCAAATCCAGAAAGTCATTGCTAATAGCAATGTCAGGAGCCTTCTCCCTATTTTTCTAAGGAGTCCTATGGGTTCAGATTTTAAGTCTTTAATTTATCTCAAGTTAATTTTTGTGACTGGTTTGTAAGACAGGGTCCAGTATCATTTTTGGCATGTGGCATTCCAGTTTTGCCCACACTGTTTATGGACGAGACTATTTCTTCACTGAGTGTTCCTGGCTCCTTTCTCAAATATTAGTTTATCATCTATGAATGGGTTATTTCTAAGCTCACTATTCTGTTCCACTGATCAATGTGTCCATTGTTATGCTGACACCATACTGTTTTGATTACTATAGCTTTATAATATAAAGTCAAAAAGTATCGTGTCTTCAGCTTTGTCCTTCTTTCTCATTGCTTTAGGATTAAAAGCTATTGCAATTAAAATGTTATATTTGAGAACAAATATATATTATTGAAACAGTCTAAAACCAAATATGCCTATATAGAAACTTGGCATCTGATGGCTTAGAATAAAGATTTAACTGTTCAATTGATTATGGGAGGACTTATCATTTTCATATGGAAAACCTAAAATTTTCTATCTCACAAGATACCATATTTTACTGTGTATAATGTGCACCCACATTTCAGTACTAATTCCAGTGTATAGTGTGTACCCTTATTTTTCCCTAAAACATGTGGGTAAAAAGTGTGCATTATACACAGAAAAATATGGTATTCAAATACACTGCTGATAGATCAAGGATCAAAACAAAGAACAGCATTTTAATTCTCTCAAAAAAAAAAATCTAAGAGAATGTCTTTCTGACAACATGAGGGTAAGCCATTAAAGAAAAGCTGGATAAACTTTACACCATCAAATTAGTATTTGTTCTGTAAATAACTTTTTAATATATATGTATATAAGATGACCAGAAATACACTAGAAGGTATTTGCAAAGTACAGAAGAAAAGGTGAGTATTCAGAATACATGTTTTAAAATCTGTAACTGAGAAATGAAAACCCACCCATCTGCCATCTTCCTGAGCATCTCCTCCATCTGCTGAGGTTTTGCTTCCTGGCAATTGTCCTCAGTTGGGCTCAAGTAAACTCACGAAAATTGTCTACAGGTTTTAATATTTCTTATGTTAACAGTTTTTTAAAAATCTTTAAATAACATTCCTGATGAAAATCACTATGTAAAATCTAACAAGAAAATTACCATAAAATGCATTTTTATACCCAAAATAACAAATAAAACAAACATGTACCTGAATATAATGACGAAGAACATACAGAATTTCCCCATTTTGAGCTTTTTCAGACAATACTGTGTGAAATTTACCAAATGACCTGGTTCCCATTTCTGCATACAGAATAACCACCGGTAAGTTCTCTTTGTCTGTAGGAAACTTATGATCCCTTTCAAAAAGATAAGGTCTAGGCCTAAAAGGAAAAACAAACAAACATAAAGACCACAAGCTTTTAAAATAACTGAAAGTAAACAGCATACAAGAAATATATCATGACACTTTAAAATTTATTACCATCCAAGAACTTACAGGAATATACATACACACACACTCTTCCACAGAAGATGAATTTAAATGTCCTGTGATGACTTAGTGCACCTAACTTCTAAATGACGGGGGAAAAAATCTGATTAACCTAAAATCAAATATTAGAAATACTTTATTTTTCAACAAGGTTCACTGTCTTTAAACACTAAACATAATGGAAACATATTTTTCAATGAAATAAAATTTATATTTTCTTCAATTATGATACAATTTTTTATTATTATAGCTCACATTTCCTGAAAATGAGTCCCAATTAAGTTAAAAAACAAAGGCATTCCTATATTATACAAAGATTGTCAGTACTTAATACACGGTGGGGCAAAAGCAGGTTTAAAATTGTGAGTACACAACCTTTTATTCTTGTATTGTTATTTATTACTGTATTATTTTGCATATGAACAATTGTAAACCTACTTTTGCCCCACACTGTATAAATAACAATTCATTAAATCCTCAAGTACGATTTAGAAACACAAAGAATTTCTATGGCCTGGATCTACCATCATAAACAGGCTTTGACATCTTATTTGTTAGGCACTGTGCTGGAGTCTTCACACAGAACAAGTCCTTTAGACAGCTGCTGTCATTCACTGATACTTCTAAGGTTTCTAAGTATCCGGGAGAAGTTCAAACAGGCTGCCAGAATTTCTACTCATGTCTGCGGAATTCCTAAGCCCCGCACCCTTTCACAATCTATACAGGCAGAAAGAACAACAAAAAAACAATGAATTTAATAACAAAGGTGTTAAGAAATAACCTTTTATTTAATGAATTCAGAACTCTACAATCTTTCAGTCATTCACCATCTTTAAAAGCCACAGCGAGTCAAGGTGGGAGGGAAAGAGGGCATGAGTAACAACGCTACAGTGCGCTAGTGAAAAGATTGTAGGTTTTCAAATCAAGCATAACTGGTTTCAAGTCCTAGCTTAATGACGTACTTAACTCTGTGACCTGGGGCACGTAGGAGATCTCCTCGCTTTTGGGCCCACTTCCTCACCGGTCCCAGAGGAGGAGTCTCAGCTCCCTCCTAGGAACATCCTATGGATTCACCAAAACGCCTGCACATCATCTGGCAGAGCATAAAGCACAGGCTTGGTGCTCAAGAAATAATCGTGTTTTCCTCTCACTCTTGCAAACTTCCACTTAATCTAAAGTATCAACCAAGAATACTGTCAAGGGAAAAAAGGAAGGAACTAAACATTGGGTGGCTACCAACCACTAATGATAAACGTAGGGGTATGTATCCATGTAGTTATGATTTGTATAAACTATTAAAAAGAAACAACACTCAAAATGAGTTGGCTTTTGCTGAGCCAAGACTTAATAACTACTCTAATGGCAGTTTCAGCCTAAGAGTGGAATTTTAAATCAATCGGTCCCAAATTTCCTGGTCCACACTAGCGGGATAATCTGCCCGATGAGACCCAGGCATTCCCGATGAGAAGGTAACCTTGCCGGAAATAACTGCCGTCCCAGCCTCTCTGCCTATGAAAACCCATGTTGTACAGCTCCTTGGAGCACCTTTCTGTTTACTGGAGAGGATGCTGCCAGATCCACGAATCACTGAATCAGCCAATCAGATCCTTGAACTGCTCTGTGACAACACTTTGCCTGTCTCCAGAGGACATGCAGGAGCTCGAGAGCACTGGGTGTTTCTGGGGAGAAGTCCCAGAAGCCTGCAGTGAAGAGAACTTTATGTTTGTTTCATGTACATGTTGCATGATTCTATTTGTTTAAATCCTCATCCAAGGATATGTTTTTATTGATTTTTAAAAGATTTTACTTTATTTTCAGAAAGAGGGGAAGGGAGGGAGAGAAACATCAACGTGTGAGGGAAACATCAGTTGGTTGCCTCTTGCACACCTCCAACCAGGGACCTGGCCGGCAATGCCAGCATGTGCCCTGACAGGGAATCGAACTGGCAACCCTTCAATGCATTGAGCCACACCAGCCAGGGTGTTTTTGTTGATTTTTAAGAAAGAGAGGAGAGGGGTGAGAGAGAGAAACATCAGTAGAAGTGAGAAACATCAATTGGTTGCCTCTCTAATACTTCTGGACCAGGAATTAAACCTGCAATGTAGGTTTGTGCCCTGACTGGGGACTGAACCCACAATCTTTCTGGTGTGTGGGATGATGCTCCATTCAACTGAGCCACCAGGCCAGAGCACATTATTCTAATTTTTATGTTTAAACAGTACATTGGGAATATATCCTTTCAATGTAAGTTAATGTAAGATGCATCTAAAAACTAAAGGAACAAATTCTGCACTAATAGATGAATATGATACTTTTAAAAAGGACTCATGGGGACAGACAGCAGTGTGGTGATTGCTGGGGGGAAGGGAGTATAAGGGAACTAAATGGTAATGGAAAAAATGCAATAAAGAAAAAATTACAAGCGGAAAAAATAGAAATTTTCATTTACTGAACTGGCTAAAATGATAAAGGGAAAGAATACAAATTAAAAGGTGGTAAAAATGTTGGAAATGAAGTGTAAAACATAACCACAGAGCACCAACATTTACACTCATTTATGTGTAAGGATATATAATTGAGTGAGAGAAGGTTCTAGGACTGTACTTCAAAGTACAATCTCATGTTGGTTAAAAAATATATATACTAAATTGTTAACAGAATTATAGGTCACTTTCCCTTTCTACTTTGCATTTTTCTCAAGTATTTGAATTATTGTATAATAACCACATGTAATTTGTTTCTTTAAAAATACAGCTTTCCATTTTGTGCAGAAAGTTTCCAGTCACACACAAAAAAAGGGTGTCCTGATTGGAAGCGGCATTTGGAGAGGGGTCCCTCACAGTCCATTACCAAATTTCCAATAATATTTTCAAAGGCACAGAAAAAAGACAAAAACTCTTCAAGGAAGCTGAAAACTAACAAACCTTATAGCACACGCTGCCAGCAAAAAACCTCCACTACTCTACAATCTATGTAGTTTAACTTAGAATCATAACTGACGGTCAGACTTATCACTAACACATAATACCTTACTACTTGAAACACAACGTATTAGCCAAAGAGAAAGGTAGAGGGATTGCTCATCTCTTCCCTACTCCCTGCTCCAGGGCTCAAAGATCCAGGGCATGAGTCCGCCCCCAAACCTGGCAGACTTACTAACGTGATTTACGCGTCGGGGTTGGGGGGGGGGAGGGAGGGGGAGTGACAGCCACCAGCTCCACCCTTGGTTCCAATGACTTTCTCCCCCTGCCTCCAACAAGGAGATCCAACTACTGCAAAGGGCCTCTTTCAGGAAATGGAACATTAAGAATACCACTTTGATGTCCTACATGTGTTATGATAAAAAAAAGGAAAACAAGCCAAGTGTTTAGGCCAACCAAAGGCAAAAGCAGCAAATATGAATACAAAAGGTAACAGATTAGAAAAACAGCAACAAAATAATAAATTCTATCAGCCATTTCTTTAAAAAACATAAAAATTTAACCTGTAAAAACTGGAAAAAAAAGAAAACTGAAAAAATTGTAGCAACGAGAAACCTATCTACAGAGAGGGAAAAATAAAATATTTATATTACTATAAATACATATGTAGAGTCATAAATATTTGTTCAAATAAGAAAAAACTACTACCACCAACCAAGACTGATAGTTTAGTATAAAACAAGGATTGTGTGTCTAAGGTTCACAGAAAAAAATCTAATGCTTAATATACATGGCTTCCGTCAGGCTGGGAATTGATTACATCCTAACTTGCAAGCTAACGAGTTTGCATTACTGTTTCATGGATGCTGGCAGGAGACTTCTGGTCAGAAACAAAGGGCTCCGCTAACACAGCACACAGCCGACGGGCACCAGCATGTCTGCACCAGTTCCCGTGGCCCTCCCCTCCCGTGGGGGTGAGAACAGGCCCACGAGAATGTGACACATGTGACTCCCCATACTTGTTTGTATGCAATACTTGGAAGTAAAAAAAAAACAAACGAAAAAAAACTATGTTGTTTTTAATTTTTTGTTCCCAAGGTACAGATTCCGTTTACAGCTAAAGATATACAGTCCAGATAAATCCACAGTTTTATATGGTTATTGTTTATATAAAGCATATCTCATATTTTATGGTATTTTGGTATAATTTATACTCTAAAATCCAAAACTAATCAAGACAAAATACTGAAGGTACTTACATATTTTAGAAAGGGACTTAGACTCCCAGCTCATACATTTAGTTTTTGAATATAGAGCATATACTTTAATATATGTCTTGGAATATTAAACTTCTGTATTATAAAAAACTGCTGTTATTTTGATCCACAACACTTCTTTTTTGCAAAGTAGTATTTTTTTCTGATTTGTATTTTATTTTTTTTAAATTACTTTATTGCTGATCTCCAAAATATATAAAGAACTCACACGACTCCACTCCGGGAACACGTGTTATTAACCACTTCTTTCACCCCGGGCTATCATTAATTTACCTTGACGCAGCCTTCTTCAGCAGCTTTTTGACCTCATTAGTTTTACAGGTGTGTTTCCTATGGATAACCACAAAGGCATCACACCCGTCTGGTGGTGGCTCATCAGCGGCAATCTAAGATTTCAAAGATTATATTTAGCTACAGTAGTTGATAATTACAATATGATTAAAAAATTCACACATTGCTTTGATTATGATAACTCGTCAACTACTATTAAGTTATTGCTGTAATTAAATATCGTTACGCAGGCAGAATAAAACATTTTAACAAAATCAAACTTCGTAGTAGAAATACGTGCTTCGAAGTTGTTGAAAAGTTTCATCAAGTTAAAGTTGTCATTCTAGGAAATTTTACTGGCGATTTGTTCTCATAATGTCCTCATCCCAAATAACTGTAAAATTACATAACATCAATTATATTATAATAACTGACACCAATGATAATATACAAGGATGAGCAGTGGACGCAGACACCGTGAGCCTGCAGAGCCTTCTGAACAGAAGACACTCATTGACTGAGGACAGGTTCATGTGCAAGGCCAGCACGCTTCTCTGCCACACACAGCTTGGGAATTTTACCTACCTGCTGAAACATCCGAATAGTTGGTGAGTACGCTCTTATAGAGAGAGCAAACTTTAAGAGATTGATATGTAAATTGTCTAAGAACTGTCCAGCTTTCTTCAGGATTAAGTTGTAATAAGAATAATCTGACTCTATGAAAAACAGTTCAAAAGAAAAGAACGTTAGTGTTTTGCATTCAACACATTAGCACACTCTCGAACAGTAATGCTAACTTAGTATCATATATTCGTATCTTAAGCCTGGTTTTGGGTGGTGTCAGAGAGAAATGGAAACCAAGATTTCTGTCCACTTCGTACAGATCCTCCAGTGAAGCCCAAGGACACAACGGAAGTCCAGGGGAACACAACCCTGCCACTCGAATCTGTTTGGGAGCAGCTCACACATCGGCCCCACGCACTCCGAGGCCGTGGGGTTACGACACAAGGACGAGACACAGGCCCTGCTTTCCATGTAAGAGATTAAGAGTAGCACAAAAAAACTTAGTATGACTGTTAATGAATTTTAAATTACATGTATAAACACATTCTACTGGTATTTAGCACACATAGCCGTGAGTAACTGGAGTGTCCAGACCACTTTAGGAGACAGACTTTGAACCAGTCCTTAAGGAATAAGAGAAACGTCTCCTTGTCTGGGACAGACTAGCCTGAAATGCAGATTCCCTCTAAGCCCGCGCCAAAGATCACGGAGACACAAAGCGTGAGCCCTACAACTTCAATCACAACTCTCGGAGACCCCTGGGGGACAGAGACACCCGAATGCGAGAGGACAGGAGAGAAAGGCAGCCTGGACTTGAAGAGGGTCTGGTGGCACACTGGGACAAGGGGGGAGAAAACTGCTTTTGCCCTTTTCCCTGCACGGTCCTGGGTGTAATCACTGCCTGCACTGTCACCAGCGTCGGACACCGCAGTACCACTCGACTGCCAGCAAGGGGCGCTAAGGCTCAGAAGAGCGCTCTAGAGCCTGGACAGTCCCTAAGAGCTGGACAGTCTGAAAGAACAAGAAAAAAAACACTAGAAAACATAGGCTAAAGTAGAATTAACAGAAGTGTAAAAGGTATCACAGAAAACAGAGTAAGAGAAACAGAATAAGCAGGTGACATGGGAAGATAAACAGAAATTTTTAAAAAAGGAGAAAATGAAAAAAAATTAAGAGTAAATGACAGATATAGCACTCAGGCAAAGGATATCTAAATACGTATAATTGTAACCCTAAAGCAGAAAATCAAGGGACTAAGTCCTAATGAATAAAACAAAAAACAAGAAAACTATAATCCAAGAAAACTCTGCAGAATTAAAAGTAGTGAATATAAGAATAAAAACTCAATAATCAGCACTGCAACATTTTTTGGTAAAACTCAAGACTCTAAAGTTAAAAATAGAAGTATAAAATTCACACAAATACTTATGTATGTGAAGAACTCCAGGCCGTTATTCCCAAGAGATATTTATGAGGCACCAACTAGAGAGCAGCCTGTACTTGACCAAGAAGTACCTGGAGACATGACAGCAGAAAGCCTGATGGTGGGCTCTGAACACACTTACCTGCAGAGACAAGCCCGATGAAGGAGTTACGCCCTCCGGAAGCCTACGTAAGTGCGGTGTGCTCTGGCAGTGCAGAACGACACACCGCCCACCAACAGTGCGGCAAAGGGAAAACTAAGTGGGGAGTAAAGCAAGCTCAGTGATTCCTCATACATATTGGCTGGGAGCAAAAGGATATCACTGGAGCCAGCACATCAAGTAGTAGAAACTCATGTCTACTGAAGAATACAAAGACGAAGACAGAGATTCTTTGTGAACAAGATCAGATGGTGGCGATGGGTTCACTCGCCGTGTCGTTACCGCCCGTGCAGAAACAACAGACACCCTCCAGAGGAGGCAGCGGCTAGCAACTCCAGGGCTTCACACACCACTCCTCCGGCATGACACGCAGGAGGGTAGGGGGTGCAGGTCTGGGTAACTCCTATTCGGCAAACCTCAGCTTAAATGTCACTTGTTTTGGACAGGGTTTTCCCCGACTTCCCAGGTCTAGACCCTGTAATATGCTCTGAAAGGACTCTACACCATCTCTGGTTCGCTTTCCAGAAGTGTAACTGAAAATTAATTGTATAGTTATTTGCTTAATGATGTCCTTCCCGTGAAGCTATAATCTATGAAAACAGAAATCTTTTCTAGACTTTCGACTGTAACTTTTTATTCCTGGCATACAAAATAAGCATTCAATACATTTCTAGAATTAATATTCAAGAACTGAACAGGTCTCCTCATTCCGGGCAATAATACTTTGCTAATCCAGTAATTTTTTTTACAAGCAAAACTCACTCCTATGTGGACTCTAATGAACAAAATAAATAAAACGGAAGGAGACTCAGACAGAGGACAGACGGACAGCTGTCAGAGGGCAGGGGTGGGGGAGGGGAGGAAGAGGAGAATGAAGTGGGGATCAATGGTGCTAGAAATGGAAAGTACATAACACAAAATACAGATGATGTATTACAGAATTATACACCTGAAACCTATATAACTTTTTTAACCAATGTCATCCCAATAAAGTCAATAAAAAAAGAAAAACTGCATTTAGAAGGTGACAGAGGTAGGAGAAGTGAGCCACAGAAGAAATGCCCGGGAAAGAAGTTGCAGCAGGAAGAAGGGCCCTCAGAGCCTGGAGAGAGAGAGAGGTGAGCAGGACACGCCTGGGGAGAGGGGGCGGGGGAGGCGTGGGGGTGCCCCACAGAGAGAGAACCCAGTGACGTTACAGAGTCATCACAGGGGAACAGGTATGCTCCTTCACTCCTGCCTTTGTAAACAAGTCATAAATGATTCCTCTGGCACTTACGGTGCACGTCCACCCAGAAATGAAAATAAATAATGGGCGTTTAGACTCACCTTCAACAGTAAAAGCAACACAAAATAAACCAGAGAAGAGATTATATGTTAACAATTGATCCTGCAATAACTATGTATGGTGCCAGGTGGGTACTGAAAATATCAGGGGACACTTTATAAAGTGCATGACTGTCTGACCACTGTGCTGTACACTCGAATACAAAGCACTGAATATAAACTGTAATTAAGGAATAGCATAACTGAAATAAGACTACATCAGTCAACAGGGGGTCGGTCACTAATGAAAACAGAGGAGAATCCACAAGAAGAAATGTGAGTGGTGCCTGACAGACATCACATTTGGTCAAGGTCACTGTTAAGGGGGCCTCGGACACAGGGACAGATGTAGGATTCGGAGAGAAAGGAAACGTCTGTAATTTAGGCTTCACCTGCAAGTTCATCTCAATTACGAGATGGATGCATCGGACTTTTTCAGAGGATGTTTTAAAATAACTAAATCCATGCTCACCAGCTACCCTGTTGATAATGATGCTGCCCTTTCAATACTCTTCCTTTATCTGCAACTTCACCTTTTACTTGAGTTTTGCCAACTGGCAACATACACACATCACTCTCATCTTAAAAAATAAAAATAAAAAGGCAGCAGCTGCCTCCACAGTCAGCTACTGATTCATCTGACTTCACAGTCAATCTTGAAAGACTTAATGTTTATTCCTACATTCTCAACCTCTACTCACACCTCAACCTACTGCAGCTTTGACTGCTATCCCAGGGAAATGGCTCTGTCGATGTCACTGATAATTTCTCTGTTGCTAAAAGCTTCATATTTGTATTACTTGTTCTGCCTGCAGGATTGGATAACATCTATCATTTACCACTTAAGAGTCTTCTGGCTTTCAGGACATCGCACCTGTGAGGTTTTCACCTGCCTCCACGGGTACTCTTTAGAATATTGACTCTTCTTCCGCTGGTTATCCCTTCAGCACTGGTGTTTTTCAGGGTTCTGCCCTGGGGACCCACAGTTTTCTCACGCTATACCTTCTCCCTAGAACTTTCAACTACCCTCATAACTCCCAAATCCCACTCTTTAGCCTACGCCTGTTTTAGCTGTGCAGCCTAAGTCCCCCACTCATACATCAGCTTACTGGATAGTTTCCCTTGGATATTCCACAAGCATTTCAAACATGATACATCCAAACTGCAATCATCTTCCTACTCCAAACCTGGTTCTCAGTTACAAGTAACTGAGTTAAGAATACCACAACATTTTCTGAAAATCTTTTCCATAAATAGAAAAGCAACTTTAGTGTAAGAAACCATTAAAATCTTCAAGGACTTTGACAATGGGATTCTTATATGCTGAACACTGGAAGAAGTAAAAATAAAGAGGGACTTCAGAGTTAGGTAAGCCTTCATTGACATTTCCCACTCACCACACGCAACTACACAGGTGAGGTCAACCATGCCTCTTGAATCTTGAGGCATAAACAAATACAAAACTCGGTGGCAGAGCTACATAAAATGTTCAAAAAACCAGGCAATTCAATGACTGAAAGATTTTAATTTGCTGGCACATAATGTAGTGTTCTCACTAAATGACATGAAACTAGCACCTAAACTCAAAGCGTTAAAATGTTCAACTTTTACAACTTCTTTAAGTTATATCACCAGAATTATTCTTAAGAATATTTAGAGGGTTTCATGAACATTCAACAACCTAGAAATTTACAAGTAACCAAGAATTTAAAATGTTTCTCCAGGAAAACAAATTCTGTAGAATCTAATCATTGTCAACATATTTAATTCCCGATATTACCATTCTTTCCCGCACCTGACAAGGTCAGCAATAACGTGGCACGTGCCCTGGCCTCTCAGCATCGTAAACGAGCTCAGCAGAATTGGGTGGCCAACGTCAGCAATTCCTGTTTCACACGACCTGCGTAGGGCTCAGCCCCGACACACCCCTCCCACAGTGTGAGCGGGAAGGAGAACTTGGGTGTTCATTCCCGAGCTGATGATATTCCAACGTTTTAATGATCTGCCACCAGGTTGCCCAGGTGCATCGTTTCGTTTAGGGATAAAAACACGCTAATATATCACAGCAACTTGAAATGACAGTTCAACATTTACAAGAGTAATTTTCACGGTTGTTTAATGAGAAAATGGCCCTCAAAAAGGCATAAAGCATATAGAGAGAACAACGGATTTGGGACAGATATACTGAGGATTTTAGGTGAGGGCCAGGAAAGGAGGTGTTGGATTTCTCCCTGTCCTGAAAACCTGACCTGTTTTTAACCTCGGTTAGCAAAACTAAAATCACCAGGACAAACACAAAGCCAACAATCTCCCGACGATCTGAAAACAGACTTGGAGCGGTCGGTGCCAGTTCCTCTGTGCGTTCCACCGCTGCTCCTTCTCCTCCCCTCCTCCCCGCTGCACCGCCTGGCGCAGCCCTGCCACCCACGCGCACCCCCTGCATTCGCCGTGGCAGAGGCTGTCCCGTGTCTCTGACCCGCCGGCTGGGCACCTTCCATTACGTGCTGCCACGTACCCCTGTTAGAGCCCCATCACCCAACAGCACACTCCGCCGCCCTGCTGTCTCCTGCGCTGGGACACTATGGAGGTCCCGATGACACGCCGCATGTTTATTCATCCTTTTATTCCCAGTATCTAGGGCAGTGCGTAGCTTCTCTTACAACTCAAATGATTATTAAACAATGAAGTAAATTTTTTTTTGAAAAAGCAAATTACTTGCTTTTGGAAATGTTTTAGTTTAAAATACCATTAAAGGCGTGACTGTTTTTCGAAAACCCACCTCGTGAAATCAGGAAACTGTTGGACTTCACCACCACGGCAGCCAGACAAGCCTCGAGTAAACGGACACTCAACATTCAAAACCGCTGTTTATCTCCGGTTTACTCGGGAACAAAGTCATAAACTAATTACCGTAGTAAGACACTTTCTCTACGTCTAACAGGCTAAAAAATATTCCCTGTTGAGGGATTCCATGTTAATATCATTCATTCTATTTTTTTGTAGGGGCAGGAAAATAACCATTCTTTATAACAGTAAGTAACCTTTAGCCTCTGCTGCTAAAACCTAAATTCAGTTCCTTAAATCTACTGACCATCCCTAAGAAACACGTCAACACTTGTTCATTCTACAGATACATGTATGTGTGTATGTAGATATGTACTTTCATATTCATGTAGAAAGTAGGAATGACTAGCTCCATTTTCTAGTGAAATGAAAGTACATAGTTCCCTGATAATTTTTAAAAAATATGTATTTATTGGTTTTTAGAGAGGGAGGAAGGGGGAGAAGAGAGAGAAACACTGATGTGAGAGAGAATGAGCCACTGGTTGCCTCCCACATGCTCCCTAAGGACTGAACCCGCAGCCCAGCTACGTGCGCCGACCAGAAATCGAACCCACGACCTTTCGGTGTATGGGATGATGATGCTTCAACCAACTGGGTCGCACCGGCCAGGGCGGGTTCCCTGATTTTTGACACATAGTATTAAATGTCTCTTGGAGAGCTTAAGAATATTTTGGCCCCCCCAAAAATCAATATTACTAGATGAAAAACTAATAGTATTTCAAAGAAATGGAGGTAAAAAGAAAGCCATAATTAAACAATTTCTATTTCTTTTTTATTATAATGCAATATGCAAACACTGCTAATTATATGAGTTTTCCTATAATACAGTATTAAAGCCTCACATTTTTGGAAATGAAAACTCAAAACAATTTTCACTAAAACACCTTTTCAAATTTAATATTCAGATTTATTAATCCCATTAAGCATTTACACATAATCTTTGCGATTAATCAGATCCAATGTGTACACATAAATACAAATCTTACCAGTTAAAATATGCACATCACGTACCTGTTTGCTTATAAATTGCTAATTCTTTTACAGTGTCCAAAAACTGCCAAAATTTTTCATTACTTTCTTCTGCCAAAAATTCACTATTAAAAAATAAAAGTACTCAGTTAATAAATGAAAATAAAAAATGGTTTAGGTACTATAAACAGTACTTTAGAAAATAATGATAACTTATGGTAAAAAACAAAAACCTTCAAAAATTAATGTCAAGTTTGTAGTTTCCATTTACCACAATGCAGAGAGAGAACAAACTGATGATTCTGACCTGACATGTCATTCTCAACTACAAGTTTATAATCACGACCAGAACGGACAGCATAAGCAATTACTTTTGGCTTTTCCTCATTATTAGCTACAACTAAAATAAGGATAATTTATTTTCTCCATGTGAAATAGCACTAAGAGGCATAATTTAAAAGTAATGAAAAACGTGTTTAGGGAAAAAGTAAGAAAAGGAATGAAAATAAGACTTTTTCACAAAATTTGGCTTTATGAACACTTTTAAAGTTACAAATATTTAATTAGCTATTTATGTCGACAATCTTTTCATTATTTAAAACAGACAATACATTAATAAAAAATCAATAGGAAGTTGGTGTTCTGCATTAGGTATTTGGCCTTGGAGCCCTAAGAACCTTTCACTTTTGTACAGAGAGCAGGTAAGACAACATGGCCAAAGCCATACCACCTCTTGGAAATGATGAAATAAGTGAAAGGTTGTTTAGCCCCACACGGAGCAAAGCACCGGACACCTGAAACAACTTGATTTAACTATTTAAACTAGAAAAGGAGACAGCCGCCAGACAGATGGTGCGGATTCTTCATTACTGCCCACCTTCTCTCTCTCTCGCCTTGGTAAACTTAAACTAATACTTAATATAAATGGAAAGTATTTAACACATCAAAGTCACATGCAGAATAACTAATTCTTGGGAGTCTGAGTGCTTACTAAGGATGTGAAAAAAAAATGGATTAATCCATCAACATAAACATGACAAGCACAGAAATTTAAAGCAGTAAATTCAAAATAACTCTTACTAATGGTGCCCAAGCTACAATGGCAAAAACCAAAACAGCCTTAAAAGCAGACGAAACAACTGGAACACTCAACAGGACGCGACCTGAAAAGGGCAGGGATGGCGAAAGCCTTAAGCACAGGAGCCCGACCCCGCACCGACCGGACCGAAGAGCTGCGGGCAGGCTCGCACGCCGCGGCCCCGCACGGACACGCCCTCTGCCACACACCGCAGCTCACGCGTCTAAGTCCGACCCTTCCAGGCGGTCAGCCACCTTAAGAAAACACTCACGGACACTTACTCCCTCGGTACCTGCCACTGCTCTCGGCACTTGTGGAATTACTGGGGTGGCCAGAAAGTCTGTATGGGTTCCCCCCGCCCCCATAAAACAAAAGACACATGTTTCATGTTCAGCAATAACTCCACTGGACATTTTGTGTATGTCAGCCGTCTCCCACGTGGTAGAACGTAGACAGCTCTCGGTGAACGTCTCCATCGCTATGGACTCCGACTGGTCTGCGCGACCGTGGGCGACCGTGGAGCACCGTCCAGTGAGAAATCTCAGCACGGAGCTCAGAAACCACCTCGGACACGCTCTGGGGGGCACAGCACCTTCACCTTCTCCCTGCACGGCCCACATCTTTCGGTGTGTGTGTTTTTCAGTTCTATTTTTACCTTTCTTGAAACAACCATAATGTGCTGAAAATGTCGCTTATTCTCTTCCATCTTCAATATTAAAATGGCTACACAAATATTCACCAATTTTGATAAGTTTTTTTAAACGCACGCTGATGTGACAGCTGTCACAATACAATTATCAAAATTGTTCCAAATGAAGGTAAGCACAACGAAGTGCTACTAGAGCCGTCTTATGGAAAAAGCCAAATGACTTTTATGGTGAACCCAATACTTTCAGGGGCAATTCGCCAGTAACTCATCATGAATCTCAGAGAACTAGCTATCTCTGGGGGTCATCTACATCAGCTCCTCACTGCCCAAAGGATATTGTCTTTGGTCAAAATTTTAAAAAGAAAAAAAAAAACAAACCAAAACAAAAACACCTGGCATTTCTAATTTGTTTACTTGTCTTGTGGAATATTGACTTCCAAATAAAAATGTTTCCACAAATAATTCTACCACAGAGAGTTTTATGCATACTAAAGCAGGAAGGTCCAACCCATGACCCACTGGCTGGATGCAGCCCAGGGCGGCTAAGAATGCGGCCCTACACAAAATCGTAAACTTACTTAAAACATTATGAGATTTTTTTGTGCATGATTACGTGTCACAATGTATCTAATGTGTGGCCCAAGACAACTCTTCTTCTTCCAGTGTGGCCCAGAGACACCAAAAGGTTGGATACCCCTGTACTAAGAAAAAAAAATATATATATATATACACACACACACATACAGTGATTATAAGTAGAATTCCCCCAAAATTTTCACCAAGACTAACACCAGTGGAATGAATGCAGTTTAGACATATAAGGTATGGTACACGCATTGTAAAAATTTAGCCTCATCAGTCTATCTATAACCATCCCTAGCAAATTATAAATCTCTTTAGGCAGGTGACATACCTCATTCATCCTTGTTTCTGACACAGTACCCGTCTTAGGGCCATGTTCAAAACAGGCAAATATTTATGCTGAATTAAAAATATGAGAAAAACATATACAACAGGACAAGCAGGTGCCTGTGGTTAACACTGAGCATCCTGTTGGAACTATCTAAGCACAGGCCGGTTTCCACAGGCCAGGTATATCACAGAGGTCATTCTGACAGCAGTGTGAAGTATACACTACTGAATCAACTTTACTGAGCACCTACTTCTGCTCACTGAACACTGAGGAAAACAAGTATGTGTAAGAAGTACTCTTGTCACATCTAATGAACTAATACAATGAGCCCTTACTTGGAAACTGCAATTTTAAGTTAAATGACATATAATGAAACCGATTTAATCACCATAAATGAGAGTCAAGTTCCAATGACATATTTCTGGTAACAAACACATCACCAAACTTCTAAACAAAGACACCAAACTTCTAAACAAAGACTCCAAACACTTCTAATATTAAACATTGAAATACATGTGAGCTACACATACATTTAAGAAAGATGGATTTAAAAAGTAAGATATTTTCCAATCTGTTTCTTCCAGTTCCAGGCCACCAGGGTCCCCGGTGGCCAGAGCCTAGCCTGGCAGCCAAGGCAGCCAGGCGGGAGCCAGGGGTCTCCTGGAAGCTGGCAGGAGGCCCTTCGGTCACAGGGCACATTCACACCCACCCACACTCCCTCGGATGGGGACAATGGAGAAACACCAGCGCAACTAACACGCACACCTTCGGGATGTAGAAGGAAACCAGAGTCCCCGGAGAATGTGCAAACTCCACACAGACAGTGGCCCCAGCCAGGAATGAAGTTATTTTTTCTCATCAACTTTATAACAAAACAGTGTTGAACAAAACGATGGTATTCAGGGTCCTGGTGTATTTACTGGGCACCTTCTTTCATGCACAGTGCTTTGGCAAAATACACATGAATAAGAAGAAATAGTCGTGTCCCCTTAAGTTCACATTTTAGTAGCAGAGATTAGTGGTAAGCTCCCTAACACTGGTCTTGGCAAGGATTTTTTTTTTGGCTTTGATAGTAAAAGCAAAGGCAACAAAAGCAAAAATAAACCAGTGGGACCACATCAAATTGAAAAACTGCTGCACAGCAAAGGAAATCATCAACAAAATGAAATGGCAACCCACTGAATGGGAGAAGCTATTTGCAAATCATGTATCTGATAAGGGGTTAATAGCTAAAATATATAGAGATTTCATACAACTCAACATCAAAACAAAACCAAGCAATTCAATTAAAAAATAGAGGCTCTGATACACATTTTTCCAAAGAGGACATACAGATGGCCAACAGGGATGTGAAAAGGTGCTCAACTTCACTAATCATCAGGAAAATTCATATCAAAAGCACAATGCAATGCCACCTCCCACCTGTTATACAATGGCGATCATCGAGAAGACAGACAAGACATAAATGCTGGTGAGGATGTGGAGGGAAGGGAAGTCTTGCATAAGGCTGGTGAGCGGGAATGTAAATTAGTGCAGCCACTATGGAAAAAGAATGTGGAGCTTCCTCAAAAAATTTAAACTGGAATTGGGTTGCCCAACAAGTTCATTTAGTTTTTTCTGTACAAAGGCTGTAGAAGTGCTTAGATGTCTTTAACTTCTTCTTTTTTAAATTTATTTTTAGAGAGGGAAGGGAGGGAGAAAGAGAGAGGAGAGAAACATCCATGTGCAGTTGCTGGGGGCCGTGGCCTGCAACCCAGGTATGTGCACTGACTGGGAATCGAACCTGCGATGCTTTGGTTCACAGCTATGCCAGCCAGGGCCAGATGTCTTTAACTTCTTGAAACAATTTTGTTACATTGTATTGCGTCAGCTGTCATATCAGTGTGCATTTAAAAAATTTATCGAAATTGGTGACTTTGTGTAGCTATTGTAATACTGAAGATGGAAGAACACACACATTTTTGATGTATTGTTTTATTATTTCAAAAAAGGTTAAAGACACAACTGAAACACAAAAAAAGATTTGTGCAATCAATGTATGGAGAAGGTGCTGTGACTGATTAAATGTGTCAAAAGTGGTTTGTGAAGTTTCTTGACATTACTGACATTTTTTGGCCAAATAATTCTTTGCTGTGGGGCTGTCTTATGCATTGGGAGATGTTTAGCAGCACCCCGGCCTCTACCCACTAGAGGCCAAGAGTGGGAGATAGCTGACATACTCAGAATACCCAAATCAATAGTTATTGGTGAAAATGAAAAATGTCTTATTTTACAGAAAAAACATAACAGACTTATTGGCAAACCCAATAACTACTGATAGTACCAGGTGTTCGTTAACTAGACTTATTGTGGCGCTCACAAGACTTACAAATAACAAATCATTATGTTGTACACCTGAAAGTGATATGAGATTGTATGTCAATTACACCTGAGTTAAAAAAGAACTATTTCAGTATCTCACATATGCAATGAAATGTGCGGTGACAGAGTTTCTTTCAGGACCATAAGCTGTTGCTTGGGTGAAATGACAAAAGCAATTGGCATTAAAACTTCTTGCTGGCTGAAGAACTTTCAAATTCTGTTTACTAGACTACTAGGAGCAAAATTTAATAGCTACGAGTTTTGTTTCTGCTCAGTAAATGATACCTTACGAACTCAGTCCAATGGAGGGGATTCGGAAGGAAGTCAAACGTGGGAAGCGGTCTTGGCCAAAGAAAGCCTACCTAGGTGCTTGGAGAACGGTTTCCTAAAAACAACTGCCCGCGTTAACTGAAGTGCTTGCATTAACCTCTCCCCTCCACCCACCACCCATTTCTCCTTTATTTTTTCTTTCGTAAACGCTAATAAAACTCAAACGCATTCAACCAAGGTCCCGAAGTTTTAAAAACCGCAGACAGGACAACGTACTAACCGCGGCGGAAAAAGGAATTACAAGTCCATTGCACCGGGTAGCAGGGCGGGAGTGATGCTCCGAGGGTCCCGCACCAGGGCACTGGGAACAGCGGGTCAAGGACGGCCCCGAGGGGTCGCCAGGGTCTCCCCGCCCCAGGCTCGGCGGAGGGTCCAGCCCGCACCCACCTGGCTTCCAGCAGCAGCGGGGTCTCGGGCCACTTCGCGGCCAAGTGAGCCGTCACCGCCTTGGACGCGGAGGCCGGCCCGGAGCGCAGCAGCGAGAGCCACAGCACCGTGTTGCCCAGGAGCAGCCGCACCACGTCGGCGGCCTTGGCCATGACGCCGAGAGGGAAGCGCGAGCCGAGCCGCAGCCGGAGCCGGAGCCCAGAGCCCGCAGCCGCCACGCTACCGCCGGCTCCTCCCGCCGCGCCGTCGCCCACTTCCGGTGGGGGGAGCTCGAGTCCGTTACTCCGGTCGGGGCCTGGCGGGTGCGGGGCGCATGCGCGTCCGGCTCCCGCGGCGGAGTGTCCCCGGGGAGCTGAGTCCGCCGCCGAGACCGGAGCCACGTAGATGCGGGCGGTGCCGGGATGGAGAGCAGCGGGGCTGATGCGGCGTCGACGGAAGAGAGGCCGTGGGACCCGGGGCGGATTGGTCTCCCCGAGATCGAATGGGATCGTGCCCGACTAAGGCTGGCTGGAGGGACCAAAATCTGGAAGCGAAGGCAGGCATCAGAATGGATAGTATCCACACTTACACCTGCGGAAAATGAGGCCTATTAACGTTCGAGCACGGGCCTCGCGGGTTTCTCAAATTTTAGTGTATATTAGAGTCATCTGGTAGAGCTTTAAGAAAGCCGGACCCCAAGACCACACCTGTTACAGGGGAATCTCTGGGATTGAGATTTGGGCGTCAATAGCATTTAACACTCCCAGTTCCCTTTCTCCCGTGATTGGAGTGTTGCAATCGCGTTGGAAAACCAGTGACATCACTTGGGATGCTTGTTGAAACACAGGGTGCTGGGCCTCACCCCACGTTTCTGATTCAATGAGTGTGTGGTTGGGCCCAATAATTTGCATGTCACGTCTAATAAACTCCCAGGTGATGCTGATTATTGATGACCGGGGCCGTGCTTCTAGCTTTTGTACTCAAAAGCGGTCCGCGTTAACATCACGTGTAAACCTCATTAGAAATACAGAATCTCAGGTCCCAGTCCAGACCTACTGAACCTGAATCCCCAGATTAACAGGATGCCCAGGTGATATTTGTGCACATTAAAGTTTGAGAAGAACGAGAAGGGCGGGTTCAGAGGATTACAGGTGAAATGCATGGAAAACTGATAACCTGCTCCTGTGATTAAGTCTCGATTTCAACCAAGGACTGGCTGGCCTCAAAGCACATGCATTTTACATCAGGCTGAACGATAAAGCGACAGAGATAGCTGGTTTTCCAGTACGAATGATTCAACAAGCAAAGAATTTAGGGTTTTTTTTTTTAAACCAGGTAGAGGTGAAGCCTCAAGGTTCCAGCTCCTAGTCAAGAATGATTTTTTCCTGTTCAAAGAAGAGTAAATGTATAATAAATATTAAAATACATCATAAGCCCTGGCTGGCATAGCTCCGTGGATTGAGCGTGAGCTGGGAACCAAAGTGTCCCAGGTTCGATTCCCAGCCAGGGTACATCCCTGGGTTGCAGGCCATGACCCCCAGCAACCCAACCGCACATTGATGTTTCTCTCTCTCTCTCTCTCCCCCCCCCTCTTTCTCTCTCTTTCTCTCTCCCTCCCTCCCTTCCCTCTCTAAAAAAAATAAGTAAATAAAATCTTTTTAAAAAATCATAAAAAGAAGCAGCAGCTGGGAAAAAATACTTTAGGTGATGTAGTGAGCTATTTTTTCCCTTTCTGTTGCCCTATAGGGAATCTTTGCCCTATAGGGAATCTGAATCTTGAAGTTGCCAAAACGTTTGCACTTCACTTACATGTCCTCTCGTGTCCTCAGTGTATACCTGTCCTTAGAAGACCCTGCTGTGGACCTTCATAAGTTCAGGCTTCATTTTCTGGCTTCTCCACCTCCTCGGTATGATCTATCCCTGCTTTCAATTCCCATAAGCTCTTTATTTTAACTGTCATATACCACTTAGAATTCCCACTTTAGAAGTTGAAGACAGTGCTTACTTATTTCTCCTACTAGAGACAGTATATTCCCCAGGGCTCATGCCTTATTTATTTTTAGCATCCCTTGCAGAACCTAGCACTGGATATGCCATTGGGGCTCACTAAATATTGAAGATTCCTTGTTTTATGGATAGGTAGGCAGAAAGCTCAGGCAGATGAGTAAGGAGCTTCATTTCTATCCACAGAGTGTAACAGAAAAATGTATTATGAATTCTTCACAACTATTTGCTTTAATTAATTCCTCATTTCCACTTATTTTTGGACTGATTTTTTTTTACTGAAATTGAGGGATAAAGGAAATACAATATTGACAGTGAGTATCTTAAATGTCAGCATTTACCTGATGGGTTTGCAAATCTTTAAGAAATGATTTCCCTATCAAAAGTCCCACAGATACACTATTAAACAGCACTACCAAAACATATGGTAATATATATTCCAGGATACTGGAGCTCAGAATAGTGAGGAATGCTCCATTTCTCTTTTAAAGAGAATTAAATTAATTCTGGGTCATTTATATACATAATTGTTATACATTTCAACTTACATAGCATTATCCAAAAATCTATGTGAGTTTGAAATATTTGGAAGAATGATCGTCTCTGGGCTTGTTTCCTTATCTGCAGAACAAAAGAAAGAGTAGGACTGGATGATATTCAAGGTTTAAGAGAGGTCATTGAGATAGGATGTGACAGAAGGTCGACCTGAGAGCCGGACCTGGGCAGTTGGAGGCTCCTTCCCCCATTCCTGCCCTTGGAATATACTGTACATTCCACTCATGTTCTCCACACTTGGAGAGAGTGATATTATTGAGCCCATCTGGACTGTACATGTGACTGAACCCCATTAAAGCCTCTGTGTACAAACTTGTAAGATTCTGGTGGTGGGTGCAAAGACTGACTTGTCTTACAGCTAGCTACCCAAGGCAAGCCTCCTAATGCATTCTCTTGCTTATTAAACCTGCCACCTACCAATCCGGAGTGGCCTGCCTCTTTTTTGGGTCTCTCTCTGCCCTCTGTGTATGGGTCCAAGTTTCAAATTTCACCAGAGGAACTTCAGAGGTTTTGAACCAACATGAAGGTCTCTTTTGTATGTCATTTCTATGTATTGACAGAAAAATTAAAATGCAAAAAATCGAGTAGCTCGGCAAAGGTCATCCAAGTTAGTGGAGCAGCAAAGCATTCTAATGTTCATTATCAACAACCCCTGAGCACAGATTGGCTATGCAGTGAATGTCATTCAAGGACACAATGGTATTGTAGTATATTTTTTAGCAAAATGTTATTCAAAGTTATTTATATCGGGGTAATATGAATAAAAGTTGATGATGATAGCAGCTTTCATTGTAGGTGGAAGAAGGGATTAATAAGTGCTTTATAATGAGAATATTGTGTTTAATAGAATAAATCATCTTGAAATTTTTTTAGATTCAGCATGCACTCTATTTAATGAAAACAGTGATGCTATGTAAGGATAAAGTTACTGCCAAATTATCATGTAATACAATAAAAGTTTAATTCTCTCCACCTAAATAAAGTCTCACAGCTGAAACGGCTTTTTAAACCTATCACTCTGTAGGGCTTCAAGGTTTTCCTTACTACAAGAAAGATCCTATTCTAACTTAACTTGGAATATCTTAAATATACTTCTTCATTTCAGTTGAGTAGAATTTACAGATTTATGTAAAAAACCCTAGGCAAAATTATACTAAAATGATGACCAAGTGAGCAATGGATCACTTACTTTAGTGTCAGTAAGTCTGATTTTAATATGTTTGTGTATTTTATTTAAAATAGATTACTAATGCCTCACAAATGTCTAACTCCAGATACATTTGATAAAACTTTTGAGTGTATTTATCAAATCGTGGCCTGCTTCTTTCTTGGGTCTCTCTTTGGCCTTTACCTCTTTGCCTTTTGCCCTTTGCCACTCTTGATTAAAGTGTGCTTCATAGATATAATTTTAAATCATCATTTAGAATGCTATAAGGACTTGAAATCTGCTATTTAGCAACGATCTTCTATACTTACATATGTGGTCAGCATTGTATAATCATGCATTTGTTTTGTTTCTTTAACAAAACACTTAAGCTTGCAACATGTTGCTGGGAGACAAGTAAACATGGCCTGCTTTTGCATCTCCTGATAGAGGTTTAGGGTAGTTATGTGAAAACTCATTGATTCATTAGAAATACATTGTATGGCATCATTGCGAGGGTGACTGTAGCATACCCTGAGGAAGTACGAAGATGAATAAAATGGTTAATGTCTTCAAAGGGTTTAGAGTGTAGTAAGGAAATAAGAACGCATACCAATAAAGTATAACAGACACACGTTAATAAAATTCCATGGAAGTCCAGAAGAAGATGACACAAGCTTATGAAATCTTACTGAACAAATAAACAAATGAACAAGCAGCTTTCTTGAATTCTCTCATTAAAATTATTTCCCGAGTTTAAATCTAGCACTTTGTAAAGCTGCACAATTTCTTTTAGTCCCCAGGGAAACATCTGAAAGATAATGTCATGATTACCGGCAATAAAAATAAGCATTTGTAGAGCGTTTCCATGTGTGTCATGAGACGTGGTCCCAAATCCAAGTGACTGTCCCCTGCGGTTGGGAAGGTAGCAGAATACATACAGAGTAAGTTAGCGTGAGTTTTACTGACGAGACATAAAGGACGGGCACTTTACGATACACAGGCAGGACCTAAAGGAGCAGGCCATCTCAAGAAAAGCCTCACAGAACAGGTGGTGTGACCACACTTCGAAGGAAGCACCGATGACATCGATGGCAGCTGTGCCCTCGTGTCATCAGCTCGGCCACAGACCACACGCAAGCACATGGACGAGGGTTTATCCGCCAAAACTTTATTCAGACAGACATTGAACTTCCTATTTTCACACATCATAAAATGGCATTCTCCTTTTGCTCTTTTTAAAATTAAAAGGATATCAGAACCCTTTTAAAGTCATGAACGCTACCTATTTGGGTCATGGGCCAAAGTAAGCCAACCTCTGGTTCTAGAGAAATTTTGCAGGAAACCTATACAAGACAGCTTATAGAATTGTAGTTGGCAATAACAGAACACTGGGCACAGCTCAAACGTCCATTGAAATAGAATGACAAAGTAAATGGTGGTTTATTTGTAAAACAGAATACTAATCAGGGGTGACGATAAATGAGTCATAGAGACTAGATAAACATGGATGAATCTCAAAACCACAACGTCAGTGAAAAAACAAGTCACCGA